CCCCGGTGTTGATGAAGGTGGAGTTGAGCACTTCTTGAAGCAATATGGAGAATCTGCAAAATGCGTTGGATCACCACAGCCTGTTAAGTAATCGTAAGATACGGCTTTCTTGCATTGTTTCGGTGGATTCTTTGTACCCGTACAAAGATCGAATTGAAAAGCGATTGGAGGGATACAAAGTTCATTGGTGGAAGATCCGGCATGCATGCTTGAAGCAGGTAAATTGAAGGTATAGTAAAAGTTTTTAGGATTATTAATTCCTTTTACGCCTCCATTTACGGAATAGATGAAAGTATTCACAGGTTGAGTGATCTTCAATTCCCACAACGCATCAATTGTATATGGAAGGGCAGTACTTTGGAAATGAACCGTAATATCATAAGAAGTTCCTTTTGAAACCACGCTAGTTACCAGAATCGATGCCTTAGGAAGACCAGTCAACTTATTAAAGTTATTGCTTGGACATTCTTCATAAGGAACCATGCATTTTCCATTGTTATTCCCAGCAACGACCTTTAAAGTCAATAGAGCGAGAGGAAAGATACTCAACCATCTAAGTATCAACATTTTATTTACTTGTCACTTATTTTATGATAAATACAGCTGCTGCTACTAACACTTTGTTTCGGATGTCCCCTTATTTATAGAATGAGAATTAAAAAAGCAAGATAAATATGGGAGTCTGTGCTTATCCAACTTCCGGCTATACTGCTTTTGTCCTGTTTCTCATTCTTCTCCATTTTGATATTAAATTGGGGCCCTTGGTGACCCTAAAGATGATCTAAAGTGCAACTTTCGAAGGTATTCTCAATTATACGCAGGATATATTCATGCATGTCCTTTTTTGCCGAGGCACCATGTTCTGTCCGGTGCTACAAACAGCGGATCGTCAATGCAGAATTCACTTTAGATGCATTTTTCGTTCGTATCAGTGATGCGGCTAAAGTCGAATAATAATTAAGGGATTCACTCTTTTCTATACCCATTCAGCGCAGATATCAATCCTCTAGAATGGCCTTTCAATTCTCATAAATGATGGTTACGAATTCAATGCATCATAACCCGGAGATAATTTTAAGGTAATCAATGTCGTGAACACACGGCAAGCATCACCCTAGTAAGATAACATGCGGCACTTCAATCTTTGCTAACTAGGCGGTTTAAAAAAGGGGGAATACGTAATCTTGAGCTCATAATAAATTATTTGAGATACACCACGAAGCAGCTAACGGTAAAATCTGCAAGTTCGAAACCCATTTACAATAGCTTTATTGTCCTAAGCCGCATTTATCGTAGGCTTAAATAGTCGTGGGATAACAGAGTTAATACGACACTGTCACTGCAGTTGTCGATTCCTTATAATTGCTAACACCCGAACCCCTTGTGAAGCATTTCCCCTTTTTTCTCTGGCCTTTGCTAAGCGAGAATACTGTACTCGTAATTTTTTATGCAAATTCCAGGGTTACATGCATTATATACAGGTGCGTTAGGTTCGTAACTGATCTAACGACCTCCGCTTCAATTTGTCAAATTTTCTTGAACATTTGCAAGAGATATCTTCCCGTATGGGCTACAGTTAACCTCGATCGGGGCTTATTTGTGTGTTCGACTATACGGATCAAGAAAAATTCAATCAATTAAATATAATAAGATGAAGTCAAAAAAGAAAGAATAAGGTATTGATACAATAAAACAAAATATGAAAAATTTAATAGCAATAAGACATACTGATCCAGAAACCAAGAGATCTTAAATTTTACAATTCTATTGAATGATTTACTTGAACCAAAAGAAATGCATTGCCTGAGCTTTATGATTACACTCAACATGAAATTTGTAATAGAAATGATGCAAGTAAAAATACCATCGTCTAACCTTTTCAGATCATGGGCTCCGGGTACATCTGAATTAAAGACACAGGAACACGTGAGTTGGGCCGGACCGCTGCGCAACAGATCTTTGGATCAAGAGTCATATCTAATGCACTGTGAGGGCTCACTTTTGGAAACCGTGCTTAGTCAGTTATGCAATTTCCCAAAAAGTGACCTAATTCACTAAGACGTACTTTCTTCAATTCTATCAATAGGAAGAGGTACACATACATGATAAGGGCTACAAGTCTCATCAGTAAATAAAGCTCTAGCATGATTCCATTTATCTTCCGCCGAAAAAAAGCGCCGTGACAAGATTATTATTCCCATTTGCAAAAGAAACTTATTCATAAGAGCAATTTAATGAACTAATTTTTTATCTGGAACTATGCCTTGGCACTAGTTTATGAACTGGCATGATATTGGATATGGAAATGACATGATAATGGATATTAAAATGACGTTGTGATATTCTAAAGTTGAAATGAATTTTAAATTCCCATGTACTATCTTCAGGTTACCAAGATATAGCTATACAGAAATATACCACGGCGAACAATTTTGTTATCAATATGGGAGAAGATGATGCTGCTATAGATTGCGACGGTTTAGTTTACTAATGGTTTGCAGACTATGCGACCTATGATCAGCATATATTATGCAGGATGATGCCTTGCGTCTTCAACATGTATCGTTGCTTCTACATTAAATATTAGGATCTACCGCAACTAACCTTATTAGCATTGGAAGCGGAGCATTTCTAATAATAAAATCAAGTTTGTTGGGGTCGGGTAATGTAAATTTCGGCTTACTTTAGAATGTTTTTGAAATATCGAGGTAAATTCAATACATTATCTCAATCATGCTCGTTCCCAAAACTCCACTTTTAGTTTCCAATACGAAGGATTAGAAGTGACATAAATGTGTTCAATTTGGATACTTATTTGCATGAGTTTTATGCTGCACAAGTATGTTTGATCATCAGTTCAAAATATTGATCTAGTCTTGATTCTATAATTAAGTTAAAATATTTTCGAAACCTCGTCCTGAGACATAAGATGATTGCTGAGAATGAACCAACGAGTTCTTTTCTTAGAAGAGTAGTCGATCAAAACTTCGAAGAAAGCAACTGTGCAGCTCAAGCTCAACGTAGGAGGGAAAAGTCGATTCCCAATAAACAAGTTCAAATTATTTCTGCTGCGGAGTTGAATATTTTTAAAGGAGCTTGCTATGCTGTATTTGGAGCATTATGTCGGACTATCAGCGTTCTGATTCTTCATGGTTTTCAAGACTTCGGTTTATGCGGTGATTTTAGTTTTCAAATCGTCAAGGCTTAGCCTAGTTTGCCAACTTACTTAAAGCTGCATTGATGTAGGATTAATTCTGAAGTATTGGATATCATATGTAGGCTCTTTTTTGATTTTAACATTTCCGAAACCGAATAGACAGAATATAATTCGTGGCTAGATTTCGCACCAATATCTGTTAAAAATAGTCAGTTGCGGCTTGTAATTATCTCGTAATTTTAGCCGACTGATACGAAAATATTATAAAAATTTTGCAAGGCACATTAAAGGAGGATATTTTTCATGACCGTTGTTCTTGCAGTTAACAAAATTACTTTTAGCCGTACAGGGATTTATGTCACCCACATATAAAGCAAGTTATGTCTTATGTGCTCCGTATCTCACTTGTGGGATTCGCTTTTCTGTTACTAAATCAGTTTTCAGATTATTCTCATATTTTTATTAGAAGTAAACATTTGCAAGTAAATACTAAGAATGACAGAAATCTTTTATTTCGTTGGTCTAAAAAATTTCCAAAAATATGCGCCGGAGGGTAATGTTTCTTTCAATTAAAATCTTCAAATTTCATGGTCCCGAATAGTACTTTAGTTCTGATGATCATTAAGATCCTCGATATGCGTCTTGAAGTTACGTCAACTATTTTACATTCATCTTGAAGATTTTCCAAATTTAAAACAGTTTGCATTGAAAATACTTAAGCTCTTTAACGAAAAATATAAAAAAGGGTCAATTTCTTAAAAAATGGTATATTAGAAACTTCAGAGGATGTAGAAGTCTATTGTCTTTATAAAGTTATAGAATTTTTCTCAGGCATTTTACTGTGACTACTACTAACATTGGATATTATATTCAGTAATTAAGAGGTCATGTGGTATCTCTTGATTTTGCAACATAAATGTCATTTTCATCCTCGTAGTATATTTCGTGCAATTTCAAATTTTTAAGATTATTAGGACTGCAAGGCTTATTTACAGGCTAATTTACATAAAGCAATAAGTAGATCCACAAGGAATATACTAATGCTAGCAAAAATGAAATGCATTTGATATAATAATACAAGTTTTTCGCATTACCTTCATGAATGGGATAGAATCGATTTTAGAAGAATTATAAACAAATATGTCCAAGAAATTTATAAACATAACTAGTCAACGGACTAGAACTATAATATAACGAAAAGTTTTTTAAATTGTGCGTGGAGAAATTGAAAATGAAATTAGAAGTGATTTACCTTCCCAGTTATTAGATCAAGAAGGCTGCAAAGGTAGCAGCTACTGCGGACAAAATTGATTTTTTGGAAAGCAAAAAGTTTGCAGAGCCTTCGAAGGTACTAACAGTGGCTGATTCTGAAGAGACAGAAGAGGAGCCTGAAGCAGGAATTGTCTCAAAGGAAACCACTGATGAAGATGTCAAACTAGAACCTGCCTCTGTTACAATTGAGGAACCAGCTTCCAAAGTAGTCGGTTTCCCGCTAACCGTAGTAGGCTCAAAGGTGATACTAGACGAGCCAGAACCAGAACCAGAACCAGAACCAGATGAACCAGAACCAGAACCAGAACCAGATGAATCAGAACCAGAGCCAGAGCCAGATGAGCCAGAGCCAGATGAACTAGAGCCAGATGAACCAGAGCCAGAGCCAGAGCCAGAGCCAGATGAACCAGATGAACCAGATGAACCAGAGCCAGATGAACCAGAACCTGACGCTGATGCTGATGCTGGAGCAGACGTGGATTGACAATAGGTAGTAGTTATTGTCGCACAGTGACCATGCTTAGCACATATTGTTAAAGTTCTTGTTTCTACTTCCGTTTCTGTTTGTGTATATACACTAGATGAGCCATAAATTGTAGACAGCACATTAAGTGATGGAGCCAGACCAGATGATTGAGCCGGATGGGATGACTCACCCGGGGTCGATGATACAGGGTTAACAGATGCAGGGACAGTTGATTCATAAGGTGTGGAAGACAACGAAGCAGAAGATTCCACAGGAGTGGATGATTCAACTGGAGCGGATGATTCAACTGGAATGGAAGATTTAATTGGAGCCAACGATGCGGGTGCAGATGATTCAACTGGAGTCGACAAAACAGGAACGGCTGATGCAGGGACAGATGATTCATAAGGTGTGGAAGACAACGGAGCAGAAGATTCGACTGGAGCGGAGGATTCAACTGGAACAGAAGATGCAACAGGAACAGAAGATTCAACAGGAGCCGACGATACAGGAACAGCTGATGCAGGATTAACCGAGGAAGGAACAGATGAGGCAGGGACAGAAGATTCAACAGGAGCCGACGATACAGGTGCAGATGATTCAACTGGAGTCGAAGAAACAGGAACAGCTGATGCAGGATTAACCGAGGAAGGAACAGATGAGGCAGGGACAGGTGGAGTAGAAACAGATGATGAACCTGAGCACTTCTTGAAACAATATGGAGAATCTGCAAAATGAGTTGGATCACCACAACCTGTTAAGAAATCGTAAGACACGGCATTCGAGCATTCGCTCGATGGATTTTTTGTGCCCGTACAAAGATCGAATTGAAAAGCGATTGGAGGGATACAAAATTCATCAGTGGAAGTTCCGGCGTTCATACTTGAAGCAGGTAAACTGAAGGTGTAGTAAAAGTCTCGAGTATCGTCAATCTCATATATGTCTTCATTCACAGAATAAATGGCAGTATTCACGGGTTGAGTAATTTTCAATTCCCACAACGCATCAATCGAATATGGAAGGGCAGTACTTTGGAAATGAACCGTAATATCATAAGAAGTTCCTTTTGAAACCACGCTAGTTACCAGAATCGATGCCTTAGGAAGTCCAGTCAATTTATTAAAGTTATTGCTTGGACATTCTTGATAAGGGGCCATACAGGTTGCACAGTCTTCGGTAGCGAAAACCTTTGAAGGCAATAGAATGAGAGAGAATAAATTTAACCATTTAAGTTTAAGCATCTCGTATTCTTTGTTCACTTATTTCTAGACTGAAAGCCAGGATTTTTTATGAAAATAGCTCTTTGCATCTTAGAAATGTCTACTTTATATAAAAGAAGGAGGACGGACCATGGCCACTTGATATCCGGATATTAGTACTTTGAACATCATCTCATCACTTACAGTTGAAGAATGTGAGCTCTCCCAGCCACAAGAGGTTAACTTATTGCGAATATGCCAGTAATATGCATGCATTTAGCATATGCAAGGTATTATTTTCCGAGCCTTTATATGTCGGCTAAGGTAACACATAAAGTTAGCTTTCCTTGAAGAAGCAGAAGCAAAAACATATAGGATGAAAAGAATATTCTAATGAGACCTAATAACCATCTTTATTATCTTTTTCTGTTTGCTTAACTCCAAGGTCAAATCATATTAATGGACTTATCTTTTCTCATGACTGAAATCCGAAACCCGACACTAAAAACATAACATGAAGTCCGACGCATCAAATATCTTCTTCAAGAAGGCATATTACTTACATATACTGTGACTATTAAAACATAGAGATTTGTGCACTTACTTAAATTTTATATGTATCTTGAGACTAATGTGTTAGTCATTTTCATATTGTGCATACTAATAGGTACTGTATTTCTTAAGCTTGATCACGAAAATATATTGTTATACTTGATGTTTCCTCGGATCTAAGGTGCCTGATCTCGAGCCCCTATTTATTTTTTTTTTCCACCGACTATTATTTTTTATTTTTTATGTTTTATATTTTTATTTCGAAAAAAGTTCTAAGCGAGCTTGGCTAATTAAAGAGATGCATAAAGTTGCGTGAAAGTATGTGCAGGCTTTATGGTTCTTCACTTCAAAATATATTCAGAAAGATCTCAAATACTAAGGCTTGGATACTTGCATTACATTTGAAAGCCGCAAACTAGGCTATGGAATACAACAATAACTGTTGAAGATGGTATCGATTCACAGTTAACAGAATATGAGAAATGTATGACCAATTTGTTATGGTCTCAGGATAAGGTTGCAAGTAAGATGTTATCAAAAGAGGCGGTCTAATGCGAAGAGTCGAGAACCTAAGAATCAAATTGAAGCGAATTAAGGTTCTAGGCATTGGAATTGGAATTGGGAGTATGCATTCATTTCACGGAAAAGAAATACATTTAGACCGACATGCATATATAGCCAAATTAAGTCAATATCCAATCATTCTTGATGAGAGCCTAACTTTCTTGGGGGTACTTGCCAATTCAAGAAGTTGTGAATAGTTGGCTTCCTTCAGGCAGCTAAAAGCTTTTGAAAATTTTGAACGTCTATTAGAATATCAAACACTTGAACATACAGTAACATATATAAACTGAATGAATTCGAGTAACTGATGTCTAGAGCTAATACTAAGGCACTTTGTAGTGATCTAGGGTATAATATAGAAGCTTGCCATAAAGATGCTTGCAATGAAAACGCTTGCAATATAGACGCTTGCCCTATGCTTGCCCTATGCTTGCCCTATGCTTGCCCTATGCTTGCCCTATGCTTGACACATATATGCTTGCTACATAGATGCCTTAATGCTTGTAGGCTTCTTGTCCACAACTTATATTCACGAATGCTAATAAAGACTAAATAAGGTGTGAGCATGTTGTTCGCTCCACTTTTGCTACATATCTTGAACTATGGTCGAAAATTTTGAGCTATTGAAAAACTTTTATGCATTTAATAAAAGACCTGGGCCGAATATGTAGACACATATACATACATATTCTTAGCGATGCAATCCAAATCTGCATGAACAGATATATTTGACGACAGAAACTACTTACTACACGCAGGCTCGGATATTTCTTTCCCTAGTAGCAAGTTGCCATCCATGTTTGTTATAATAGGTTGATATAGATCATGTTATATGCTCTAAGTCTTTGTGGAAGAATATCTTATCTTAACATGGATGGATGCTTTAGATGAAGATAAGTCATGATTCGCATTTAGTGGCTCTCCAATATATAGCCAAACCGTACTCGATCTCGGCTATTTCAACCGGTTATAGATCTCCAAAGATGACATGAAGCATCTTTCTCCGACTTGTGTTTACAAAGGGACAGTAGCAACTTTAATCGAGTCTTTTAGTACTGAAATGTTTAAGTGAAATTGTGATTAATTTTGCATTCGATACTTGATATTTGCAGGAAATGACAAATGTTTTTGAGGCTGGTCTTGCGCTCTGGCTATTTCTTTGCATCATTAATTCATTATCTCCAATTTGATATAGTGAAGCAATAATTTTTCTAAAAAAAGCTTCGGGCCATTAAACCCTCGATTCTAGTTCTAGCTAAAGTACTTGCCTGCATTGTGAATGTATATCAGGTTTCTTGTGACCCACATCTCACTTTTAGCGGACATGCTTGTCATATTACATACACGAAAAACAGGGCTCTGTGCACCAAAATAAATAATACATGAAAAAGACATATTAGATACAGGTAATTATTTAAGCGACAGATCGCAAAATAATAAAGGTAACGAAAAGCGCACCAAAAATAAATTTCATGACTAAATACTATTCTTTCCGAGGAGCAGCGAACCTTGGCGTAGGTTTCTGTAGGGTTCTAGTTCCATGGTTTTCATTGACTTCCTTGTCTTCCTCAATTTTTTTCATCTTCTTGTTTCGCCAAATACGGCCACGCTAAAAGGTGCTATGTTGCTTAACATCTGAGAGATAGACGTCAGCATACTTCTTTTGTAGATAGAAAGATGCGACCTAGTAAGTCTACAATAGCAAGTTCGTGTAATTTTCCTTAAAATGCGTCCTCATTTACAGCTACAACTCCATTACTCTTCCGTATTCACTTAATTGATCCTCGAGTGCGTTTAGACATACCTATCCGCCTCAGAAACATGACAGAAGAAGATCAGTGGCAATCACTTTGTAATAACTACGAATGCTTTACTCCCTTCCCAGATGAATTTTTATTTTTACCTGACTTGCCAAGAGCTTTTTCTAGTCAAAAAGACCACCTGTAGTTAGAATTTGAGAAATAATTTCCTTAGCCATGCCATTTATCGTGTATTGTATTATTGTATCTTGTATCGAAGCGAAATAATGACACACTATTATCCTATAGCAGTCTTGTTTCGTCTATATATTAGCAATAAGTACAATGATGTCTTTAGATTTGAACACAATAGTCTATGTGCGTAAGAAAGAGTAGGTTAAGATTTGATTTGAAATTACTTCTGACGAAATTTTAACGATAGAGTACCATTGATACTCTCGTTTATTTTCAAGATATGTAGTTCCGGGATTTATATTTACTCACAAACTTGTCTTTCTTTATATACCTGCTCCTTAGCTTTTGAGTACAAAAATAGCATAGATCATCCGTTCGCTTATCAGCTCGGCACTTTCCATGGCTTCGAAGATGTTTTGAACGCCCATCCCGTGGAAGCAACACTATCTGCAGGTCAAGTACATGAAAGGGCCATCACACAACACAAAAGTTCCTAAAAATGCTCTATGTGCAGTACATCGGTAGATCTTGTTATCGAACCAATCACGATTCGAGATATTCAACCAGTGTCCATTAAAATGACAAGTCACCTCTAATAAGCGGACTTGATTAGGTAGAATATAGTAAAGGTCTTCCATAAAGAGAACAGGAAGAGTCCATAACCTCTATTAATAGGATATTAATCGAATTTTTTGTTCAGTTTGCCAGTTAGCTAGTAATTTCCTACATCGAAAACGTTAAGGCAACAAAAAAAAAACAGCTTTAAGTTGCACGAAGAGGTAGATTTACTTATCACTGGTCTCGGCTTTCATTAGATGGAATTTTAACTGACATCTTCTTCACTAAGTGCTTTTAAAATGGATCCCAACTATCCTGAAAGAGGGAGAGCCATAGAAAAGGAGTTTGGGTCACAAAATTTAGCAAACTTGATGATGGAAGATGAAACTGACGTCGATGGTATCTGGCGTATGTATAACAGAGCGAAGGATTCACTTCCATTCAAAAACCGGATAGAGAATTTGACGTGGCGTATGATGTACTTACGGCAGAAGGAAACCGATGAGGAAAATACACAACCAGATGCCACTAATGACAATGGTAACAATAAATACAGCAATCTGATCTTATATAACAAATCTTCGTCTGCATCATTACATGGCGATGATAACATTGCAGAGAGCAATATGAACATGTTGAGAAACTCGACTTCTAACTCACCGAATTTGAATCCCGTTGCTGACGAATTCGACTACGTGGCTCACATACGCAAGATGGGTCAAGTCGACAATGCAAACGAATCAAATAATTCCTCTGCTGGAACAAATACAAAGAAACGACCGGCACCATTTTCACCAGCAGCTGGCCCTCAAAGTCCACAGCCTTCACTTCAATCGAATTTATCTCTCTCTTTGAAGCAATCGCAAAGACAAGGAGAACATCATGATTCGGGGTTTGAGTTCTATTTGGATCCTCTTGCATTCGATGGCCCTAGTAGTTCTTATGATATCCCTAGTCGAGACAATTTTGAAGACTGGAGTCTGCAAAATAATGCTACAAGTGAAACTACAATTGGACCTCAGTCTGTACCTTCAAGCTCCCTTATGAAAGAAAATTCATTTGTTAATATTCCCGATCAATTAGATAGATCTTTGACTCATACTCCAGCATTCCATCATACAAGCTCCTATACTTCTGTTGATAATTTCGATAATTTTACTCAAGGTCTACAAACTGCTGCTCAGTCTCCGAATGTTTATCAAAGCTCAAACACAGATTCTTACTTTGATAATTTCAACAATAAATCGTTCCAACAATCCATAATGTATAACTCGAACACATTCAGCAATGGATCTCTTGATAAAAAGTTTTCAAACAATTTACCAAATTCCTTACCGGCAGCTTCGAATATGCAATGGCTCGATCTGGATGATAACAAACCTTTGAGACCTATAAATAAAAGGACAAAATCTATCAAGTCAAAGAAGAAGTCAATGTCTCCCGATCCATCTAAATCAGATATGAACGCAAACACATCTTCAGTTTCATGTACGAATTGTCACACGAAGACGACACCACTTTGGAGAAGAAATCCCCAGGGACAACCCTTGTGTAATGCATGTGGGTTATTTTTAAAGTTGCATGGTGTTGTGAGGCCTCTAAGTTTAAAAACAGATGTTATTAAAAAGCGCCAAAGAGGATCGAACACAACTAAAAAATCAATTTCAGGCAATGGCGGATCATCATCTAAGGATGGAGACGATTTAAATCCGACTAGCTTTAACAAAGATATGAATGATATGAAAATGAATCCGTCCTTGTTAAATTCTGCAAAAAAGAAGTCAAGGGCTTCACCATCACCTACTAGGAGACCCACTACTCCTAATTTTTTCAATGTTCCAGATACGACTTTCTCAAATGATAATATTTCCCCTAATACAGCAATGCATTTCACCCCCAAAGATTATTCGAACCAGCATGATAGACAGAGCAATAATCATCCTACCGGTGCTAGTCAGATACTGTCAGATGACTTTAACTTACATCCTATTCATGAGCTAGATCATGAACATGAAATAATCAATCATTTAAATACTCAACATCCCGTTCCTGAAAGTCAACATCAATCTTCTGACGAAAACAACAATAGTAACAACAACTGGGATTGGTTGAGTATGACCCTATAGATTTTTCACTTCTCTTACTTTAGTTCTATTTGTATCTTGACTTGTATATTATATTTATAATAGCTTAAGAAGGCATCTTTCATGTCTTTATATTTGTGACACTTTTATCAACTGGTTCGGTTCGATCACACTTAATCTCAATTTAATAGGTGCATTTGCATACAATCACTACGAAGCTAGTCACTATTCGTCCCTAGTAACTGTTCAAGATGGATAAAGTGTCAGTAGCAAGGTATCCAAGAATTGTAATACAATATTGCTCTAAATGTAAATGGCAGAATAGAGCAGTCTGGTATTTACAGGAAATATTTCAGACTTTTAGTGATCAAGTAATGGATGTTTCCCTTCAGCCCATAGCTAATGTTCCTGGTACCTTCCAAATTTTAGTTATCATGAAAGATAACGAACGGCCTAAGATAATTTATAAGCGACGGTTTAAAAAGAGTACAGATCCACAGGATGAGCTATATTACTACGATGGATTTCCAGACTCTCAATTTCTCAAGCTTCTCTTAAAAAGAGAGTTGAATTTAGAAACAAATTTGGGGCATATTGAGAGAAATGATGGTGTCACGCTCTTGCAAAATGGCCAGTCATCAATCGAGTTAAAGAAACCGACAGAGTGTGAGCCTTGCAAAAGTCAACTGTGAGCATTCTACGGATACCATTCTAAGGATCTTTACTAACTCTTATTTCTTATATTCCCATAAATACTACAACATAACGCTTACGCCCTATTCAATCAGACGAATCGGAATTCTGATCTTCGTTGAGATCATTCCAACCGTTTTGACTAACAATATATGGCAAAGAACTACCAACAGATCCGAAATAAGATGCGTTGGGAAGCCCTAGCATATTTTGATATTGCTTAGTTACAAACATTGGAGAGACATTCTTAAGAGTTTGAATGTGACCATCCCTGTCATTTCTCTTGTTTGATGCTCTATTTATCTCCTTTGTTATTTGTTTCCATTTATGTTTTTCGCCCGTGACCAACAACTGCTTTAAAATCTCGATATCTTGTGGTGAAAACTTTCTCAAGGGTCGTGACTCTGGGATTTGTTCCATGGTTCTTTCTTGAGGCTGTTGCACAGCTGGAAGTCGTTCCTGATCCAGATGTTGACCCTGAAAAAAGCTTTGGTGGTGTCCCTGGGGTTGAGCAATAGGTTGCAGTTGTCTGGGGTAATTGAACCCCGAATGATGGTGTTGCTGATGGTGCTGTTGAGGAACAAAAGGTTCATCTAAAGCCTGATGGTGCTCTTGAGGAAATAAAATGGGGTGCTGTTGGTATTGTTCACGATATTGAGGATGTTGTTGTGGCTGTGGGGGGTATTGTTGTTCGTCTGGGGGGTATCGTTGATTTGATTCCTGAAGTGGAGGAGCTTGCTGTCCTTGGTAACGTTGTTGGAAATGGCGCAAAGTCAGCGCTTGATACTGACCATACTCATTTCCATATTGCTGCTGCTGCTGCTCAGCACCGTTCTCTTGGTAACTTTGTGGCTCCCCCGCAGACTCTTGTATAGTTTGTTGCATCCCTTTATCTTGATTTTGCTTAGATTTGTCACGTTCTGAATCATTATACATCTCTGAAATTTTAGGGATCGTTGTAGTTACATTAGCTTCGAAGTAAATCATAGTGTAGTTTATATGTTCATCTTAAGATTCGACCAAATATACACATTAAATCATTTTCCTTCTAGTACTATTTCCTATCAAAAAATATCCTGCATGTTAAAATGAAAGGCGTATACCTGAATTTAGACGGATTGGGGCACTTGCAGGACGATTGCGAGCTATTTTGGAAAAGAATTCTAGGTCTAGTCATCAACATACGCATCATCATCATCGTCGTCATTGGCGTCATCAACAATATCATCGCTAAAAACGTCGGAATCACTGGGGTATGTATCATACACGCTATTGGATTTCCGCCTTGGCTTTGAAGTATCAATCTTGAGTTCAGATTTGAGATCATTTATCTCATCAGTAAGAGCACTCTTTGTAGAAGAACTAGAGGGAGAAGATGTTTTGGTGGGGGTTTTTTTCTTTGAAGTCAAAGAAGACGCCGATGAAGACGTGCGCTTACTGCTCTTAGGTGGATCAGCACTTGCAAAAGATGATGAGCCAAGAAGCAAGTCGTCGTCGCTGTCATTAAAATGAGAAGTGGTATGGTCGTTGGAGTCCTGGTCGAGATCCGAAGGCGTCTTGCTGTTATCATCTGCGCGCGAGAAGAAAGAGAGCACATCAGGCTGCTGCTCCTTCTTAACAGCGGAGACCTTTGCTTTAGAAGGCTTTGAGGAAGCAGAAGAAGTCACGGATTCTGTAGAAGAAGAAGAAAGCAGTTTTTCATTAGAAGTGGGTTTCACCTTTGTAGCTCTCTTCTTAGATGGCTGAGCATCACCAGGTTCCTGTTTAACTTTTCTCCTTTTAGCTTTACTTTTAGTACCAACGTTTGGAATCATGGTCGCTCTCTGCTCGTAATCGACTTGTAGGAATTTGTGCCACTGTTTAACAAATTCATCCAAATCAGCATTCCATAGATCCTTTGCTGTCAATTTTAACAAGTCAGTAAGTTCTTCTTGTTTATCGTCTCGTTGTTTGAGCAATTTCTCGTATCTCTCCCTCGTTAATGACCATATTGACATCCCTAAAAGATAGTCGTACTGAGAATAAGAAGTCTCTGGTATGTGGTCAGAAGTGTTGGAAACGGCAACAGCAGCTCTAGTAACATCTTCTTCTTCCTCAGCCTCTTCTAAGATTTCTTCGGGATCAACAAACAAAGACAGATCAGGGTTACCTTCAACCGGTTGACCTTGTTTGTTGAATTTCGTAAAATTGAACTTCTCGAGGTCCTTAACAAGCTGAGCTCTCTTCTTATTAGAAACAGAGAGCTGTTTGTCTATGATTAATTTGATAAATCTAGCTTGCTCAGATAACTTGGTCAACTGATTCTGTAAATCCTGAGTCATGTAATCCTTTCGCTTTTGATAGTATTCTAATCTAACGTAATAAAAATCTTTAATTATTTCCAAGGGCGAGTCATACCTCTTGATCTTACCATGAGGGTCAAAAGCAACCATGTTGCTCAAACTTATTGAGGAAATCAACTTGAAGCGCTCAAGTAACCCAATCTTATACGATTTCTCCATTTCTTCTTTCGATAGTTTAATAATAAAACTTATATTGATGCCATGCTGCTCTTCCATATCCTTTATCCAGGCTGGTGTTTTATCAGTACCTAATGCAGTCAATAGGTATTCCTTCATATTATTGATCCAAGTCTTTATTGGAATTTCGGTGATTTCTAAAGTATTGTCGTCTAATTGCTGAATTTTTCCGGACACTTTGAACTTGTCTTTACTCGACTGTTCAATATCACCTTCCCATCCCTTATACCACGGCATCATATCCATTAACTCTTCACCATTCATCAATCTCTTCAAATTATTCACAATTTCTTCGGGATTATAAGATGGAATATTAGTAGACCACCCAGTACCAATTCCCTCTGCACCATTTACCAAAACCATAGGAAGAACAGGTAAATACCACTCAGGTTCAACAGTCTGTTCATCTTCTTGAAGATAGGTGTACAAAGGCTCGTCTAAATGATTAAAAATCTTTCTCGTGATATCGTTGATGTCAGTAAAGATGTACCTTGCAGCAGAAAAGTCTTTACCACCTGCAGCCCTTGTACCAAATGCACCAATGGGCTTTAGCACATTTATGTTATTGGATCCAATGAAATCTTGAGCTAAGCCAATCACTGTCTGAATTAAAGACGCTTCTCCATGGTGGTATCCAGTGTGTTCAGAAATATAACCCACCAACTGGGATACTTTTATTTCTGACTTTAGGTTTCTTTTGAAGCACCCAAAAAGAACTTTTCTTTGTCCAGGTTTAAAACCATCGAGAACAGAAGGAATTGATCTAACATTATCAGCCATTGAAAATAAGATTAATTCCTTATTAATGAAATCACTAATTGGAATCTCGGACAAATTAGGATCTAGGTGAGTTCCAGGTTGAAAGCTCTGCAACCATTCTTTTCTGTCGTCAGCCTTTTTCTTTGAGAACGCCAAGTCGATGAATTGCCTGTCGTCTCCTTGGATCGCGTGAAAAGTTTTCAAATGCCTATCTAATGCTGCAAAATACTCTCTAGCCTCCATTGGAGAAGAGGTACCTAAACCCTTGTAATATTTATGCGTCCATCTACATCTTGCACCTTCATCTTCTCTCCACGCTTCAAACTCAGGCATATTATAAAAAGGAATCACTTGCTTACTTCCCCTATTCTTTATCGTTACTTTAACAATAGGTGTGATAAACTCCAATAAGAATCCTGGAGTCTCAAGTAATCCTGGAAAACTGGTCTCTAAAAAATTGATAATAAGACCCTTAATATGAGAACCATCTTGATCTTGATCAGTCATAATCATTATATGACCATATCTTAGAGTCTTTATGCTTTCAGCATCATATTGCTTCTTATGCTGCAATCCGATGATCTTCTTTAATGCATTGATTTCAGTATTTTTTGAAATTTGATCTATGGAAGCTTCTCTGACGTTTAATAATTTACCTTTCAATGGGAAACACCCGTAGAGATCTCTTCCAACAACCGCCAATCCTGCTACAGCCAATGACAAAGCAGAATCACCTTCAGTTAAAATAAGGGTGCATTGATGTCCTATCCTAGTTCCTGCTTTATTTGCATCAACTAACTTAACTTGTCCTTTAATTCTTTGCTTCTTTGATCCATCAACTTTCTGTAAAGCTCTATCCTCATTCAAGCGAGCAATTGTTCTAATTTCATCAACAATGCTTGTCTTTAAAATCTTATTTATGAATTGATCACTTATAGTAACCTTTTCACTCGGCTTGCCACCAAACTGGGCAACCCTAGTCGTAAGTTGCTCTTTTGTTTGAGATGTGAAGGCAGGATTCTCAATTAGACAATTAACAAAAAGAAACATCTTATTTCTCACCTCCTGTGGCTTGATCATCAATTTCTTCTTTCCCTTTTCTTTCTTTTCCAAAGTTTCAATCAACTTGCTAATGATTTGATCCGAGATATACTTGACATGGGTACCTCCAGAAGTTGTGGCGATAGAATTAACAAAACTCACTTGATTAAAATTTCCATCGCTTACCGCGAAGGCAAGCTCCCATCTATCGTTAACGACCTCGTGGACTATTGTTTGATAGTTTTTCGGTTCGGAACTTTCTTGAATTATATCGGGCTTTCTTTCAGCGATTGCCTTAACATACATCTCTACGTATGCCTTGAAATTCTTAATCGGTAATCTTTTCTCATTGAGATAAATATTGCAATCTTTAACTGTACCACACAAATCGTAGATTCTTCTTCTCATGACAGATAGAATTTCATCATCTAAGGAATCCATATGAAACTTTGTTAAATCAGGCTTGAAAGTGATCTTAGTATATTCCTTCTTAGTTTTCAACTTTGTGATCTTAGGCTTTGAAACTTTGCTCATGTTTTCGGTCCAGACTTGCTTATAGCATAATCCAGTACTTAAATCGGCTGTCTCTACGATAAACTCTGTAGAAAAGATATTACACAACTTGGCACCATAACCATTTCGACCTCCTGTAACTTTCTTCTGGTCATCATCATAGTTTGAAGATGTAAGCAAATTACCGAAGATCAATTCTGGAATATACATATTCTCTTTGGTATGCACTTCAACTGGTATACCTTTACCGTCGTTCATCACTTGAATTAAATTATTTTCAGGGTCTATCTTTACTTTAATATTCTTCATCGAAGGATCCCTAATCTTGTTATCTGCTGCATTAACAAGAATTTCATCAAAAATCTTGTATAATCCAGGCACAATATTAACTTCCTGAAATTTCATTTGTTCGGAAACAGCATCAAAACACCACATATCTATCCCAGTTTTCTCGACAGAGCCTATATATGTGTCTGGTCGCTTCAAGATATGTTCTAATTGAGATAATTTTTGATACTGTTCTGAAGCTGAGCTGCCCTTGGTGCCAGATATTGTTGAAGTAGGAGCATTATTCGTTGTATCTGCAAGAGGTTTTGATGCCTTCTTTTTCTTTGTAGCCTGAGTTGGAACAAACTCACCAGAATCATCCGATACATAATCAGGTTCTGATGTTTCTGACGATACTTCAAAGTCACTCATATCTCTGTTGTAATATACTTGTTGTCAACAAGTTGATAATTAAAGAAAAAAATATAAATTCATAATGAAGAAAGCGCGTTATATAAACAAACTTAATGTTTCAAAAATGTTATAGATTATAATGAGTGATTTTTACTTTTTTCTTACTTTAGAGGATTTTGCCACAAGTTATTTTGTTGCTAATGGTAATGATGTTATTCGTTTTCTATTTCTTTTAGAAATAATGCCTAAATAAAACTTGAAGGGGCCGAAAAAAAAAAGATATAAGTATAAACCTGAGGATCCGAATAAACAGAGAAGTAGTATTGATTCAGCTCTTTGATCTTTTACGCTTTGATTGATTCATTAAATCCTTTTGTATGCGCTCAAACTCGTCATCACTTAGGTCTCTGTTGGCTCTTTTCTTGCCTTTTTTGTCCACGTATTTTGCCTCCAATGAATTGATTAATGAGTCCAAATTATTAGACTGCCTTGATTGTATGATCAGTTTCAAGTCAGACTCGCTACTGATATTCCGTTTCCCCTTAAGCTTGAGAGAGCTGGCCAATTTGTCAGCCTCCTTTGCTTCTTTAGCCAACTTTTTCAACATTTGTTTGACTTTTGTCTTTCTAAGTCGTCTATATCTGTCCCATGCTTTCAATGTCTGTGGATCCAACGAATCTGCAAATTGCTTTTTACCAAGCTCAATCTCGATGCACTTGAATACCCTATCTTCTTGCTGTTCGTCAAACTCTAGATGAGGAATAACTTCAAAAAGCTTTAAAAAGTCGCCCTCGTAATATACAAAGTTTGAAAGTATATCGCTTCTCTCTTCCTCTGAATTCTGGTACTTCACCCTATCTTCATCAATCATCTCAATAGTTATGTGATTGTTAATCGATTCGAAATACTCTTTCCAGTTAAATTCGTCATCGACATCCACATCATTTAACGATCCTGTTGAATCAAACCGTTGCCGTTTGATGGGATCGCTCAAGATGGAATATGAAAACTGAACTTTAGCAAAGTAATCACTATCATTGTTAGCTTGTGCTTTTTGCTGTTGGATCTTATCTGGATGATGCTTTAGACATAACCTTTTAAAAGATTTCTTAATATCGATAGGTGTCGATTCCTTTGAAACCTCTAAGATTTCATATGGATCAATCTCAGGAAACACCACAGCCATGATTTTTGAATATCACTGCTTTGAATCTCGATGCTTCCTAAATACTCTTAAAGAAATAATTTTTAGTTTAAATTAAATGATTAGGCTCGTAGAAACACGATATTTCGCACTAAATAAGAATACTACGAAGCTACTTGAAATTTACTTTTTATAACCAAGTTCAGCTAATGTTTCCTCGATGGCCTTGAAAACTTTATCAACATGTCCCTCATAAACAGAAACCCCCATATGACCAACACGGAAGTATTTACCTGGCAAAGCCTTGTGGATTCCTCCAGCAACAGTGAAGCCTTTAGCAGATAACTTGGTAAGAAAATCACCGCCATTAACGCCATCAGGGAAAAAGACAGCTGTCAATCCATGGGCGCCAACTTTATCACTTACAGGTAAAATTTTAAGACCCAATTTCTTTAATTCTTGCTTGAATTTAGTAGAAGCCTGCTCATGTTTAGCAAACCTCTCGTCCAAAGATTCAACAAAGATCTCATCTAATGAAACTTTCAATGCTGTAACGGTTTGCACCGCAGGAGTAGCAAAGTAAGCACCGGAACCACTTTCGTAAGCCCTCATGATTGGAGTCCATTTCTTGAGCGAAGCAAAGAATGAAGAATCTTTTTCCCTGTTGAGAGCTTTTGAGACTGCCCTCTCCGAAGCATAAAAGATCGACAAACCGGCTGGAACACCAATTGCCTTCTGAGAAGCAGTAAGAGCAAAGTCAATGCCCCATTTATCGAATTCTAAGTCTTCGACTCCGATAGAGCAGACGCCATCAACAACAATCAAGGTTTCTGGTGACTCTTTTTTAACGAGATTTGAAATAGCAGAGACGTCACTAACAACAGCTGTCGAGGTATCGACATGAGTGATAGTAATTGCAGTGTATTTGTCAGATTTCAATTTCGAGGCAATTTCATCTAATGGAACCACACCACCAATATCGGCGGTGATAACATCGACCGAAGCACCGTAAACTTTCAAACACTCAGCAAAAGAATCCGAGAAGAAACCAGTAGATAATACCAACACTTTGTCACCTGGATTGATCAAGTTAGCTCCTACGACATCCCATCCTAATGTACCAGAGCCTGAAAGGACATATGGTTGGGCATTAGAATCTGTAGACTTAAATAACTTTCTCAAATTTTTCAACGCCGATTGGAACGTTTTAACGAATTCTGGAGAAGTATGGGCCTGCGATGGCGTTGCCATAGCATAGAGGACAGCATCGCTGAACTCAATTGGCCCTGGAATCATCGTCAATTTATGTTCTGGTTGTTTGTATGGAACAGCTGACATATTTCTAATTGTACTTATTGGTCTGAATCTAGTGAGTATTCCTGGAACTCTTCTAAGCATAAATTTAAAAATAAAGTCTGTATTCTTGAATATGATATACCAATAGTTATTGACAAGACTTGTATCTGCGTTCAAGAATTTCTCTGTAATGAGAAACTACCTGCAATTGCTGTTGGTCCGGAGAGCTCTGGAAAAGCATGGGGAATTACCCGTGAAAGATTACATAATATATGATATAAGCATTATATTTTCTGCAGCAGATCCTAATTTTGTTTGTGGATTTTGCATTCAAAGGACATCAATGTTAAACTCTAAGTCTCCGGCTAAATTATAAGGTTCCCGATAGGACAAAAGGGACTTTAAAGTTAAGTCTTATAGTTAGAGCACTAACAAGATAAAGAAATGAGTGTAATGCCATCTGTGCTAGTATTGGGGGAGACTCCTGCTTTGTTGCAACTTTCATGGGCATTGTCTAATTCAAACTGGCCAGTCATAAAGTGGGAGTACTCAAATAGAAATGCAAAACAAGCTAATAAAGGTTACTTCATATACTCAAAATCTGGATTGGCTGAATTTTCAGCGACCGAATTATTAACCGGCACCACGGAGTTGGCACTGTGGTTAGCCACTAGAACTAAAGAGAAATTGGATTATTTGCTACTTGCACCAGGCATTTGTGACGAATCGATACAAAAGCTTAAATCAGCACAGAAGATAATTGGTGATGAAACAATCGTGATTGTTGACTCAAGTGACGATCCTTGGGAAACCTTCAAAGTTGAGAAATTGTTCACATGTAATGTTATTCTTGCGATGTATTCCGACGTTGAGAGTAGGGTATTGGATGCCAGTTCGAAATCATATCAACTAGTGAACGATTGTCGAGAGTTAATTTTAGGACATAACACTATAAAGCAGTCATCTAACTCCAAAGATTGTCTTGATCTTAGTGGTGAAAGAGGAAAGAGGTTATTATTCCTCAAGATCACTTATGATAAAGCAGTAGGTCAGCCGAATTCTCTCAAAATAATTCCTTCAAGCTCTCTGAATACTTTAAGTAAAGCCCTTTGGATGAAGGTTATGGCGGTAGCCTGCATCGATTCAATGTCATTGATATTTGAGGAGCCTGATGTCTTGCTATTGTTTGCCAGAGTGGGTTCATTTACAACCCTGGAAGGAGCTTTTCATGAAATCTTAAATTTATGTGGAAAGTTGCAAAGAAAAGTTTTACCTCGTGAGAACTCCTTTGAATCAAGGGCATTGTTTAAGTTTTTGATTATCGTTCAGCAAAACAAAAGGTTGGAACGTATGTCAACATTGAGAGATATGAATAAACTACCGAACTCTATTGAAGAAACAGAGGCTCTTTATGACTTCAGCAAAAAACAAAGACAGAAAACAGTGGGAATCATTTCGGAGCTCTTGGAAAGAGCAAAGGAAACCAATGTTCAGGTTCCAAATTTAAAGTCAATTTTAAATTACGTTGCTATGCTGACAATATTTAGAGAGAGAAGTAAAATAGTGGGAACTCCTCATGTAACTCAGCATTCCACTAGGACTGCTCAAAATCAAACGAGTAACTCTTTGGCTCTTAAGGATAATGCATCGGTAAAGAAAATACATTCTCTCAATAGCCCATTAGGAATAGGAACACTAGTTCAGTTTCCTCTGGGGTGTAAACCTTTGATATTGATGAGTATTATTCAAGGGACTTCATCAATGAGAGGTACCTCGAAAAACAACATAGGTAATGTGGACAACGACAGTGACACTGAGCACGACAGTCTTGACTCCCAATTACGAGAATTAATTACAGGAAGAGAAAAGTTAACTTATGGAGAAGACATATTTTATGACGCTGATAATCAAAATTTGCAGCCGGTTACACCTTCACGGGCACCTTACAACTCCAACCAATCTCAAGAATATGTGCTTCAAAATACTGCTTCACCTCAGCAGCTACACTACAAGAATCACTTTTATCTTCAGCCTTCATCTAATTTTCAATCAGAGGTCAGCCGGCTTTCTAATTCAAATCTATTGAATTCCCATGGCACTGGATCACCGTATTCAATGCATAGAAATGCGACTAATACGTCATCCAGTACGATTGCAAGTAATGGTGACAATAGCATCTCTCAGTCTAATTCACTATCACAGGCCAATTGTCCAGGAACGAACTCCAAGAAGAAGAAATTCTTTTATCATGTTCCAACGCCTACAAACAAACACACATCTTCTCAGAAGCTTCGTGATTCTCATGCTAATCTTTTAGAATTAGTTCAATTCAGCGGGCTAGTAGAACATGGCTCGTCAAGTCGTTATGGCGATGTTGACACTTCGTCAGTTGTCTTAAGCAGTGCTAATAATAGTGGCAGGAGTAGTGCTAGGAGTAGCTTGACTCCAAGTAGAGGAAGCACTAAATATGATTCATATGTTCCTCAATCTCATACAGAATCTCAGCAGTCTCAACCACAGCAATCATCACAAGCTTCACAGAGCCAACTGCATGCTTCTTCACTGACGGGTTATTACGAAGAGTTCAGGAATGCAAGAAACCGGAGAAACGCAACGAATTGGTCACATCGCTCTACCTGAACTTAAATCAATTTTTTATTTGGTACGCGACCTAATATCTCTATGAAATTATATATTTAATTAAATAATAATTTGCAATATAGAATAGAACAGAATAGAAACTAGGCTTAATATAGTTGGTTAATAACATAGTTATTTCACAGCTGATGTCAGATGAAAAGAAAGATTTAAATCTAGAAAAGCAAATATTTTCGGAACAAATCGAGAAGATATTGAAAGAGTTACCATTCAAAGTACAACCATTAATTATTAATAAAAATGATTCAATGAAAAAGCGAATTGAACTGGGGTTATCGCAAGTTGAGACCGAAGGATATGTTTTGCTAGTGGGCAAATCCAGTGCGGTTCAAAAAGCCATCTCAATTACCGAAATAATTAAACAGAGAAAGACTTTGAAGCAGTATAATAAACTTTCGAAAATCTCGATAGTAAAGCACAGTGATATAGAGAGTTCTAAAACAATTAATTTGCCAATTCTTCTTTCTCTATTAGCAGTTGATGAAGTCAACTGCCAATGGACGAAACAATAGTTGCATAGTACAGTCTACATAAGCATGATACCTAATCAACACCCGAAGAATACATCGTTTCTATAAGGATTATCAAGGAAGTTTTCCTGCCGGGGCCCCATACTCCCTCGTATGTTGTTGAAGCTCAGTTGATGAAAATTATCAACCGAATATGTCTATTTTATTCAACTTTCTTGAAGCTTTTCTGCATTTTTGCGTAGCTGCACCAACTCTTTCATTGATAGGATTGTATCCTTTTAAATGAGGAGCCCCATGTACTTCATTACGACTCTCTATACATACTTAAATCTATAATTTCATTTAGCCTATGTTTATATCAAAGTCACGTGCATGAGACCTATCCAATAGAATTAGTACAAAAACCTTTTGCTCGATGTTCAGCTCAAATATAGTTATCAGCATTAATTAAGTATACAATTGAATAATAAAATAACTAGACGTCATGGCTTTAGATCCGGAAACCTTTAAATTTGAAACGCCTCAATTTGATGCCAGATTTCCATATCAAAATCAAACCAAACATTGTGCGCAAGCATACATTGATTATCATAAGTGTGTAACTGTAAAAGGTGAAGATTTCGAACCATGCAAGATCTTCTGGAAGACCTTCACCTCGTTATGCCCTTCAGACTGGGTTGAAAAGTGGGATGACCAAAGGTCCTCTGGTAAATTTCCAGTCAAGATGGATTAAGGATGATAAAGCGGTTAACAAATTGAAAATTATCAATGAGAGTCAATCACATAACTTATGTCATATTAAGTAGATAATACATTCTATTTACATTAAGGGCTTTTGTAAATGCTTGAGAGTTGCGGAGTTCGATCAAGAAACCAAGATCACTTGAAGGAAAAATGATAATCTATTTACCAAAAATCATCTTCCAAATTCTCGTTTCTGAACTGACTACCGCTTGCTCTCATGTTCTCTTCAGAGAATATATCCTCATATGGGTTTTCTGCCCGTTTTTTCTCATCTTTATTAGATTTTTGTATCTCCTTTTGGTCCTGAAGATAAGAATGTTCTCTTAGCTTCTTTTCCGCCTCGTAACTTCTATTCATTTCCTCTGTCTCTTTCAAAAATACTTCAGTTGGTACATCCTTCTTCGTCTTAGTAATCTTGTTGACAACAGTGCTGTCTTTCTTGTCGACATGTAATTTTTTCACTTTCTTTCTACTTTTGAATGTCACTGTTCCAATATCCATTGAGCCATCAGTGTGCAAGTTTTCTACCGGAGTATATATTATCTTTACGTTGTTAACCTTATTTCCTTTTATTGAATTAGCCTTGGTTAGTTGGGCGACTTGACTTAGCAAAGTTTCATCTAGTTTTAAGTCATCGAACTTTGCAAGTCTTTCTTCGTCTTCCAAACGCAAGTACAAATGCGCAGACGAGAAGTTATCTACGTGAAACCAAAGATCTTTGGAATGTGAATGTTTGATTAATGGATCATTTTCAAATTTATCCTTTCCCATGTATACTGTCCTTTCTTTTGGGCCCAGCTCATCGTTTTGGATGACCGTGAAAAAGTATACCATTGCACCTTTGAAATTTGACGACAAAGAGCCTAAATTTCCAACTATAACAACTTGTTTCACCCAGCCTCACTATGTAGTCCTCTACGGGTGTCGCTAGCGCTCCTTACATAGTGTTGTTTTCATACCTGTTACATCTGAGAATACGCGACTGAAGAAAGTTACTGGATTAGTATAAAGGACTTGTTTAGGAAAATCGACCATCTAAATTTTTTATCCTTAATAGTACCATTCCTTAGATCTATTCATTCATTAATCCTACCAGATCATATAACTTACTTTAGTCTTTCCTTTTACCAATTATTTTTAACTTATACATTCTTTTTTGGTATGATTGATTACGAGTCTGTCTTGGAATTTGAGGAGTCTTTGAGGTCAAGCAGTAAATGGGACAATTTATCATTACTTAGAAACTTGGAGCTCAAGATAGAACTTAACAGGAGCAAAAGCGATCAGGAAAAGAGGGCATCTTTTGAAGAAAAGGATCTTCTAGACACCTTTGATAGCTATGATATAACGAAAGATGATTTTGCTACTTGTTCGAAATGCGGTCATTCATTAAAGGATCCGAATAGCTACAAATCATGTTGCAAGGTGTCTTCAGAAAGTGGAACTTTGACAACACTTGAAAAGACATATTATCTCTTGTTTATTAACAGTCCTACATCGACAATTAACACATTACCTTGCTACACACAGTTGTTGTTCTTACAACAGGGTATTCCTAACCAACTAAGATCACTCATTTGGAAGAAACTTTTTCTATTGAGCGATGATGACACTCCAGCATCATCTAGATTGATATTTAAAAACTTTCAACATTCATATTCGCCTGAAGTATCGAATCAAATAAGTAAAGATTTAGGAAGAACCTTTCCATCAATCGATTTTTTCAAAGAAGAGAAAACTATTGAAGATTTGGCTACGATATTGAACGTTTATGCGAATTATGATGTGGAATTAGGGTATTGTCAAGGTTTATTGTTTTTGGTTGGTGTTTTATATTATCATTTTAAAGGTGAAGGGGATTTGACGTTCCATGTTTTGGTTACTATTATGGAACAAGAATCAGAGTTACACAATATTTTTACTGCTTCTACTATGTCATTCACTTTGGAGAAATGGTATGGTGAGTTTTCACACATCCTCAAAACCGTGGATAACAATCTATATGAGCATTTATTTGCATTCACAGAACCACATGTCTTTTTATACCAATGGTGGATGTCTTTTGCTTCGAGCCATACCTCTGATATTTCCATAGTGAACAGAGTTATGGATTTTTGTATCCTTCAAGGTTGGAAGGTTGGCTTGTTCAAAATATCATTAGGTTTACTTTTAACTAATAAGCCTATAATAATGAGTCTTGAAAAAGATGATGAAGAAGTTGTCTATCAACACTTATTGAACGAGAGCAAGTGGGGCAATACTATGAATGATATTGACTTGTTTTTTGGTAATTTACTACTCTCCTGGGATAACAATTTGTTCGTTTTTGATCAACCGGCAAAATCACCAGAAAAGCAGCAGCAGCAACACCACCACCAATCTTTGACCGACAGATTTAAAGGAATTTCGGTCAGTTTGTCGAAGTCGAGGTCCAACAGTGATGCATCCTCTTCTGCCCCGAGTTCAGCTGTTTCTCATGAATCGTCTTCATCATTATTTTCCAGCAAACTTGGTCGTGATGAACTCGACTCAATATACTCGATAACGAGTGACATAAGTGAAAGTAAATCTTTTGTGGACTACTTGAAACTTCCATGCATAACAAAGCATTCTACTGCTGAAGGTTCGACAGAGAGCTCAGAGCTTGCTTCGATGAAGCTCTTATTAAAGAGAGCTTACAAACTTCTTGATGATAATTCAAAGGAAGCAAGTAATCTTAAAGAAGAAATTTCTAAAGTGATTCAAGTCGAGTAGGTCTTTCGACTTTCTTATATACTCATATATATGTTTGATATACGTGAACATGCTGCTATAGCAGGCATGTAGGCTCCACTATCCGGGTAAAAGCTGATACTTTAAATTCCACAAAAAGTTACACAAAGCCACACTCGTATTGTCCAGAGAAAAATGACACCGGTGGGCCAATTTGAAGAGAGTCTTCTTTACCATATTAAAAAATTAGAGAAATAAATCTATAAAGTCATTCTAGTTGACGAATAAACTGATCTTTAGGTCTTCGAAGCTGCAATTGGTACATCAGAGAACGAAATTGACCTTTCAAATTATTAGTGGTCAAATCTGATTCTTTTTTTATATTATCTACGGTTGTAACTTACTATTGAGGCGAAAACTCGGGTCAGATACATTCAGAAAGAAGCGAAGAGCAAGATCCATTGGAAGTAACTTAAACCGTGTCAGGAACTACTACCAAGGGCCCATTGGGCGATCAAAAGTTACAAGACGAGGTTTCAAGAGTCATATTAAATCAATTATCAATCTTAGTGATTACTGTCTCAGAAGATAACTTTGACCATATCTCAAGACAAATTCGTTACATACTTAAAGGCGACCGAAAGAATTCTCTCATCTTATATTACTACCTTGAAAAGTTAATAAGTCTTGCTAAATATTCTCCATCGGGCAAGCTTACTACCGTTGATAAATTATTAAAAGAGGAGTTAAATAGTATTTCAGAAAGACCAAAGGACTTCGAAAATTATTTTGAACTTTTATCTAATCTATTTATTGAAAAAGATAGTGCAATCAACTTTGTTGAAAAATTTGACTGTGATTTATTAGTTTCATTCATTTTGCTTATTAAATTCCAATCGCAAGATTCAGAAAGAGCAAAAAAGTTCATTGTTAATAAGTTCGTATCTTTTTTAAAAAGTCTAGTTCCAAGGATTAATTTAGATAAATCTAATTGGACCTTCGTCTTGGATTACGTTTTAAGCTCACCTTTAGTTCCATTTTTGTTTCGTTTATTAGCTGTCTATCACTTGAAGCTTGATTCCGAAATAAAGCCAATAAAAACTTTTTGTCAAAATCTTCAAGAAATGTCGTTCAAGGATATACTTATAGAAAGCAACGTCAAAGAAAAGCTATTGCCTGACAAGCTTTTATCAATTCTTTTAGAATTCAAAGCAAGTGAAATCAATCTCAATATTGCACTAATTCTCTCTGAAGTTTTGTTTCCTGGTACGCAAGGCTTACCAGATGGATTAGCATTTACAAATAGCTTACCTGAAGCTAGTGCAGGTGGTGCGCAAATACAAAGTTGTTTTCGCTCTATTGTGAGTGATTCAAAATTCAAAGTCAATTGGTATGAAGTGTTTGCTTATGTCAACAAATATTTACTTGAGACTTCAGCAGGAGATTCTCAGCCTTCTTTAACCAGTCTCACTCAGTTGTTTTCCGCGTTGGATTTTCAACCTGGTATTATTGATATCTTTTTGAATTGCAATTGGTGGTTTGACAAAACCTTAATATACTTCTTACAAACTAGTGATCCACAACAAGGTGGATATGATGTTTCATCTCTGAAGAATTTAGCACTTTGTTTCGAAGAAAGTATCAATGAACCATCTTCACCAAGGAAAAATATTTTAAAATTCATAAATATTGGAAAACTAGAAGTGAATGTCATGTCTCAGGTTCAACAACAACAAATTCTGGCCCAACTCACTGAGCTGGATGGTAAACTTAATCATTATTTAAATCAAGTTTTTGAACACGATTGCCGCCTTTTTACTGAGTTCTTGTTTGTTGCTGCTATACTGATTGCTGATAAGACCCAGTTTATTAGTGGATTCATAGATACGCTTTTCACACTTTTGATGGATGCAGGGAGTGAATCTTTGCAAAGAGTGATCTTAAAATTCAAAGAGGTCGATCTTGATGTGACCATCTTGAAACTTATCGATTATTATACCAAAAGAGGTACACCAGAAGCTGTGAACAAAGTTCTTGACTTAAGCCACAACGCTGGATTCTTTGATTTGCTTATCCAGAAGGCTTGGCAACTCGATGTTAAGCTTGGATTAAATTTCACTATTGATGCATCAAATTTTGGTTATGATTATGAGTCTGTTATTGAATCTAAGTTTAATGATCCTGAATTAAAAAGTGTGTTGTATCAATCCATCTTAGAGACCTTAGAGACTAGAGCACCTCAGGATTATGAAAGGGTCCAACAACAACAACAAGTGCAGGGAAACGATACTTTATATAAACCATTAAAGATTACTGTTGTATTTTATCTTTTAGAGAAACTCAAGGGGAGTAAGGGCCTAATTGACGCAGAGAGATTGAAAAACTTGCAGCTACTGCTTTTAACAACTTATCCAAGATTGATAAATTTTGGATGGGGCCATGACGAGGCTATATTGAAGAATAGCGAAGCGTCTAATTCTTTCCCAAGTGATGTTGAGCAGGAAATGAAGTCATATTACTCAAAGATGTATAATAAAGAAGTTGATATTAAAGAGATTGTGGACATGCTTATTCGAATGAAATCTAGTGACGATCCTCATGATCAAGACGTCTTTGCATGTATGATCCATTCGTTGCTTGACGAGTATAGATTCTTCTCTGAATATCCACTATCGGCATTGGCTTCAACCTCATTGTTATTCGGAGCACTTTTGGAGAAGGATCTCATCCAAGGAACGACATTGACTGTTGCATTGAACTTTATTTGGGAGTCTTGTAATCAACCACAGGACTCACATTTATTTAAATTTGCTGTCCAGTCATTATACAATTTTAAATCAAGGTTACACGAATATCCCATATATTGCAAGCATTTGCTAGAATGCCAGTCTTTGGTCTCACATGCTAAAATGTATCAAATTGTTAAAAATGCAGCTAATGGTGTTCCTCGGACGGGAGCAACGGTAACTCCGACTCCTAAGACTGGACCCCGGTATCAATCGATTACCGTATCGGATAAACAGCTTGGTGATATACCTCAAGAAGACCCAAGTGAATCTGTATCTGACAAGCTTTTGTTTTACGTTAACAATATGACGAGTGAAAACATGAAGATCAATGAAATCAAAGAGCTATTGCCTGAAAAGTACCTTCTTTGGTTTGCAAATTACATGGTGTCTGACAGAGCAAAAATAGAGCCTAATAATCATGATCTTTATGCAGAAGTTGTAAGGCAAATCGACAGTTCCATATTTTATGAATATGTTTTGAATGTTTCTCTTAAGGAAGCCGAGAGGATTATTAGAAACTTCAAAGATTCATCCAATGATCGAAATAACTTAAAAAATATTGGAGCATGGATTGGAAAATTAACCTTGGCAAATGACAAACCGTTATTGAGAGATCAGATTGCGTTGAAGTTTTTGCTAGTTGAAGCTTTTGACTTTAAGTCACTTAATTTAATAATCCCTTTTGTCTGCAAAATTTTGGATCAAGCTCAAAATTCTATAGTCTTTCAGCCACCCAATCCCTGGGTTCTAGGAATTTTGAAAGTTTTGGCAGAACTATATGAGTGTGCTGATTTGAAACTCAACTTGAAATTTGAAATAGAGGTTCTTTTGAACTCCTTCAAATTGAAAATCGAAGACATAGAACCTTCAAAACTCATAAGATCACACAATCCCAAGCCTAATGCACTCGCGGCGTATTTTGGTGTTCACCCTGAGACAGTAACATTGGTTAATGATATGTCGAGATTAGCGTTAGAAATTCCCGATGGCGTCGATACTTCTGCCCAACAGCAGCAGTCCCTGTTACCTCAAACTTATGCTCAGCCTCAAGTTCAACAGGCTCAGCAACCTCAACAACAACAACAGTTGCAACCAGAATACAGTTTAGATACCAGTTTCAGTACTCTTGTTGGAAATACAATTTTCACCGAGCATGCTAATTTAAGAAGAGCTTTTCAAGCGTCTTTGTCAAGGGCAGTTCGTGAGTGTGCTGTTCCCATCTTAAGTCGTGTCTCAGAAGCGGTTTTAACAACTACAGAAGCAATGATCAAAAAAGATTTTGCTTGTGAGGCAGACATTAAAAAGTTCCATAAAAGTTACCAAACCTTGGCACAACAGTTAGCTCATAGCATGGTTCTTTGCACGGGACGTAAAATTCTCAGCGAAGCAATCGAGGCTACTATGTTGCAGCTACTTGGAAACAATGCTGCTGAACTTCCCTTGGCCGAGTTAGGAACTGCAATCCAAGCAAACGTTGGTTTATGCGTAGATATTGTGGACAAGATTGCCGCAGACAACATAAGTGAACTAATCGATGAAAGAATGCTGAAGCAAAGATTACTTCGTGAACAGCATCGTAATGGCGAACCTTTCGTCGAGGAAAGTATAAATGAATATGCTTTAAATTTACCTCCACCGTTGGGATTGAATCCTGAGGGTATCACTCCTAATCAGCTCCGCATATATACTGAATTTGGTACTAATGGCCCCGCCAGTAGGATCGAGCAACAGGTTGAACCTCAAGTGAATCCACAATTGACATTGGTTCAAGATGACTTTGCTACCTTTGAATCATTATTCACTGCTATTACTCAAAACTGTGAGAAATCAATTCAATTATTATCTGATGTCCAAGAAACCAGGTTGGCGGACCTTGATCCTAATCATCCAATAATGACTTCTTTGAGCCATGCTTTAACAATTGCGCAAAACAATGCTCTAAAGTACCCTGAATTGCTTTTGAAGGCTGCACAGTATGCTGTAAATTGCTTGTTTACTCAAGCGCATGAAAATCCAATGAGCAATGAAATTTACGTTGTATTTTTGGATAAGTTGTGTGAGTTCTCACCTTCAACTGCTAAGGATGTTACTTGGTGGCTTGTTCATTCTTCAGATCAACGTAAGTTTAATATGCCGGTGATATATTCTCTTCTTAAGGTGCAACTAGTCCAACCAAGTAAATTAGATTCATCCTTAGGTGCTTTGATCTTAGAATCCAACAATCCTACTGTCGTCAAGTTTGCAGCCAATTTATTGGCCAACGTCTTCACCGCAGATGACTCACATCCATTTGCCTTGAGGTCAGAATTTGCAATAACTTTGGATGCACTTTCCAAATATCCTGGAAACGAACCGGATGAGGAACATGTTCAAGCCAAGTTGGCCCGTGACAACTTGTTTAACTTGTTAAACAAGCTCAATAGTCCAAATTTGGAACAAGTGTACAGTCAGATGGGTTATATTTTTGCTGAATGGATTAAGCTTTTAACTCATGGGGACAATACAGACTCCTTACAGGATTCCTTTATAGATAAGTTGCTAGGTGATGACATACTTACAGATCCTGACCATTTTGAGATATTTTTCAAGGCAGCTACAGAAATATCAGTTACGGCTTTTGCAACGGAGCATGAGGTTAGAGCCAGGACTCAGCGTGATTGCTATTTAGCTGTTGACACTTTGGCAATCCTCATAGTAAGGATAATTTTGAGGTTTGAAGATGAAGATGAAGCGATTGAGTATTTACAAAATATTATTGGAATCATTTTGTTGGTTTTGACTAACGACCATGAGGCATCGACTGGAACGTGGAATGAAAGAGCATATTTCAGATTATTTTCGTCGTTACTTTCTAGTTGGAATTCTGCTTCCATTTTTGATAAAGATGCTACCATCAAGTTGGATAGCAAGTTTTACTGTTTATTGGGAGAGGTTTTCAACTCCTTACAACCTATAATCTTTCCAGGGTTTACATTTGCATGGATTTCTTTGATAGCACATAGAATGTTTTTACCAAGATTGGTAGAGTTGCCAGATAAACGAGGCTATCAAACGGTGGTAAAATTATTGACAGCAATTTTGAAATTCCAAGCTGTATACTCGAAAGAGGCGCATCATGATGTGATATTTGTTATATTCAAAGCTGTTAACAGAATAATCGTCGGCTTAGCTCATGATTATCCTGAATTTTTAGTTGAATGTCACTACCAGCTAGTTACGGCAGTGCCTAGGGAATATATCCAGCTAAAGAATATTATTCTTTCAGCTACACCATCTAATATCACAGTACCTGATCCGTTCACCCAAGGCCTTAAGGTTGAAAGGCTACCAGAAATTAATGATTCCCCAATCATCAATTATAAGCCATTGGAAGATTTACTGAAAATTGGATTAAAGAAGCCTGTGGATAATTTTTTGAGAATCCCAGCACCAGGACTCATGAAAAGCATTTATGCTGGAATGAAATTGAACCACCCAAAGGAAGTAAACGATTGGGGATTCGATGTGGTCCATTATAACGTAAAGTTAGTTAATGCTTTGGTTTTACATGTTGGGATTTCGGCTGTGGCTGACAGATTACCTAACAATGTTAGGGGTTTCAATACAAAGACTTCCCATGTCGCGCTCTTAGTTGATCTCATGAACTACGGATCTCTGGAATTCAAATTCCACTTGATAAATGCAATAGCTAACCAGTTGCGATATCCTAACAGCCATACGCACTGGTTTATTGGTATTATACTTCATTTTTTCAGCTCAAGCTCAATATGGGCCACGGCATCTAATAAAGCTATTGTGCAAGAAGTCATCACCAGAGTGTTGTTGGAAAGAAGAGTTGTTAGCAAGCCACATCCCTGGGGTCTCACTATTGTCTTCACAGAACTTTTGAAAAACGGCGACTACGGCTTCTTTGATCTTCCATTTGTTAAAGATGCCATCCCTGAATTAAAGAACATATTTGATGCTTTGTCTCTTAATTTCACAGGTGCTTCTCCAAATGACCCATAAGAGAATGAAACTAGAATTCACGCTCCAGCTCAATGTTCATCTAATCTCAGCTCTCACCTAACCAAATAGGTCACAAATATGCCTCATGAACTTCTTTTTCTACTGCAATTTATTCCTTCAAAGTTGTCGACTATGAACTAGAAAGAGAGCTAAGTATTATCTTTTAATCTTTGTATATTAGTGTAAAATAACCTTTATCAAATACACGTATTTACTTTAGATATGTTTGTTGTCTTTTCGCACTACCTTATTTATCATCTCTGAGCTCTGGCCCTTCCACAAACATATTAGTCAACTTACGAGAGCAATATCGATAAAAACAGACTAACAGGAGTAAAATGACACCCTTCAGAAGGATAGCTAAAGAGTTGGAAGAGTGCCGTCAGGATACAAAATCAGGTATTGTTTTAAAGTTAAATAATGAAAGTGATTTGACTCGATTAACCGGGTATTTTAAGGGCCCGCCAGGAACGCCCTATGAGAAAGGAACATTTCAAATAGATATCACTATTCCAAATGAATACCCGTTCAAACCACCTCAGATGAAATTTGCGACTAAAATCTATCACCCTAATATCTCGTCTGTGACAGGAGCTATATGCTTGGATATTCTCAAGGACGCCTGGACGCCGATCCTCACTCTCAAGAATTCATTGATTTCGTTACAATCCTTATTGCAGTCGCCAGAGCCGAATGATCCTCAGGATGCAGAAGTTGCTAAACATTACTTATCGAACAAGAAAGGCTTCGAGGAGACAGCTGCCCATTGGACTAAGATTTATGCCAGCGACGGTGACAAAGTCAACCTTACAGATCAGGACGACGCTGCGTTATATGGCATTGATAACGATATTGTTGTACAGTTTGAGAACATGGGCTTTCCCAGGGATAAAACTATCGACATTTTGAGAAGAATGGGCATCAAGAGTTTTGCTGGTGTTAGTAACAAAGGCGACTTGGAGAATAAAATTCTAGAGGAATTGTTGAAAGAGTGCCAATGAACCTACGAAATGGCAACTTCCTGTTAATAGCAACATCATAATACAATCCATCTCTTTCCTATTCATGTAGTTTGACTAGATCTTGTTTTAGCTGAAAATCGAAGAGTCGTGCCTAATGATTGGCATTTTCGGTGAAAATTTTAAAATTCTACCTCCATCACTAAAACTACTTTTAACCTTAGAGCACGTTAAGGGGCCTAAGCATCATGACCACTTCGCCTCCTGATACACCTAATCTTCAGGTGAAAGAACATGGATTACTGTTCGAAAGGGCAGCATCAATTGGATGGTTTTTCATTGAGTCTTACTATGACTTCTACAATAAGAATATTGAAAATATTTTCAAGATCTATCATTCTGATGCCACCGTTAGTCATACTAAGTTCCCGTCTAAAGATGGTGACGAGATGAAAACTATTTATAAAGCAAGTGGTATTGAAGCGATCAAGGCAAGATTTGCCAACGAATCAGACACGACAAAGACAGGTAACAGGATTGTTGTAACAAGTGCCGATTTCGAAGTATGCTTGAAAGATAAGATCATGATCTCAGTTCTCGGAGAATGGTCTAGAGACCACTCTCCATACTATCAATTTATCCAAACTTTTCTTTTAGTCCCCGGAAAGAAAGAAAACACATTTGATGTTGCTAATGATTTCTTGAGGTTCATTGATTTCAATGACTTCAAAGAACAACCAAAAATTGTTAAAATAGAACAGCCAATAGAACCTAGTGCAAATATCGAAGCAGCAGAACCTGAAACGACAACTGAAGGAACTGAGGAAAAAACTTCAGAAAAGACAGCTCCTGAAAAGTCGGAATCTCTGAAACCAACGGCCGTCGAGATTGCCATTGAAACACCAGTGGAAGTATCAGACAAAAATCTGACAGAAGAAGCAGCTCTCCAGGAGCCTAATGATAAATCTACAGAAACCTTAGAGACGAAGAAATCAGCAGACTTGGAGAAAACTAAAAATGAAGGTGAGACTATTAAGAAAGTGGAGCAGAAAGAAGCCGTTGAATCTAACGGATCTAAAGAAGTGCCCAGCGCTATCGATGAGACAGAAGAACTGATTCATACAGAAGATAACAGTAAACTGAAGACTCCTCTTTCGTGGGCTGCTTTGGCATCCCAAGCAGCTCCAGTCAAACCTGTTGTCAAGGTTGCCACCCCACCCGCAACAAAACTGACTACAATTAAAAAGGCTAATCAGACCTCGACGCCTTCACCTCAACAAGCTCAACAAACTCAACAGGGCATGAAATATAAGAAGGAAGACTGGTTTCCAATATATATTCGTGGTGTTAAGCAAGTTGATGAAAAGCATTTGAAATCTCAATTGATTAAGAAGTTTGGCCCCATCAAGTTTTTCAAATTAAATATTAATATTGCATTTTGTGATTTCGTCACTGAAGAGTCACAAAAGAAAGCACTAGAAGCAAAGGAGATGGCTGTCGACGATATCGTTATTCAGTTGGAGCCTAGAGAATCCAAGACTAATAATGGTAATAAAAAAAGTAGCACTTCCAAAGACCAAAAGGACAAGTCAAATGGAAGTGATTCGAAACGTAGTAAAAACGAAAAGAAACCGAATGGAAAGAAGAAGACATCCTCCTAATTCCATTTGAGCATTTCACTATTATACGTATATAAATAGGATTTCTTAATAGATACCAAGAGTAATACTTCATGTTATATGTAGTCGACCTGCGCCAAATATAATTTTAAGAAAATCAATACGAATTCCATCACCAAATTCAATATCTACACTAATAGCTGTAATGATGAACTTCTTACGTCGAAGAAGGCATTCAAGCGATGAAGAGGACGATGATGTCCTTAACGATTCATCTTCAACGGTAAAAAAATCTAGGAGACCACCAAACACTGCATTCAGACAACAAAGATTAAAGGCATGGCAACCGATTTTAACACCTAAGTCAGTGATACCGTTCTTGTTCGTGCTAGCAGTGATATTTGCGCCATTAGGTATAGCGATTTTACGTACTACTTACAACGTGGAGCTAATCACTCTCGATTATTCGAAATGTGAATCCTTAAAGAGTAACAGCTTAGAAGATGTTCCTTCGAAGTACACAAGTTATCATTTTAGGAACAAGAATACAAATCCTAAGTTCCAGTGGAAGGTCGTAAACTCTACTGACTCTTTCAAAGACTTGGCACAAACTTGTGTGATCCAATTTGATTTACCAAAAGACATAAAACCTCCTCTCTATCTATACTACAAACTAACAAATTTTTATCAAAATCACAGAAAATATGTCGAATCTTATGATTTGGAGCAACTTAAGGGTATAGCGGTGTCATCTGACGATGTGACAGATAAGTGCAAGCCAGTTAAACACATTGGTGAAGGGAAAAATGCAAAACTTGTGTATCCATGTGGGTTGATTGCAAACTCATATTTTAACGACACAATTTCAAGCCCAGTCTTGTTGAATGCAAAGGGCAATCAAGACAACCAGACCTACGAATTTAGTTCTACAGGTATCTCGTGGAAATCAGATCGTGATCATAAATTCAAAAAGTCTAAATATAACCCTAAGGACATCGTTCCCCCTCCAAACTGGTATAAAATGTTTCCTGACGGTTACAACGACACAAATATGCCTGACTTACAGACCATGGAACATTTGCAGAATTGGATGAGGACTGCAGGTTTACCTTCGTTTTACAAACTTTATGGTAAAAACACATCACTGACTCTTTCATCTGGGACATACCAAATCCTGATAGAGATGAATTATCCTGTGTCAATCTTCGGAGGTACCAAGAGTCTTGTGATTACAAATAACTCAATATTTGGGGGCCGCAATATGAGTCTAGGCGTAATATATATAATTGTTGCCGTGATCTGTCTTGTCCTTGCAATAGCCTTTTTATTACAACATTTGATATGGCCAAGGAAAATCGGTGATCACAATTACTTGCATGGAAATAACCCTGAGAGTGCTACTACTTTTAGAGATCAATTATAGTATTATTAGCTTCTCTTTGCTATAACTTAATATTGACACCTAGCTTCAACTTGCCAAAGCATTCCAATGTTAATCTTAGAGATTGTATTGAATGAAACACATATACTTTGATTTTTCTTTCTTATGACCTCCCTTATGCCTTTATCTCTATTGTATTACAGCTTATATTGAGTTTAGTGGCCTCTATTGAGGGCACATAAGTTACACAAAATGGCATTTTTCGATCAAAAGCTTCAGCATCTCGACATCCTTCAAGCTTAAGTAGAAAGATTAAGTGCCTAACAATTGTAATAGTGATTCTACAACTTTAAGACGAACGGAAGAATATCATAATTAGATCTCCAGCAGATATATTAGGTAAAAGAGAAATTTACTTTACGATTCAGTCTATTAACTTTAGTAGTGAATGAGCAAATTGGTAACACTCAAAAGATTATTGAAGCAGTATGAATGTTAATCCACAGCTTCAGTACTTGCAGCAGCAGCAACAGCAACCGCAGCAAGTATTAGGAGCTACTGGACTGTCACCACAAGTTTCTCAGTTACAGTTACAGCAACAGCAGTTGCAAAGACAGCAGTTGTTAAATCAACATTTACAGCAACAAACACATTCTCAATTAGGAGGATCTGGAAGTTTAGGATTCAATCCTGCAATGACAGCCTTAGGTAATGCTAATAATGGACAGACTTCTGTGGGAAGTGGGATGGCCGCATCAAGCCAGAATTTGAATCCTGTTTTGCAATTACAATTACAGCAGCAGTTGCAACAACAACAACAACAGCAGCCTACTCAGCAATCTCATCCGTCAGCAAATTTCCAACCACAGCGCCAACTGCAACTGCAACCACATCAGGCACCTACTATAAAAGAGGTCTGGAGCCAGAACTTAGAATATGAATTTCAATCGTTGCGTTCTTTTATTGAAGATCGCTCATCCGACATATTCATTGCAATTCATCAGGAAATACCAGGGATTGTTGTGAGACCTGTTGGCTCTTTTAAATCTTCATCAGATTACCACTTCCAAACGTTAAGATCGAATTCAGATTTATTGAATATAATTCAATTGAGCTTGTGTGTCACCAAGATCAACAGGAATGAAACAAGCTCTTCAGTTATTTGGCAATTCAACTTTTATTACGATTTAAACTATGAAATGTATAACGAGGAGCACTTGGCAATGCTCTCTCAAACGTCACAAATTAACTTCCCCATGCACATGGCACAAGGTATAAAGCAGTTTTCCTTCGCAGAATTATTGATTGAAAGCGGTCTATTATTGGATGATTCAATAAATTGGATCAGTTATCACGCGGGCTATGACTTGGGGTTTTTCATTAGCTTGCTAATGAACAAAAACCTCCCTGATGAAGAAAAAGACTTTTACTGGTGGTGTTCAAAGTATTTCCCAAATTTTTACGATCTCAAGTTTTTGGGAAATCAACTTTTGAACAAATCCCCAAGCGACACAGAAGGAGGGAAAAATTCCACTAACAAACCTTCTATTGAATACTTGGCAGAAGAGCTTCAATTGTTACCAATATCTCCTGCAATTCGCCAATACTTTGCAACCTCATCATCTACTTATTACCCAGGCCATCAACAGCAAATAACTTCAACATTGCATGCATATTTGTCGATGGAATGTTTCAAAGAATTGCTCAGGAAATCTTCTTACGATCCAGGGGCTCTTAAAAGCTATAAAGGTATAATTTGGGGACTAGGCAATATTTATGGTCCGAATCAAAACGATGATTTACAAATACATGATGCTGGAGCGGGAATTTTAACACCTAGTGGTTCAAAGGGATTTGTTCATTTTGGAAGACCCCTTCAATAGATCACATTTATTTTATAGATCTTATTAATGAACGATATCAATTGATTGATACGAAGCCGTATTTATTCTACTATTTTATGAAATGCGAATAATGCTTTATATACTTGAACGATCAGTCCTTAAATCCTTCCCATTCTTCTTTCTTGAGACGTTTACTGTCAGCTTGATCGTCCTCAGACAAGCTTGTCGAACTCCTCTTCTTACTATCTTGATCCTGTGACTTATTTATAGCAGTTTTATCGTTCTCTTCATCTCTTGGTGGCGGTACAAACCAGGGTATTTTACCTCTGTTAAAGTCATTCAAAATCTGTTTTGATACACCACTCTCGTCTGGTTCACCACCTTTTAATAATCTACCGTGTTTCCTTGCAATTAATTCCACAAATTCGGAACTTGCCCTTTCCAACAACTCTGGGTCTTCTTCAAATTTACTCCAGCCTTTTATTTCATAGGTTCTCTCTAAATGCTTCCTCTCACATTTTTGAAGTAAGTCTGGTATATATTGTTCAGGATTTGAAACATGTTCCACTCTGACGACACCTCTAAATAAAATATCTGATTCAGTATCTTTCAGAGATGGTGGGACAATCCCTGGACAATCAATCAAATATATTTTCTTCATTAATGTGATATATTGCCAAACCTTTGTCTCCCCTGGAATTGGGGCAACCTGACACACTTTCTTACGACGTAATGTATTTATAATTGAAGATTTTCCAGTATTAGGATACCCAATAAAACCAACGGATATCTGTTTACGGTCAGAATGCAATGAAGAAAATTGACGTAGAAGTTGAATTAAAGAACCCTTCCCAAAAGAATTAGTGATAGAAGCATGAAATGCCAAAGTCGGGTACGATTTTGATAAATGCTTTACCCAAGCAGCCTTGATTGATAGTTAGTATTGTGTCTGTGAACACATGTGATGGTAGTCGAAGTGAATAGTGTAAAAAATTTAAAAAAAAAAAAATGCAAATAATAGGATGTCGGAATCTATACTAAGAAACTCCCCATGGAATAGAAGGAATGCACCTTCGAAGGTTTCAACTCAAAAAAGATCCCGATACTCCCCTGGTAGGATGATAATAACTATCAACCAATTGCAAACAATTTCCAACCAGAACGGTTAAAAATCAACTGTTAAGTTGCGTTCACGGCGGGAAGTATCATTCTTCCAAAATCGTAACAGGTGACATCGTGATGAGGTAATAAAAACCCAGAATTGTCACCCTGACAGAGACTTTGGTGTCAAAAAAAGAAATAAAAAAAAGATAAAGTCTTGCAAAAAAAAAAAGTTTTTAAAACTGTCATAGACAAAAATCTTAACAACGAATTGTGATTCAACCCTCGACTACCACCAAATGAAATGAAATAAATTGTACTTACTGCAACCCAAGTCGGTACTAAGTCACATTTGTTCAAAACAAATATTAAATGCTTATGAGCACATTCTTCTTTAAGATACCTCTCAACCGGAGCACATCTAGTTCCCAATGGATCCCTTGCATCCAAAACGTTAATTATGACATCTGAAGAGTCAATAACTTTATAAAGCTCATTCCAAATTCTCTTCGACTGACCCTTGTGAAAAACGGCTTCTTTTGCTTCCTCCGTGAAATCATCCTTATCCAAGAACGAACCTCCCATCAAGCCTAAAGTAGAGTCTAATTCTTTCTTTGTTTCGTAATCATAGGAGTCTGATTCAGTTTTTGAAGCTAAGTCTTCTAAAGTTGATACCTCTAACGTCCTTGGCTTCTTTCTTTGTTGTTTTGGACCAAATGTCAGTTTATAGGACTCTGTTTCTAATATTTTTGCAGTTGGAGCCTCAGTCAGATCCTTCTCATCCAATAGCGACATTGGAAGCTTATTTCTTTTCAACAAGACTTGGTATGAATCATGCTTCTTGTCTCCCATTGCTTCTCTAAAATGGGTAAGAGCATCCTGGGCAATAACTCTTGTGTTTCCAAACCATTTTCGATTGGGATCAACTCGTGCTATAGGTGTATCTGTTGACTGAAAATCAGCTGCTCTGATAATCTCTCCCTTTGCATTTCTTACAGCTCTACCACTCTTGTACATCAGTAAATGCTTGACCTTTTTCGCATCTCGGTAAAAATTCTCTCCTTTGACACGGAGGTTTCCATCCCTCGTATCATTTTCTCTGACCCTCCTTTGCTTTTCCTTTTTATTCGTACCCATATTACTTTTTGAAGCACTCCTTCCCTTGTAAAAAGCCTATCAATTGAATTAATCTTTTATTCTATATTGGTGCCTATTTTTTTTTTTTTTCACACTCATGTAGAGAAGCCCATCACCAGAATGTCGTCTTTTATACGACATTAAGCCGATATGAAGACATTTATGTTCAAAACGCTTTCTATAGAACAAGTTCAGCAACGCCTGCTGTCCTTCAACACCATTGCTCAAATTTGTGTATGTCTTCTAATAGCGATTTATTGGAAAAGTTAAGTCCAATTCAAGAGCATTACCTCAAGAAGTATGTTTTAGAAAGACTTCTATCACTTGAGCTCCAACAGCTCTCAAGTCCTGATTGTTGTAGTTTGATTGGTGAGCCGTTCAAGACGGACAAACCTCAAGATGATGAAACTTTACCACTAATGAAGTTTTTTTTTCGTAAATTTGTGATCAAGTTCCCATTGATTACAAGTAATTCAAAGGAGACACAATTGGAGTTTTGGCAAACTGTTGTTCAGCCTTTTGTCGAGAGCTTTTATCTGAAAGGAATCAGTAATTCAGAAGAAAGGCAGAGCAAGACGTCTAAAAGAAAGAATGTCAATAGGAAATTGCTATCTGGGATGCTACTCTTCTATAACTCGGTTTTAGTTACTCCAAAGGATTTGGAGTACATAAAACTATCGACTTTAAAGTCGACTGATGAGGGTAAGCTCAGCAAGCTTCAAAAAGACAGTAATAATGTACCTTCATTTCAAGTGGGAATGGACAATTATAGTAAAATGAAGTTCATCAATGATATAAGTATAAATATTGTAGCTGTTAGAAAGATAGCATCGCCTGCTACAGAAGCACCTAGCTATTGGAGATCATTTATAGTCAGTTCAAAACCAAAAAGACAACATCATTTTGAATTCGTAATTCAAATAGTGAAGCGAGATGAAGAACATAACTCCTATGACTCACATTTTATCAGCAGAGCTTACCATGATTTCAAGCAACTTGAGCATGATTTGAAGAAGGGGTTTCCAGGTTTAATGTCGGCAAAAGTTCCTAGGCTACCACGTAAACCAAGAGGTGATGAAGGAATAAATGATCTGCATGAATTTACACTTTCAAGTGTTTCTTTGGAGGCCGTGGAAAGCTCTGATACAAATGAAACACACGAATCGAAGCTGCTGAACTCCAATAAAAAATTGTTCAAAGAAAAGCTTCGATTATCATTGAGAGGCTACTTGAATGATTTAATCCATCATCGTGAAATAACAAACTCGAAAATATTTAATTCATTCGTGTCGGATCCCGAATTAAGTTTTACTAAGCTCACAGAATTGGACTTAGAAGACCATGAGGCTAGGCTCGAAAATGAGGAACACATTTTGAGAACACAATTTGAATTCCAAACACAAACATCTGAGATTATATTGGGCTTGGCTTCAGAATTTGAGAGCTTCAAAAATAGTTTGATAATGAAACCAGAGACCCTCACTAATTTGTTTGATGAGCTTGGAAACTCGGTAGATCTAGAAAACAGATCACCTATATTGCGCTCTTTTAGTGAGTGGTGCAAGCTTGAAGTCGCAGCTACACTATATCAAATGTTCTTGGCTAATGATAATTCGAATCAATTTTTAGAGAAATGTTTGAAATTTCACAAGTTGTTTCCCTATCGTATGATCTACGGCATCCTTAGATTCACAAATCCGGGAAAAATGTTATCTAGAGTTCTCGATTTGTTGTTTCTTAATGTTCCTAGCTTACCAAAATGGGGCTCTTCAGAAACTAAAAACTCGAGATGCTTACTATCCATGATATTTGTAATGTTGTTGGATGAAGATTTGAGTGAATTTGAAAAAGAATTTACTGTTTTACGAGAAAACCTTTCTCAATATCAGATGCTCTTAGAAAAACTTGATAACTATACAGAATGTGATTACGACATCCACAATGATATCATTGAAGAATCTACAGCTCAAAAAGAAGACTTGCTTATCACTATTCTCAGTACTGAATCGATTCCACCTATAGCTTCACCAGAATCAATAAAGAAAGTATATGAATCTTTTAAAAACTTTGACAAATTAGAAGATACTAACGATATGAAAGGATGTGAATTGTATTTGCATCTTAAACAATATTGGCAATTGAAGACCAGGCAAAAGGACAAAAATCTCATGAAACAACTTTGGCAAGAACCAGAGCTAGTAAATTTAATAAAGCAGTTTATTACAATTTTCTATGAGCCGATTATTGCTGTTCTTGCTAAATGTGATATTCATTTAGCATTCAAAGAATTCCAAGATTTTATGAATGATTTGATGGTTGAATTAGTAAAACTATCTAGCGGAGAAGTCTACTACTTAAGCTCAATAGAAATTTTTAACAGACTACGGGAATTGATAGACAGACACGAATCGGTGTTCTGGAATTTTATCCATAACATATACGTGAAAGACGATCAAAACATTTTCCGTAACATTGTTGTATGGATAAATAAACTTCTACAAGTTATAAAGCTCAAATTTGTGGATCTCGATTCCGTATTATTTAAATTAGGAACTTCAAACTCAGTTGATGAAGCTTTGTTTTTAAAGCAATTGAGTGCAAGAATTAGCTTGGTCACCGGTAGAAGGCGTCTTTTTAAGGAGTTTTTGGTAAAAGCAGCTAATGGTAAAGACGAAATTGAAAAAGATTGGGATAAGAAAAATGAAGAAATTTTTGGTGAAATTGAAGGCGAAGACTTTGGCGTCGCTGGCGACGACATAGAAGAATTCAACTATTTGAATTCTGAAGAGAACATGGATACTGAAGAGCCGCGTGTAGATCAAATGCTCTTACGGGAAAAATTACATGACTTGGAGAAGGAAAACAGCAAATTTGGAACAAGTGAATTGGATAAGTTTGCACCCGATGCAAACAAGCAATTGGTCGAACTTTTGAAAAAAATAAAAGTTTAATGATGTAGTTATTATATTACATACTTTAGCTAGTCGCATATTTCAATAAAACATTCTCATTCAGTCTTCTTTGGATCTAGTAGGGAATTTGAAATAGTCAAAGCTAAGAGTCGAACCGACGAGATATATTTTTCATTGGGGCATGCACATTATAAACAACTAAAATATTTAAGGCGGAGTACGACCTTCCTGATTTGGAATGACATAATATGTCATAAACTTAGAAAGATACCATCTAAAGACTGGTAAGCTCAACCATAAGCTCCCATCAAATACCCAAATGTCTCCATATACGCTTAACTAAGAAATCCAAGATATTAAAGAAATCACATAGAGTTCCATATGCAGCGCTGAAGACTATTCTAATCTAATGCGGAAAATGGTCTTACGAGAGTTTCCAGACTTACAAATTCGGTTACTCCGGAAACCATTTCCGAGGGCAGATATTTTGCTTTTTCTTCAAACACATCATCACAGCTCAATCAAAACAATAAGGCTCAGCGATAGTTTAATTAAAACGTTTTCAGCAGCTGGGAAATAAGCTGAGAGTAATAGTAGAAGACTATAGGGCTGCTTCGACAGGCTATTTTAAATAGGGTTATAGGAAAGAGAAATTTTCACGACGATTTCCAGGCTTATAGAAGGGACAGTGAGATAAGGACCAACAAGGGGAGTTGATTACAAGAAGCAAGATTCGCTAAACGAAGAGAAACCAGCGGCGTCGATATCCACCACAAAATCCATTTAATATTATAAGACGGCGATGATTTCGTCGTTGTCGAGGGTGCCAATGAGGATTGGCAAGTTGATTTTTATGATAGTTGTTACATCGTTAGTATTAATCTTCACTCTACAAAGATTTCATGGGCAACCAAAACTTGCAAGCATCAAAATAATAAATCCATATGAAGGTAGGTCACCAATAATAGAAACAGAGACCACGAGAACTCATTTTACAGGTACTACGAGGACTCCGTTTGAAAAGAAACTCGAAAAATTATTTGAAAAAGTAGCTCTTAACAAAGACAAATACTGGCTTGCGAATACTGGATTGACGGAGACGACTTTTGGGATCAAGATCACTGATTTTTTGAAAGATCTGACCTCTCAAACTGCATGGGTAAACAGATCTGGGTTATATTATGATCCACGATTAACTTTATCTATATACTTGAGTGAACTTAAAAATAAGTATTTATTGAAATCTAAGGGAAACAAAGTGGAACTCAACAAGATAGAACCAGTGGTATTACCTTTCAACTGGGCAGACTGGATGGACTTGACAGTCTTGAATGACGATTTGAACCGACCCATGAATGAGAGGATAAGCTGTACGTACATACGTCAGCATACAAATAATGATCCTGATCCTTCATACTTTTGTATAGATAACGATAAGGTGGCTGACTCTTTTGTGGAATCTTTAGGATACAAGCGGAGACAGCAGTTGCCAGGATTTATTATCCATGACCATTCAAGTCATGACGATCGCCCATTGAACGATTTCAGAGTTTTGGAGGCTAAATCTTACGCGATGACACATTTACCTAAACCATTAAAGGTGATTATACTCAATGGAGGAGAAGGAGGTGGAACATATGAATTTGAGGTCGATCCCGAGTCCAATCAGAGATTGGTTACATCTGACATGATTGAAAACTTTCTTAAGTCTAAGGGAATCAACCCAGCAGCATTGGATGGTGAGACTATTTTAAAATTAGATCATACATTAGAGTTCGAAGATCTTTTATCATCAGTGACTCCGCATTATTTACCAGATGAGGAAGATCATCATGGAATGTATAGAAGTTTAAGGAAACAGACAGATCCAAAGTCCTCAAGACAATTAACTGTACCTGAAGAGTTATTTCATTATCCAAAATCGATGATTCCGGATCAGATATATTTTTATGAACACTATAACACAGTACCTCTCGACAAATTATCGAGACAAGAAAGACTTTACTATGATGGGTTGAAGACTTGCCAACTTTATAATGATTCTAATGAACCGACATACTTCAAAATGGCGGTCATAAGAATTGATGACGAAAGGAACGTCGACCATGAATGGGGGTGGCATTATGACTGGAGATTTTTCAACGGAGCTTTGAACTATCAACGACCTGGCTGGACAGAACTGGAATTGATTCAGCGAACAAATATCATTTTGGATAGATTATTAAGAAGCTGGTTTAGGTTTGCTGAAGAAAAGGGTATCATTACGTGGATTATGCATGGACCATTATTGAGCTGGTATTGGGATGGGTTGATGTTTCCATTTGATGTTGACATAGATATACAGATGCCCGCAATAGAGTTGGCGCGTTTGGCCAAGGATTATAATCAAACACTAGTTGTGGAAGACCCTAAAGAAGGTTATGGGAAGTTTTTAATTGATGTCGGAACATATATCCATAATAGAGGTATTTCTCTTCAAAATAACCACATCGACGCTAGATTTGTTGATGTTGATTCGGGGATTTACATTGATATCACTAGTCTTAGTAAATCTAGGGCAAATACACCAGAAGAGTATACGAATAACCCATTAGTCAGCATAGAGAAAGGACTTCATGATGATCAGACCGAGATCTATAATGATCGCAGAAAGCATTTCTACAAATTGGATCAACTTTCCCCGTTAAAGTATTCAATGTTATGTGGTGTCCCTGTGTATGTACCCCTGACGATAACAGACAGACTTACATTTGAATATCCAAACGGTGTGACCTCTTACGAGTTCAATGGATGGTATTTCGTCCCTCAACTCATGTTGTGGTTAAAAAAAGAACAGGTCGCGGCCGTCTTCAAAAAAGAGGATATTCTGCAAGAAGATGGTAATATTAATCATATAAAACTTATTGATCAGGTGAAAAACATGTCAGATGAACAAGTCTTGAAACTTCTTGAGAATGATGATATACTAGTCGAGTACTACCTTACCAAAGAGATGACGGATATACACGAAAAAGAATTTCATTTAATGTTTGACTCAATTGGTAGAGATAAGGAGATCACAGCTTCCGACGAAGAATATCACAAATTGGTTTCAACTTTCAGAATGCATAAACCGCTTCGTAAAGCCCTCTGGGATTTTGAAAATCTAGAAAGGCCCAAGCATCACCGTGATTACCCATAGAGAGACATATTTTTGTTATCGTGATAACTTATAAAACATACAATTTTCTATTTGTTGAATGCATATATATATATAGGACTAAATATTCTTGAGAAATTTCTCTTATATTCTTAATACTTGCATCCCATATATGAGACAATTTAAAACTTCGAAACAATCCACATCCTGTGTATTTCTACCCGCGGACTTTTCTCATACATGGACATTGAATGGAAGTATCATGATGTAGGTCACAGCGATGATAAATACCCAAATGCTAGCGGGAAAAATGAAAGGGCCATAACTGATCAAGGCTACGAGTTCTTTACGTATTTTAATACAAGTATCCCTTAGTGAAAGAAAAAATATTTTGTTACCTGTTCAATTAACGACGATTTTTGAAGCCAGATAGATGGAATCTGTTTTGAATTTCAAGAGGTCAATTGTGTTACCGAACAGGATACTCTTCACAGTCGATTCATCATTTTTGTTTAGCTCTTCCTTTAATCTGGTTGAGCTTTAGAGCAAAAGCAACCCAAATACAGAAAGCTGTTTAATGCTATAGATTTTTCTGACTGAGAAACATAATATCTATGAATATTAACCTATCACGTATCTGATCTTTTTTCAATTCCTAAACAGTCACATTTCTAATTTTAAGATATCTCAAAATTGAATTTAGCCTTGAAAAATGCATTAGAAAATGAGTCTTTATACCACAGGAGTGCAAGTAAAATAGCCCTTTGAAGGAGCCGAGCCTGGATGATACAATATGAAACAGATTATAGACACAATCATTTTTTTATGAAAGTCCTTTTCTGTTGGAAGCAGTAAAGACGACTGCGAATTAGAAACTTCAATCCCTGCTTATAAGAGAAATTAGGTTTATTCAAAAACTTTTCGATACCATATCATAATGAACTTATTTGCGTTCGAATTGTGCATGATAAGCCATTAGCCGATGAGATCTTGGATGTGGCTGTTGGGACTAAGGCCTGTTATTGCACGTTGATGTATCATTGTAGATGTGGGTTTATACGTGGTTTTGACAGATATCAAAATGGTGAATTGGAAATCAGAGTTTCTTTTTATATCAAGCTTAAATCGATTCAACGTCGTCTTCAAAGCATCGGATTCGAAGTATCAGGTTATACAATCCTTAAGTTGACACCCTTATTTGCCTGCATCACTGTAAAAAAATTTCACTGAAATCGACGAAATAAGACCTCGGTCCATATATTATTAATTTGCAAAGCGCATTTTGGACAACGATGTGCTATATTCCTAAAGAATGTCAACGATGCAGTAGATATATGATCGAACTCTTTTTAACTCATCAAATCTGAAGATTAAACTTGTGTTTAAGGTAAATAAATGTAATACTAGTATTGGCTCCATGTGATCGAAATGGCAATTTTCTTGAGTCTCAAATTGCAAAAAAAGTAGGGTTGCATTTCTTGTTCAATATGCAGGTGAGACTATTTTACTTATCAATAACGGCTGGGAAAAGCTTTGGAAACCCCGTGGATAAGGATGAGAGTTCAAGAGATACATGGAAATAGCCGGCAAATAGATAGTATAATGACTATAAAATTGCCTACATTCCTTAATAAGATGAAATACTATCCTCATTTGAAATCAGGACGAAGAAGATGAAGCTTTTCAACTATATTTATTTTGCTCTTTTGCTTTTTGGAACCCAGGTGACTGCTTATAATGAAGCAACATATAACTTTGTACATGAGATGATTGACTATTGTAGCGTAAGCTATTGTATTAAGGATTTCGGGAACTTATATACTGATAGTGGTCCAGCGCTCAAGGCAGGCCAATTTCCTGATGTGTGTCCAACAGTTATATTCTGTACAGAACACCCAAATATCGAAATTGTTCATGTTTACACATCCGACATAGCGAAACTACAATTGAGTGGAACTGGCTACATTGCAGTAGATCATACTAAGAATTGAAGTGTCGCTACCCGTGAATCCTCCACCGCGCAGGATTGTTGGTGATTCGACCTCATGCTCGTTCCATATCCAAGCTGCGAATCATGCTTCGTTCATGATGGAGTATATAAAGCAGTGAAAGTTATTAAGGAGAGCACATGGGGAACTATCAAGAGTGCTGTGGAGGAATATTCAGACTACGAGCTCATTTCCACTGGTCATTCTTTAGGAGGAGTTGAATTAGCAAAAGATTTTGACACCAGTGTCACAATTGTCTCTCATGCAGCTCTTAAAACCGGGAATCCTCAATCCAGTGACTATGTTGATAGACTTTTCTCCAGCGAAGAGTATTTAGATATAGTCACCTAGAATAATAGGACTGAACCACCATATGTTGGACACTTAAGGACTGTACATATAGATGACGTCGTACCACTTGTTCCACCCACAGCTCTTTATGCACGCTCTGGTGGAGCTTTATATCAATAAGTTAGACTTTCCACAACCAAAAAACGTTACAGAAATAAAAGGACTATATACCTATACACCTATTGCTTCTGATATTGTCAGCGATTTGTACATTTGTACCATAAGACATTAGCGGAGCTTTTTGCTGATGCATCAAACTCACATCTTTGCTATTTTATTGATGTAGTTGGTTCACGGATTCAATGAGTTAATTATCTCGATTTATCGAATTGATTAGGAAGTTGAAACTTATCTTGTGCCATATAGTTTTCAAATACTTTCGGCTTGTTCTCTTCTAACCATTTGAAATCAAAGGAAAATCCAATCAAATGTTAAAGTATAGAAGATCAATTTTAAGTATCTGTTATTTCTTTGTCATTGAATGAGTGCCAAATAACATCAAATGCTTGAAAGAATGATAGGAGATTAATGATACGGTATGATATATATGTCAATTCGAAATGGAAAATATACTTTTCTCTTGCTAGATAGATCAATTACTATCTTTTCTAAACTAGATAACTATTAAGTGTAGATATTAAATCATAATAACATAGGAATGTCGTGATGATAGAAGTATAAACTACAAAGTCCATCGAAACACTGCATAAGACACATATATTGGATATTATGCCAGAAAGATTTTTGTTCTTTGTCCTCGAGTAAATTTTTCGTTGATTGGAAGGTATCAAAATTTAACGTTTGTTTTTCATTCAACTAACATGATAAAGCACCTTGATTCAGGCATTCTTTCTAGGCACCACTAAGAAGGTTCTCTGGATTGAAGACAGGGTATTTGACAGTCTTCGTGTATAGTTCAGCTCTTTTAAAATACGTCTCATTCAAATCTTCCTCGTTTAAGTACCTAGCTATTAAATGCATTTGTGGCAAAACAGCAATACTACAATTGCAATTATTTGGAAGCTTTAAAACATAGTTTCCCATCTCAGAAGCAAAAGACTTTTTTTCCAGGTCCTTATCTGAGAGATAAAATAACAAATGCAATTTGTATATTTTTGCCAAAGAGTCCTTATAAGTCGACAATTCTGGCTCACTGCTATTACCCGTGGCAAATGATGGGAACCATTCAATAGCATTGACGTCATCAATTTCAACGATTTGTTTGATGAAAAGGCTTTGTTGATATTCGTATCTAAGATCATCAGCAGCTTTATCTCCCAGTGTCATAACTGCAGTATTTTTAAACTTGATCAAGTCAATAGCCAACTTTACAAATGGGTATCTTGAAACCAATTCATCATAATCAGATAATTCAAATAAGTATGGAATGGTTGAATAAGTAAGTGAATTCATAATGTCATTATAAAGAAAGTTCTTGAATGCAAATAACGCCAAATCATTCCTGACGATGTTTCTCAATCCAGTCACTTCAAAGATATATTTAATAGCACGAAGATGATTTTCGATCTTAGATCTATGACCCCCATTTATCTTTTCAAACAAAAGGATTGTCACTAATAAGAACAACAACACAGATATTTCGTTTAAAGATGACCCCTCGAGGTTGCTTCTTAATGAATTAGTTATGACCGTTAAAAGTACACCTTTTTGCTTTTCATGTTCCATTTTTAGTCTAGAGTCGACCAAGTCCAACTTATTGGATCCAGATAAAACCATCAAAGCGCATCTCAAATCTGAGTTGGATATTGCAAATGGTAAAACTACTTTCAAAAAAGGATTTTCATTATCGCAGAAAAAGGGATACGATATAGCAAACTTATTTTGGTATAAGTCCCAAAAGTATGCCTCAGATGATGATAGACTTATTATTGGTAAGTTATCACATGGGTTGAATATTTTCTCAAAATGATATAAGTAAGTAGAAGGTGCCACGGCAGGCGTTTCTAATTCATATGAAGGACAGGAATGACTTGCAGATCCTGGTAACTCAATCATAGAGCTCCCTTCACAGTTTTGGCGAAATATCTCACCATAGTTCGAAGTTCCACTTAAAAAATCTCCGGTGTACGTCAGAGGAATAACTTCATTGTTAGGGCGATCAATATTGTGAATTGCAAACATGCTGAGCATGTTTTCATATGAATGCTCGGGCTCCACATGGTTCCTTTGCACCTCCGTAGCTGCAATCTCTTCGGTATCCTTATTTCGAAAATTCTTTGATCCAAACCCACGCCTCTTGAACGATATTCTCCTCTTATCGTCTTCAAATATTATTCGCCTGGCATATCCTAGTGATTATTAGTATATAGATTCATAGCATATTGTTCGATTTTAACTTACCTTCACACTTTCTATTATGTTTCTGGCACGATAGACATTCTGGCTTTGTTTCATCACACTTTTTCTTAAGTCTCTTACATGTTATACAACCATTCCTAGACCTTTTAATGACCTTTTTTGTAGTATTAGCCATGAAAAGTATATTAATATGAGTTCCATTAGAAGGTGGGAATGTTCCGGTATATCGCGAATTTATATATGTATAGAGAAACTGGATTGCAAATGAAATAAAATCGGTGGACGCTTCCAATTTAAGAAAAGTAACTGCCGCCTTTGCGACATTTTGAAGTCATAAGTCTTGCCATTTATTAGAGGCTCTATATAGTTGTAAGGTCTTATATATGCGATTTTAAGCAATGCGAGGTTCTAACGAGAGAATTCTACGAGTTCTAGAGTTTGCTTGCATCAGTTTCGATTACAAAATCGCAATTGGACCGTGCCAAGTCAATCTTCTTTCTCTTGACTCTCCAATCCAATGATTTTGGCCTGTTATTTTCTTTCCAGCTCCATCTCTCTGTGGAAACCAGGTCCAATTTGTCTTCTAGGCGATCTGATATATATTTACCAATATTGGGCAAGAATTTATAGGCATGGCCAGAATCACCAGTTGCAACAAAGACATTGGAGTAATCCGGAATCTTGTCGATAAGGAAATTAGAATCAACTGTATCACTTATCCAGCAAATCTTAGGATTGATGATTTTGTGGTAGGCAAGATCTGGCAATGTCTTTTCCAAGAACGCTGTAATATCTCTTGCCGAGGTTTTGGGAATTGTATCATAAGGATAATGAGTTTTGTAGCGTGGTAAAGAAATGTGATTCTTGAATTGATCTGTTACAACGTTGCATGACTCGTCTACGGCTGCTGCAATCTTGATAATTCTAGTATCAGGATCAGGTGGAAAATAATAGCCATCTTCTGCACTGAAAACAATGGGAATGTCTTTATACTTTTCATATTCATCTTCAGTCAACTTTATGTGGCCAACGAAAAGACCAGTCGCATTAGTCTGATTGTGTAGATTGACAATTCTTGCTGTCCCAGCACCCGCACAAATTAATATCTTGTCAGCAGTGAACATGGAACCATTTTTCGTTAAAACATAGTTTCGCTCATTTTTTTGCACCACATTAACAGTTTCGTAGCCCTTACCAAACTTGAAATGCACTCCTAGGATCTCCGCTCTCTGCTTCATGATCAAAAGACTTTTAGCAGCGTGTCCCAAGCCACATTCTGGGTTGAAAGTAATCTTCGTATCCTCACTGAAACCATTGTTTCCAAATTGCTTGAAGTCTCGAGCAAAATCGCCCACATTAGCATAATGCTTGATGTCTGAAGCTCTGCTAAGACTCTTCAAATTCTCTATACTTCTCTTTTCAAATTCAATACGACCACTGTGGTGCTTAGGAGTAATAGTAATACGACCGCACTCACTATACACTTTGCTGAGGTCAGGATCTGTTCTCCAAGACTCTAGAGCTTCCAATGCTAGTTCGGTGTAAAACATATTATCATACTCGGTTCTAACTATTTTATTATAATCTGCCGAAGCAGACCATGGAGAGGGAACGGGGTATGCATCTAACGCAGTGACCTTGTACCCTCTTTTTGCCATCTCTACTGCTGTACTAAGCCCAAAGACTCCGCAACCAACAATTAAAACCTCTTCAGCCATTTTGTCTTAGTGTATTGCACGAATTAGTCCTCCTCAATCCTTGCTTAGTATTGCATCACTAAATATATATAATATCGTATTTCTATTCACTCCTCTTATCATTTCCTCAGTGAGCACCGATTGGCACTTAAGTGCGACATCGATCGATTTTTTTACGATGCGATTTGGAACATCGGAACATATATACCTAATTAGGAATATACTAAGCGCTTAAGATATGATATCTTTTGATAATTATCGAGATGAGTGATCAAGAATATCAGTTTAGGTATATTAATAGCGACTGGCTGCAAACTTAGTCACCTATTTTCCTGAATGAAATACATATTTAGCGAACAAATCTGATAGATTCAGGTTATTATTTCCAGTCGTAGAGTGAGGAGATCGAGTCAAGATATTTTGTATGGTATCTTAAGATCTTGGGTGGAGTAGAGATAAGATATTGAAAGCTGGAATATATAAGGCATAAAAGAGAGACAATAGAGACAATATCTGAGATAATCACTCAGTATTAATGGAGAATATGACGAATACGATTAAGCAAAGCTCTGAGACCATCGAAGTCAATGAAATTAGAAACAGAAGTCCGCAAATGTCCTCAGAAAATTCAAATGAAGAGCATGAAGAGAAGCATATCGTTGAAACCTTGATAGCCCCTGGCATGAATGCAGTATATAACTCCAAGGTGAAGCTTTTAAATGATGCGCTACAAGATATTGGTATGGGTCGTTTCCAGTGGACGCTTTTTGTTGTTGCAGGATTTGGTTGGTTCATGGATAACTTTTGGATGTTGAGTGTTTCTTTGATTTCAGTCCCAGTTAAAGCGGAATTTAACGTTGAAAAAATAGCTTACATGACTTTATACAAGTACTTAGGTTTGGTAATAGGTGCTACTGGATGGCCATTATTGTCTGATTTGGTCGGTCGGTTATTTGCTTTCAATGTAACTATTTTTATGAGTTCAATTTCGGCTTTGATTGCAGCCGGTGTCCCAAATTACGGATCATTGAACTTTTTCATGTTTTGTATCGGTTTCGCTACTGGGGGTAACCAACCAGTCGATGGTATGCTTTTTGTTGAATTAATCCCTGCGTCCCATCAACATTTGTTATTATATGAGTCTTTATTTTGGGGTTTTGGACAATTTGTTGCTTCAATAATTGGTTGGCCTTTAATTGTGAACTTTAGTTGCAGTGGCGAAGAGACTTGTACCTACCAAAACAACTTAGGTTGGAGATACACCTACTGGACTTTAGGAGGTCTCACTTTATTGATGTCCTTCATCCGTTTGTTTGCAAACATGTATGAATCTCCGAAGTTTTATATCGGTAAAGGAAAGAACGACAAAGCGGTGGACGTGGTGAAAGCTATTGCTAAGAGAAATAACACCACGACATGGTTAACAGTTGAGCATTTTGATAACATCGATTATGAACTCAATGACAAAAAGGATATTGAAGCAGACAACACAGTTGAACAAAACAAGGCGATCATTTCTCGTTCCTTAGAGAACTTTAAGAATTGGAATTTACTTTTCAAAACCAAGACCATGACTATAACAACTCTTTTGTTATGGGTAATTTGGGGATGCGTTGGAATGGGATTTCCTTTATTCAATAGCTTTTTGCCATTTTATTTGGAATGGAAGGGTGCACAAACAGGTTCTACTTCGTTGAATAAAACATACAGAGATTATGCCATTCTGTCTGTTTGCGCCATTCCATCAGGAATATTTGCAGGTTATTTGTCGAACGTAAAGTACGTAGGAAGAAAAGGAGTTGGATTTATTGGTGGCGTGTTGACTGGTGTCTTCATGTATTTATTTACAACGACTAAGACCGGTGGTGCGTACTTAGGATTTACTTGTGTGGTTTCGTTTGTTCAAATGTTCATTTACGGTGCAATGTATGCTTACACACCAGAGGTGTTTCCTGCTCCTGCAAGAGGGGCTGCTTGTGCTTCTTGTTCTTTCTGGAATAGAATTTGTGGCTTAATGGGACCAGTCATGTCATTATACTTGGATATTAATAACGGTAAACCAGTTTTCGTTTCAGGTGCATTATTTATTGTAGCAGGGGTCTTATTCATTTTGTTACCTTATGAAACAAGAGGTATGGCAGCTTCTTAAATATCAAAAGTTCACCAACCTAAGTTATCTTTAAGGAATTGTACAGGAAATATAAACTTAATAGAACAACAGTGTAAAAGCAATTTAATTGCTTCATCTACAGGTAAAATCCAAATTTTAGATCTCTTGCATTATGCACTTCAGTACTAAATCGAGACTTAATCGACGGCTGATGGGTGTAACTAGCACAGTGCTGATAACAGCTGTATTTCTGTACCTGAACTGACTCAGATATCTGACCTATGGAGAGAAAGCAATGTTGCGTAATATCGGCCTGGCCGCAGGATCAATTATATATTTGCTTATAGGCACGTACTAAAAGCCTGGCAAACGAACGACCAACGACGTTCCGTGTCTTCTACGTTGTAGGTCGTTCTTAGACTTGATAATGGCTTTAAGGCACTCTTTTTTTCTTTTTTGATTATTACATAATCAATTACGCTATTCCGGTATTGAACTCCTATATATTATAACGGTTGTCTGCTTCTTCCAAGTTACCCCTAACTAATCCTAGCACACGTTCTGAATGATATAGAAATTTCCCTACACTAAGGGAACAGAAAATAAAACTAGAGATATTCATTTATATTTGATAACAAAGCATTACATGTCTAAATTCGAAGCATGTCAGTGACTGAATCAGAAACTACCCTTCGAAATAGGTTTGACCATAAGGCCGATGACGGAAGCGATCCAAGACCAACCGATGATGTCTTGGTTGAAAAATTGGACAGATTCTTATCTTCCATTGAGTCTCGGTTGAGTACTTTCGAGGAATTCTTTAAATGGAGGAATGAAGAGCTAGCTCAGCAGGAGCAGTCAGTTGAAGATGATTACACTCTTTCCCTGAGAGCTAGCTCCAGAAGAAGCAGCAATGCTAGTTTAAGTTCTATTAGGATGTTTACTGGCCCAAAGTTGAATTTAATTCATCAAAGATTGAAACTAATAAAGGCTTCTGTCTTGAAATCTGGATTTACAAATTTAGACTATTTATACAAGACTTTAGATGATCAGTATAATTATTTATTCAGCACGGGTCCTTTCACAAACACAACAACTGAGCTGACGAACAAGGAAATTCTCTCTCAGAAAATTATCACTACAATGCAATATTTTGATGACAAATTATTACAAATTGATGATTATATGCAAAAGAGCTGCCCTAACGGTAAAATAGATTTTGGAGAAGACTCGACTCTCTCTCAATTTAGGTTTTACAACTTCAACAAGGCGCTTAAGCATTCTCAAGATGGATATTTGCATTACTATGAACTACCTTTGAGCTGGAGAGAAAATAGATATATCATCAACGGCTATAGGTTTTCTATTTATCACGCTGAGATGTTTAAATCCATCTTTCACTTCAATCACAATGAAACAATGAACATATGGACTCATATAATTGGCTTCATTGCACTTTGCTACATTAGTCTTTATCATTTTCCACTGACGGATGTGTTTAGTATGAATACCTGGAAAGACAATGTTGTAATGTATGCGTTCTTGGTTGCCTCTATGTCTTGTTTGCTTAGTTCCATTGTGTGGCACACCTACTCAGGGTTTGCAAAACTTCCAGTTAGGAGTAGCTGTGCTTGTGTTGATTACACTGGCATTACGATATTGATCACCTTATCGATTATTACTGCTGAATACTGCTCGTTGTACAATCATAAAATTTTGTTATGCACTTACATGATATTCTCTTCAGTAAGTGGGATAGCTGGATTCGGATTCAACTGGTCCCCATATTTTGATAAACCTGAATGCAGATCAGTTAGAATAGCGTTTTTCGTTGGATTGGCTCTTTTAGGTGTGACTACATTTTTTTGCGTTTGTTTCTATGATGGCTTTGTTAAGGCTATCAAATTCTTTCTACCAATGACATATAAGAGCTTTATTTGGTATTGGATAGGTGTCATCTTTTACGGAGGATTGATCCCAGAAAGATGGAGATATGACGTGATTATTAAGGAGGACGAAGCATGTGAGCATTCTCATGATGCTTCTGACATTATAAATGGAATTGAAAATAGTGGAGAGGAGGAGATGAAAGAGTTCGAAGAAGAATTAGACAACATCGAAGATGAGAAGGTCGATGATGTTGAAAAAATGTCTCATTATAAAAAAATCATTGATATTCATTTCCCAGCTGAACCAACTTTAACTCCATATTCTAAGGACTTTTTATCATTATGGTGGGTTGATTATTTGTTTTCAAGCCACAACTTTTGGCATATATTTGTTGTATTTGGTATAATTGGTCACTATTTTTCTGTACTTGATATGTTTGCTGCGATTGAACGTTCTATTTAGCATTAGTAATATTTACATTTGAATTATATTGAACATTGTATTAATAGAATCAAATCCTAAACATGTATACACTGGTATATTAAAACTCACTGGTTTTGCGAGGTTTGATCTGGCTTTTCTTCTGTAGCCTGATCAGTATTTGCATTCATTAATGGTCCTTCAGATTCTTCTTTCTTTGAGAATGAAGATGAACTCACATTTTCTTCATTTTCAAATTGTTCCTTTTCGAAATCATCGTCATAGAGACCCAATTGGTTACCGTGCTGCTCAATCTCAGCAAGAGACAACTTAGGTAAGGTAGCAGCAACGCGGAAAGGTAAACGGTGTTCAACATGTGCCTTGGCAAAGATGATATCAACTTCTTCTAATGATCTACCAGCTGTTTCTGGGTAAAAGAAGAAAATGACTGGAAGGAAAGAGTAGTTCACAAGAGCGAAGAAAAGGTAACAACCCCATCCTGAAGCTTGAATGAAAATTGGAGTAAACATAACAACAGCGAAGTTGGCAAGCCAGTTAGTACATGTACTAACAGCAGAAGCAGCAGTTCTAGTTCTCAAAGGATTGATTTCTGGTGGGTAAATCCATGGCAAGGGCAAGATTGTAAATGCAAAGAAAACGATGAACAAGAATAGACCAACAGCAGCACCTTTAGCATTCAGTTTGGTAGGGTGAACTAAACAAGCAAATGCAATGGTGTAAGAAACACCTTGACCTAACGCACCAATCAAGAACAAGTTTCTTCTACCAACACTTTCAATCAAGAAGAATGATGGGATAGTTGCAATGGCATAAACAGTAGCAAAAACACCACCGATAATCAAAGCCAACCTAGGTTCTAATCCAATAGTCTTCTTATCTTTAAACAAAACGGTAGAATAGTAGATAGCAGCATTACAACCTGTGAATTGTTGGAAAAATTGAGACGATGAACCAATAAGCATTCTTGAAAAATGTTGGGATTTTCCTCCTGTAAGCAAATCAGCATAACCGACTTGACTTCTAGAGAATCTGTTAGCAGAATCACTAATAACAGACATCTCGGCAACAATGAAATCATCTTCAGGTGGCAAGTCATTCAAAGCACTTAAAACAACTGTGGCCTCGGGTTTTCTGTGGTGAGCAACTAACCATCTTGGAGATTCAGGTAAGTTGACTGCAAGTGCAAATACGATTGCAGCAAAGAAAATCTGGAAAGCGACTGGGAATCTCCATTGAACAGAAGTATTGGTGTAGGAGAGACCGAAATCAATCCAGTATGCAACGACAGTACCAACTGCAATAACCGAACCTTCTAAATTGACTAATTTACCTCTATTTTCAGGTTTAGACATTTCTGATTGCCAAACTGGAATAGTGGCCGTATTTAAACCATTACCTATTCCAGTGATAACTCTACCAATGACAAACTGACCGAGACCCCAGCTATCTTTGAAAGCACAAACCGAGATCACAGTTCCAATGATGATGATAAAAGCACCACTAACAATCAATGGCTTTCTACCAATCCTATCACCCCAGAACATAACAAATAAGGCACCAAAGAAACAACCAAGTTCATAACAAGAAGTAACAGCACCCTGAATAACTGATGCATAGTGATCTTCACCCTTTGTAGGTGGAAACTCGTCATTAAATTGAGTTCCGGTAATAAGACCAGACATTAAACCTTGATCATAACCGAAAAGGGAGAAACCAGTTGTAGATGCTGCAGTAATAGCAACTTTAAGTGGCCTGCCTCTTAAACCGAACGTACTAGTTCTTGAAAAGAGTTCAACCATTTTAATAAACAGGCTATTTTAGACTGGTAATTAACTCTATAATCTATTCTTCTATCCGTCTATTCAAAATAAAGACTTATTATTGCTTAACCTGATTGATACAGAATGCAATATAAAATATTATATCCTATAGTTATACTTCTCTATAGTGAATAAGTCTACCTATAATAGCCTAAATTAAAGGTTGTAAGATCCCAGTATTCTGGGGCCTCTTGCCTTATTTATATTTGCGTTTTTTTATGAGCATTGTTACCCACTCATCGAAGTAAGCGTGGAGAATCGTACTAAAACATCCTATATTCGGTACAAAATCCGAACTTGGTATGTCGTAATAAGAAATGTGTAATGACAACATACATCCCAACAAGGACGCTCATCTAGGAAAGTTTGCTATGAAAATGTTTTTTTTTTGCGTGTATATTCAATGTTCGGAAAAAGGCTGCAGAATGATTCGGAGCATCGGCACGTTGAAAATGTAACCAGGCTCCTAGTAGAAGTGGTAAAAAAAAGCGGTGATACAACTGGAACATACGAAACAGACTGTTCCGAAAAAGAAGGCATAATTTTCAACTTCTTAACAAGATAGCATGAAGCTACAAGATCCTTTCGACTCAGCAGCAAGCTTAATATAGGGTTGCAGATCGTCATCATAAAGCATGTCCGAGGTACCGGAGGCGGCTTAATTGATGATGTCAAAACTTGTTTGACGAGGGTGACCGGAATACACGAATAAGCGGCTGGTAAATTCCGCTAATAGCGACGTTACTGACGGGTGGTGCTACGTCTAACAATTTTTGATGATTGCTCAGAACCATAAGGCTTGTGAACTTGTGGGTAAGTTTCGGGTACTTGTGTTAAATGCGCTTATGTCTGTGATGTGGGGTTGTTATTTTTGTCTGAATTGCTCGTATGATGTGGCTGGTTTAAAAGAGAATATCCGAGGATGGTCGGTTAATAAAAGACCCTTCGATTGACGTAATGACGCTGATATCTTACGCAGTGCTTGTAGGCAGTGCTTGTAACAGCCGTGTGTTGACCAAGGAAGAGATTTTCGGATAGATTTAATATGCAGCCATCAGCTGGCCAAGAACAAACTGGCCAATCATTTAAAGCGTTTTGTCTGAAGTTTGTGTGTCTGAAACTTAAAACAACACTGCACATAATAGCCGTATCCCGGGGCTCTTCCAAACGGCGATCACCGTAGTGGGGGATGTCCTCTAGTGTCCCGCTTCCTGACAGATTTTCCGCAAGCTGAGATGAGCTTCTCATTAACAGAAGGTCCATGGAATACATAAGGACATTAGCTGATTTTTCGGTATATTTTTTGATACAATATAACTTGTAGTACAAATTTCTGTTTTGTCCGTTGCAACCATTCGCACTTTAACACTTACTGGCGTTCTTTCCTCTTAGAGTTGTCTGAGCTTTTTGTCGCGCCTCTTGTCATATCTATTGTTAACATACTCATACTACATGTCACATACTACATACTACGTCTCGCAACAAGCCCTCGCATATATCAGAAGTTTGAGAACCGTACTCTTGAAATCATTTTCGACCATCTCCCGTAGGTCCATCCCTAAGCCAGCTTCAATAGTAGATCTGCTCCCTTCTATTGTATAGAGTTACATCGTTCAATGGTTCAAAATTTTCTGGCAAGACCAATGGGTAAAAGGATGTAGAATCTTATACGGATGCTTGTTAAATAGAAAACTTGTCGTACATAGTATCCCAACAAAGGAAGTAAAGTGGGGATATGAATAGCTGAATCTTATCTTGGGGTTATAATGCGGTGCAAGGTTTCGTCCACGGCACAGAGATGGCTGCAATATAGACTTCTGGTTGGACTTTACGCGTTCGATGTTTGTCTCGACTTATGATTCCAGATTACTAAACATTTGTAGTAGACTGATCGAAATACTCTTGAAACATCATGAAATAGCATTCCGGGGTATTAATTATAGTCACTATTCCTAGTTTTCACAATTTGTACTGGCCTCTTTGATTATCACTTGAATATAATTAGGATTATCGTATCATTAATCCGGGGTCGTCTCGCTCGTGCCTAATTTCGATTCTGTACTCATCTTGCTAGAGTTAATTCTCAGCTCTTTAAACACAAACCACCTCTAACTCTTTATTCGGTAATTATCCCGGCCTGAGGAGGAAATTATTCCTTTCATTTTGAGTATTACTCTGTTGCTAAAGAATCTAGGCGGTGGTATTCTTCGCCATTTGCCCTTTCCTGTAAGGGTCAATATGCCATCGTATTATGCTGTCGCCAAAGGTGTGAAAACTGGGGTCTACGATAATTGGGATGATTGTAAGTCAATGGTTAATGGGTATAAAGGTGCCGTTTATAAAAAGTTCCCGTCTCTTTCAGCAGCTCAACAGTTTGTCAGAAGTCATAAGCAAAAGGAAGAAATCGTCGAAGAAAGATTGGCGACTGAAGAACCAAAGATTCAAGGGCAACTTCTGAAATTTAAGCCGGAAACGCATGCTTCTTCTCTGAAACCCCAGTCGCATTATATATCGGAGATGCCTAAGCTATACAGTGATATATCTAGGTTTTACAATCGACCTTCTTTCTTCAAATCATTAGGTGGTTCGGCAAACACAACTCATCGCATATTTGTAGATGGTGCTTCGAGGGGCAATCTGCGATCTAAAATGACTGCTTCGGGTTATGGCGTCTTTTACGGTACCAATGATCCCAGAAATGCTGCTGTTGGTCTACATACGCTCGACGATTTAAACGTGTTCAAGCCGACTAATCAGCGAGCAGAATTGAATGCAATCAAACACGCTTTAATAGACATAGCGAATGCGTTAAACTCTGCTGGAGGCACCAACGTTGACGAAAAGTATGTTATATATTCAGATTCCCAATATGCCCAAAATTGCGTGGGCAAATGGCTAGATACCTGGTTTAACAATGGCTGGAAAAGCAGCCTGGGCAAACCTGTCTCCAATAAAGATATAATAGAGAGCTGCTTACCGATTTTAAACTACATCAATTTCACTTATGGTAAAAACAACTTAGGAGTTCTTGAATTTCAGCATGTCAGAGGACACAGAGGTAATTTTGGCAATGAGTGGGCTGATAAATTGGCAAACATTGGTGCTGATACAATGCAAAGGGAGCTAAATTTATGATGTCACTTGAATATATATACCTATTTTTTTGGTTTGAAATAATAAAAAGACATGGAGAATGCGCAAGTTTATCTTGCTGGAATTAATGCTTTCAGAAGAGTAGCTCTTACCCTTGGTTTCCTTAGAAATCTTCATTACTATTAGATCTGGTCTTCCTAGCGACCTCTTCCCTTGACTGTATATAAAAAATTTTCTAATATGTATTCCGTTGAACTATATACTCATGTAAAAGGACTCAATATAGAACTATAGAATAAGCTGATGACATATGAGTGCGTATGACGCTTTAAGATCGGGATTTATCTTTACTGATGAGGACGATACAGTCCCACAATATGAAAATCTGGACAATGAGGACGAGGAAGCAGCTGAAGTTCTCGAAGAATATAACGAACGGTCAGTGCAGCAGACTCCTAGTGAAACGTTTGTAATAAAAGCTGGCTCTAACTTCACGCCCAATGATGATAATGTGATAGTTGATGCAGATAATATCATAGTGGGATTGAAAGTAAATGAATATATATTACTAAATGGTCAATGTACGCTAACAATACAAAGAGGAGCGATTTTAATTAATAAGAAACATTATTTGCATGCTGGAGATACAGGCTACGATATAATATGTTCCACTGCTCAGGCATTACCTATAATATCAAGCACACAAGTGCTTGATAGAACCTCCATCAAGGACACTAAGACTAAGGAGAATCTGCATTTATTTTCAAGTGATTACAAGTCTGTAGTCAAGTTACAGAATTTCTATACTGGCTTACAGGATATCGGAAAATACTATAGTCCCTTCAAGAATATGTTTCATTCTAATATAATAGAGGAAGACCTTTCGGAGTTTGAAAAACTTTTTCAAACTTATTCATTTGAAATAATACTTAGACACGGTTTCAATGGGTTAGATATTGGCAAGACATGGTCCACAGGCTTGGATAATCTACTAAATAATATGGATTCTCAAGATGCAGAATGCCACACTGACTCTCAGGTTATCATGGTCATAGGTAATAAAAACAGTGGAAAGTCTACCTTGACGAAAACAATTGCTAATGAGTTGATTTTAAACAGACAGAGGATTGTATCATTTTTAGACCTAGACCCCGGACAATCAGAGTTTTCTGTCCCTTACTGCTTGTCATTGACCACGATTTCGAAACCTATTTTCGGACTAGCATTTCCCAACACAGAAAATAACTGCTATTATGGGTTTAATACCCCCCAAATTCATCCAGGGCGATATGTAGCAATTGCCAAATCATTAATTGAAACTTTTTTCAAATACTACAAACCAAAGGGATATCATTTGGTCATTAATACTCCCGGCTGGATAAAGGGTTATGGTAAAGAACTATTAACCGAAATTACTTCATTAGCAAATCCAGACCAGCTTATAACATTAGGAGGTAACGGCATTGAAGATCTCACTTTTAAGAATCATATGGAATTCCCAGGCATTTTTCAGACGTCCAAATACTCCCCTTCTCAGCTAAGGACTTTCAATAAGTTAACGTATTTTCACCAACTTGATAACGATGGAAGTTTGCGCTTCTCTTTTGAGAACCATCTTTTAGTCCAATCACCTTTGAGGCTTTCGTACGAAACACTGTCACCCCTTCAAGGAATCAATCTTGTCTCAGTTTTGGGATATGACATAGGCATAAGCTTTGACATAAAAGATTTGCTTTTAATGATAGACTCTTCCATAATGTCTCTCTATGTCATAGAAGAAGAAGTATTCAGCACAATCGAATCTTTGAAAGTTGGGTATGAGAACTTTCCCAGATATTTAAACTACAAGCAGTTGGATGAACTTACTGAGTCTAAATTCATTGGTTTGTGTATGATCCATAGCATCAACCAAGAAGAGCAGTATTTCAACTTGTATCTTCCTCCACAGCCTCTCAAAGAACTCAAATACCATCTTCTGAATAACTACAAGCTCCTACTAATAAAAGGAGACGGCGAAATTCCAACCACTGAAATGTTGAACGATGACATTGTCTTCGCCTATTATAAAGCCAAAAAGAAAAATAAGAATCCCAAGATTCCATATATATCTTGGGAAAATCAGAATCGAGTCGGTGGGATCTGGAAAGTTAGGCGTAATGTTATGAGAAGAAGTCACAGACATTAATGTCGCTGTCATATGTATTTTATTTCATCTAGCACTAATAAACTATAGACCTCAATATATGCAGTAGTATCAGGCTCAACATCGAGAGATCAAGAGTTTTACACGAATCGTAAAGGCTACCGTATTAGTTTATAATAAGAGAACAATATCGATTAGATGATGAAGCTCGTAGCATCCTTGCTACTCCTTCTTTGCACTTTGGAATTTGGGATCGCTATTATTCCAAGTTTCAACGACTTGGGCAAAAAGGCGGCACCTGAATCTTCAGCTGAATCATTACCGAGTCTATTGAAAATCCATGATATCAAAGAGCTTGATTCTACGTGGGAAAGATTTGGCAATATTGAGTTAGATACTGGAAGATTGATCATAAAGCAACCTCAAGGTGGAATATGGTCTATTCCACAATTGTCTAACTCGGCACACGAATGGACTATTGAGCTTGTGTTCAGATCATCAGGGGACTCCAAGAACGATTTAGCGTTTGCCGATTCAAATGGACTTTCACTCTGGCTTACAGATAGTGCCTCCAGGAGCAGGGACCAATCCAATTTTGGTGGTCCCTCCGCTTTTGATGGATTTCAATTTTTGATCAACAACAAAGACACAACGGGAATGAAAATCTTTAGTAATGATGGATCGAAGCAGGTGAGAAATTCGATCGCTGATTCTATTGGCGAATGCAGATTTGATTATTTGGACTCGCAAGTCCCTTTTACAATTAGAATAAGCTATTCACTGGCTAGAAACTGGTTCAAAGTGCAGTGGGACAATTACTTATGCTTCAAAACTGATAAAGTGAAGATCCCACCTTCGATTGATAATTTTAACTTTGGTGTAACTGGCATGTTAAATCCTTCCTCAAGTGAGTTCTTCGAAGTGTTAAGATTGTCAGTCTGGGATCACTTAACGGAGGATGCGATTGATGATCATGGATTAATGACTGATGGAGTACTAAAAGTCGACTACAAGACTGTAAATGTGGCAAAGGAAGATGTAGTTCCACCTTCTGTGGTACGTGAGTCCTTGATGGAAAGAAACAGAAAAATCAGACAACAGATGAATGCTCAAGAAATCATTTCTAATTCCGGTAACGATGAGATTGTAAAAAAATTGGCGGATATTGAAGCTATGTTTAGGGCCTCTAATAAAGACGATTCTCTCGATAGTGGTATCATCGAAGCTCAACTTAGAGAGATCAAGGTAGCTCATGAAGATTATTTCGCTCATTTTGAAGAATTCAAACGTCAATTATTGGACCAGTTTTCAGGCTTGGTATCGTCTATCTCAAAACTCAACGATAAAGTAATTGGGGAAGTAAGAGAACAGCAGTTCACAATTGATGAACTAAGTAAAAAGGTGGATCTCCTTATGAATAACCACAAAGAAATCTCTCATCAGTATTCTGGGCTAGTTTCATCGAAAGACCAAGAAGGCTCTTCGCTTGGGGACAAGATTGTGAAGTGGATCTTAATTCCAATTTTGATAGGTTTACTAGTATTGATCGTATTTATCTATAGATTGAGAAAGGATATTAAGCATTCCAAGTTGCTTTAATGAAATTAAGTTAGCAATAGAGTATATAATCACCAAATAATAAAAAGTCAGTTTCTTTTCTCTATCACAACCTAAATGCATTTGATTATTTATCTTTTCTTACATCAATTTTGTAATGTTTTGCATGCTAGTCAACCAAAATAATATTTTCCTTATCCTTCAGGCTCCCTTTCTCACTCGCACTTCGAGTGTCTAACTTTGACAGTACCGATTTCAGGTCTGAATCTTCACTTATTTCGTTGTTGTTGTCCGTATTTTTGAGCTTTGGATGCAGTGATCCTTTACTTGACCTAACTTTATTGGGATCTAGTATTGTGTTAAGTTTCTTTTTGCTCGGGGATGTTGATCTTTTCAATGAACTGGTGGAAGACGAACTCTTTGGAGTAGACGGTTCACGCTGAGGGCTGCTACTACTCAGGCGTAATGAACTAGCTTTTTTCGATGACTTCTTATCTTTAGAATCAGTTCTCTCTTCCTTCGTATTATCCTCATTGTCTACTCTGCTATGATGATGGTCCCTAGAGTTATTCCTTCTCAATTCTTCAAATATTATTTCTTTGTTGTCAAGCAAATCATTGATGAGACGAGTTTGAAGCTTCTTGACCAACTTAAGGTCGTAATTATTAAGAACGTTGCTATCATTCTCATTTTCCGTAGAATCTTTAGGTCTTAATATCAATAAGCCAAATTCCGACGCTAATTTCGTTTTGAAGTCGATTGCCAAAGACTCATTCTTTTGACTGATTATTTTAACTAACCTTAAAAGATGAGTCAATATAGCATCCAAAGTCGCAAGACTGGGCTTGGGCAAATTAGCCAAGACATTCTTTAAACCTTTTAGCCTTGACTTGGAGTCATCTGCATTTAGCTGATACAATGACTTGATGAGATCAAAGAGATTGCTTGATATGACAGAATCGGGAAGCTCCATCAAATAAAGTTTCAATAAATTAGAAAGTAAAATGGGCTCTGCTCCTTCAAGTGCTTCTTCTAACTTTTTGGGATCATTAATATTATTTACTTTATGCCTAATTTCGTGGATCTTCGTCAAATTTACCGGCTTTACCCACAAATCAACTCTTTCTTTATCATCATCCAAATTGGGATAAGACTCATCAAGTTTCAGCAAAAGACATTGGATGAGAAGCGGTATAACTTTTTTGTCTAGTCTTGATTTGGAGTTTAAATCAATACCAAAGTTTTGGTTAATATTTGATTTATAATAATTATCATAAAGTATTACCTGTGGATTAAATTTTCCAGTTTGATAGTTTTCAACTAAAAATTTTAAATCATTAATGGGATTTATAGTTTCTTCTAGAACGGATAGATTATTAAGCGTATTATTAACTTGATTGAAGTTTTTGAAGTAAAAGGTAACATAATCATATATAACCTTTTTAATCGCTTTCAACCTATCTAACTCACATTTCTCCATGAAAGTCAAATGATCAAATATACTTTCCTCCAATTCACATCTAGTTTTGTCCAATTCAATCGTCTTCAAATAATATTGGTTATCTAGCTGATTGATTTCTTGTGCTAATTTACCTAATTGAGATTTATCGTTGAAATTTACCGAGTTAACTCCAATCACTTGTTTTACGTCTTCAAAATAGTCCGCTAACTGAAAGTTCAATTCATAGTTTAGTTTGGTGATTTCGAATACTATAGGTTTCCATTGGTAAAAGTACTTGGAGCTGTTTATGAAGCTCTTATTATTCATAGATCCAATCATTTTGATAAATCCATTATCAATTAGACCTTGGCAAAAGTCTTCCGCTGATTTCAAGTTATTGTGTAGGTCTGGCATGTTGTCCAAAAGCCACTGTGTTATAGTAGATCCGGAAGAGCAATTTGAATAGGTACCTAGTATTGGTACCTTGTGAGAAACCAATTCTATAGAGGTTAATATTTTGGTAAGCAAGTTCTTGATGGTCTTGTAATCATACACTTTACCGTTAATGGTAAATTCTTCTGTGGATAGCTCCAGGTTATCAATATCTTCTTCTAGCTCCTCAGCATGCAACTCTTCTTCGGAATAATGTGCTTTGAATTCTTCCAAGAGACGACACTTATTGAAATACCTTTTCCTTATTTTTTCAAGATTCAGTTTCCCCGAGTGAAACAGTTGGTAGTTGGTCATTACAGACGTCTCCGAGAACTTGACTCTTTTAGAATGTTCTTCACACCAGTTACTGAATGGCTCAACTATAAATTCCTTGAGATCCAGCCCTATTTGTAAGTGAATGCTACCTTGGGTTGAGAAGTTCTCATTTAACTGTTTGAACCCATTTCTAACAGTGGATACATAGTCATTATCACTCTGATATCTCTTATTGTTCTTAATCATTTGCTCTTCTATAGACATTAGCTGCATTCCATACAGGTACTCCAGGTCTACTCTCTTATTGAACATCTGAATAAAGTCATCGTTTTCCTGAATTCCTTGTTGTAACTTGTCAAAGAGAACCCTCACTCCCAGCTTATAGTCATGGGTCCAAAAGCTCTCAGAAAATGACATCACTACTGATACTTAAAGAAGATTTCTGTTAACGCTAGTGTCTTAAACGAAATTATAAGTATAGTTAAACTATATATTCTTTTGCTGTCACGAAGCTTTATACGCGGTCGGTCTATTTATAAAAAAAATGGTACGGGCTGCAAAGCTCTTCTATTATTCTCAATAACAAAGAGAGATGAATCAACACAGAAAAAACACTTAGTTCCTCAAAGAATAAGGAAGAATATTTACTCTAGATGTTAATATGAATGTTCCAATCATCTGAAAGCTTGTACGGGATCGTTCGTTATAAAGTTTATCTCCATTCACATGAATACGGTACCATGTACCGTCTAAGAATGCAATAGATAGTTTTCCTGTATGACCGTCAGGATGACAGTCGCTAACAAAATTGGAGAAGTCGTGTAGTTCGAGAGAATAGGCATTGTGGAAGCACTACGTGTCAGCTATGAACGTATGGGATGATGTACAGAGAAGGGAGAGAAAGTTGAAACAGAGGCATTCCGATCTCAATCATTAGAGCTATTTTGCTTGATGTCTGTTCTTAATTCCTGATTTCAAATACTAAACAGGATTTAGACAGCCTCAAACCCATGTATCCGTAGCAGTGGGCTACCAAACAAAATATCCTCAAGAAGACCGGCTGATTTTGTCCAGCTTACGCTTTTTTGTTTGTACTGGAATTTTCTACTTGTGATGCACTTTTAAACACTAACCTGCAAATGTATTTGCAGGTTTTAATTAATATTCCTAAATAGGATTAAGTATGTTTTGTAGCGAAGCCAGTGTAAAACAGTATTCATGTTATATCAGTATGTCTCGACCATCAACCCCCACCAGAGAAAATGGGAGGAATGTGGATACTACGAACAATCATCAGTTAATTACGCCAGTGTCAGTCCCGTCAAAGAAAGTCGTGACATTGAAAGAAGATGAGTTACGGACGATAATACGTAATGGCAAGTTGAACTCCATCTTTGACTTACAAGAGCCAAAAACTCCGGAAAACAAAATTGGAAATGAGCAAGACTTACAGCAAGTGGCTTCTCCTACATCGGAATCAGAATCTGATACAGGAAATGAACTAGTAAATCCATTTATCGAAAGTGAATATGATAATAAAGAATCTAATCTGAAATTTAACGAGGATACGAAGGAGAACAAAAGTCATAAAAGCGAGATTGATTATTCTAAAAACATGGAGCTTTACAATCATAGAACAGGTAAAAGAACGATTAGACAACTCACTTCCAAAGAGAGCAGCATAAAACCGAAGCGTTTGAATTTCAGCGAAAGAGAATCCTGAAGCGCTAAATCGCTATGTCTCCAGAACATTGCAAATCATCTTTTGTCTTTCCAGATACGCAGTAATGGTTAGGTTTATTTTTAACCAAAACTTTGAATTTATTAAATTCTTCATATTTTTTGCCCTTGAGTACAACTCCTTTATGTTTCTCATAAGCAACTTGGATTCTTGAAGATTCGGGAACCTCAACATAGAAGGGTTCGATAAATAGTTGACCATATTCGCCTGCGTCAATGTTGCATGTGTAAGATCCAATATAGGAAAAGGTCGGGCCAACAGTCACCCCAAGAGTCCCGCTTAATGATAAGGGGCTCATTGAAGGCGCAAATGTTCCCGAGCCCGCTAGATAATCGCTGGCTTGTATATCAACCTCATAAGTTATACTCACAGAACCCCCATCTCCATCTTTGCTACTTAAGCATGCTGTGACAGGTATAAGATCTGAGAAAGTTTGAGGTTTTACAGGACTGGTTAGTTTGTCCTTTAATTTGAACGAATACCAACTTGCATCTGTCTCATTATAATAGAGAGATACTCTACTCGATTTAAAAAGGAAAACATTTTTCGTGTCATACATTAGATCACCTTTCCTAGGGTCTTTCATATCATCTTCGTTGTTAATAATGTAAAGCGTACTACCTTCTTTATTATTAATATTTATTCCAAATGCTTCTAGAGCTAATGTCTCATAATTATTATCCATATCATAACCTGTCAAATATGCAAAAGTTGAGCTGTCGACGTCGGAATAAATTGCATTCTGGGTTAAGTCGACAATTGAACCACTGGGTTTCAAAGGTGTTGGTGCTGCCAAGCAAAACACAACGTTTGCGAATACTGCTATATTTCTGAAGAAAATCATCGAACTAATGAGAGAGCTAACTCCACTGAAAACGAGTTTGATTCTAACATATATATTAATCTTTTAATATAGCATATCATAATTTCTTGAATATATAGTATTACAAAAAGTATGCTTTTATGTACGTCCATACAAATACAGCAGAACAATATATATATGTATATAACTACTCCCTGTATTTTTTTAAGTTATCCCATCCAATCTCGTTTGAATTTGGAAATTTCATAATTTCAATTTTGGTTAGAAATTCTGGATTATTTTGATCAGGATATGATGAAGAGTAGTAAACTGGCTCTTTAACATTAGAAGAACCTTCTTCTTCTCTGAGTTCAACGGGCAAGGCTCGGATTATTTGATCATGCGCCGTTGGCAAAGTGAATCTGTTTAAAAGCTCAGTTTGTGGATTTCTTCTCTTCATAGACAATTGCTCTCGATCAACGAGTTTAAATTTATAGTATTGCTGCCATGTCTCCAAAGACATTTGTCTATATGTATTTGCCAAGATATTGAATTGCAAGTTATTATGCAACATCTCCAAATTAGCACCATCGTCGTTTTCATCAGAATGCTGCTTAATGATTTTCTCAGCAAATGATTTGTTAAATTGATCATGAAGTAATCCTTTAAGGCTATGATTGTGCCTTTTTTTAACCGCCAGAGCGACATCTTTTGATGTTTTGGAGGGCTTCTTTATTATACCTGTTGTAGTGGGAAGCTTGTTAATTCGGTTGATAATATTTGCATCCTTAAAATTTCCAGTACCTGGGCCCCTGTAACTCCTAATATAAAAGTATTTTACGTGACTGTAGTTATCGCTATCACTGCTGGACACTAGCTGCTGTACATGCTTGGAAATTTTTGCATTGTCATTGAAAAGAAGTGAAGAAACAGAATTCCCTTTCTTTTGACCTGAGGAGGATGATGATCCCACTTGAGCATAGTAATTAGGAACCTTGCATATATGATTAACGTTAAATTCTTGTATGTAGCCTTGACCTGGAATTAATGAGTCTTGTAAATCGAGTGCATTCACATCAATTGAGGTGTTATTTTTTCTCGATCTTCCTAAAGGCTTTCTTGACCTTCTCAAATGAATCTTATCGTGTTCTTCTGTTTCCTCACTGATAGCGGTGCTAGAACTCTCGAGTTCTCTGTAAATAATTTCCCGCTCAGCGAAACTTAATTTAGAATTTGGAAGGTATCTGTAAGCATTTGGTAAATTTTTATAAAAATTTAACTTGCTGACACTGTTGAGACAGTTGAATTGTGAAGGATTGAGCTCTAAAGTTGAACCGATTAATCCATATTGAGGAAACACTTGACCAACAGTGACCTTTTCATCCGAAGAAACTCCAGCTTCTGGAATGCCCACGTTTTCACTCTCAGGCTTGGATAGCTCAAAGAAGATCTCCTTATTTTTAACAAATGAATATAATTTAGAAAGATCCATGTAAAATAATTTAGTCTTCATATCTTGTTGCTTAATTATAGTCTTAGAATACAATTCATTATTCAACTCAACATTAGTGCAAAGAATATCTTTTTTCTCCACTCCAGCTTTCAAGAACTTTTTAATAAGTTGATAAGAAGATGGATAGCCCCAAAAGAGAGCAATATCCCTTATTAAAAAGTAATGTCTATCATCTATGCTAAATATGGGTACCTGAAATTTCGTGAGCAACAGTTCTATATCATTTGTTTCCGGAGACTGAAATATAATCTCTCTTCTTATCCCGAGGTTATTTAGTCCTAAAGACTCACTTGATGTATTATAAACACCAGATACAACACCCATGCTTTCAGTACCAGGCAATATTATGTTTTAATATTTACTGTATATTTTTTTTTGTGTAAAATATACATTTTGATATGCGAAAATTGCAGGTTACTACAAAAAGAAGACCCAAAAGTAGCGTACCAAAGTTTAGACAATCCCAATGAACCTTTGGCAAACCATCTTCCCGTCAACCTACTTCTCAGCAAAAATCAGGGGTCCTAAAAGTTACTTTTAGAGCATATTTCAGAGATTGTTTACATTAAGAATGATTGTGAAATTGCCGTGCCGATGAAAATTTCACAGACTATCGATAGGAAAGAAGATATTCGATAGCTTTCAAGAATGAATACACTACGAAGTTTTGAAGTGTCTTAAATGGTTCGATCCATATTGTCTTCTTTAATCCATTCCTATAGCTCTCTTGATTTAAATGCCAGAAGTGTCTTATCTCTTCCTTCTTTCCTCTTCTCTCTACTCTCTTCTCTTTTCTAAATTTTCGGGGGTTTAAAGGATCTCCTTATCAGTCAAGTTTAATATCGAAGCATTGGAACAGAGTAATTTCGAGATATGCTTTGTAATTGTAAATAGATGTCTGAAGAGTCTTATCGACCTTCCCCCTTTTATCGGCACATCGGCCTGTTCCTGCACATTTGTAAGGCCCAAAAATTGCCTAGTCCTCCTAAGGTGGTTGAGATCTCATCAATCAGGAACTAATAAGGGCAAACAAAGGAAAAAGTTAGGAAATTAGGGTCATCTTGACGAAGGAATCGTACGATTATATAATAACGCATAAGTGAATTCTGTAGAATGGGGTTATCGTTTTCAAAGCTATTTGCGGGATTGTTTGGCCGCAAGGATATGAGAATATTGATGGTGGGACTTGATGCTGCCGGTAAAACTACTATCTTGTACAAGTTAAAGCTTGGTGAAATAGTCACTACCATTCCAACAATTGGTTTCAATGTTGAGACGGTAGAGTACAAGAACATTTCGTTTACAGTATGGGATGTCGGCGGTCAAGACAAGATCAGGCCATTGTGGAGATACTACTTTCAGAACACACAAGGAATTATCTTTGTTGTAGACTCAAATGATAGAGATCGTATTCTGGAAGCTCGTGAAGAATTACAGCAAATGTTGAACGAAGATGAATTAAGAGATGCCTTGTTATTGGTGTTCGCTAATAAGCAAGACTTACCAAATGCCATGAACGCAGCTGAGATCACTGAAAAACTTGGGCTTCATTCTATTCGCCAGCGGCCGTGGTACATCCAGGCCACATGTGCAACCTCTGGTGATGGACTCTACGAAGGTTTGGAGTGGTTAGCCACAAACTTGAAGAACGCATAAGTCCCCAGAGACTAACACGCTGGTAACCTCTCACGTCTCTTCCAGGGCCTGGCCAAATCGGTTCATTCCCAACTCAAAATCCAAAATCCACAAACGGTAGCTAGCTCATAGCATTATAATTAGCCTTAGTTTAATACACCTTTGCAATACTTAACGAAGTCAATTTAAAAGAGCCGAAAACTAATTTAGGGGACCCTCTCCGCAGTTCTGGTCCCTTTCTCGATGTTTCAAATTTCAAGTCTGAGTAGTAAATAGGAATATAAAGCGTAGGTTATTAAAGTGAAAGATCTTACTTAGATGGTCTCTATAATACATTCTCTACAACTGCCCCTCTCCTCTCCTCTCCTTTCATCTCCTTTCCTCTCCAGCCTATTATATTGTAAGAAGAAAGAAAAATTGTGATGATGGAAACACTTATACCGTGGCACAGAGGTTCTAAATGAAAACCTCGGGTATCAAAGCACTATATACTACTATATTTACAGAAAGAACTATACCGTTGGAGTTGTTGTAACTCCGACGCAGTTTCATGGGTCCCTTGACTTCTGCTAGAAGCTGCTCCTTAAGAGTGCTTGTGCAACTTATAAGCCGAGGGTCAAATCTAAACCCGCATTTGGAGTCAGTATATATAGTCCCCGGATTTTCTATTATTAATGAAAGCTTTTGGCAGTATCATACGTGTATTATTGACGAAAGTTGATTAGTCTTATAGGGTAATTGAGTCTTAACTGTGATCTACGGCCTAATAGCGAGAGAATTAGGGAACAGAACAAGCTACAGATAAATTTTGATTTATTCAGTTCGGTTATTTATTCACATATAAAGATAACAGATTGAAATGTCAGAGGGTAAAGATATTTTATACGAAGTTAGAGATAGGGTGACACTTATTACTCTCAATATCCCTGAAAAGTTGAATGCATTGAATGGAGAGCAGTACCTACTTTTGGCAAAATTAATTGAGCGTGCTGACGAAGAAGAAGATACAGTTGTGACTATTTTGCAGTCCACAGGACGGTATTTCAGTGCTGGAGCAAATGTCATGGACAAAGGGATTTCAGAACTTTCTTCAGAGGAGGTATTTGCCCATGAAACGTGGTTGAATAGGTTCGTTTCCAGAAACGTATTTCTCACTGACCTATGCCACAACCATAAAAAGGTTCTCATTGCTGCTGCAAATGGCCCTGTCGTTGGACTTTCAAGTGCTATTTTATCATTATGTGATCTTATATATGTTATGGACACTCTGAAGTTCTATTTGTTGGCACCATTTTCCAATTTGGGTCTTGTTGCAGAGGGAGCCACTTCTGCAACTTTGTTTTTGAGATTGGGATGGGCAAAGGCTTCGGAAGCCCTTCTTTTTGCTAGGCCCATCCCCGGTAAAGAATTGGACAAATTGGGCTTCATCAACAAAGCATACGATGGTGAATGTCTGTCAACTGAGGAATTTAACGAGAGAGTCTATAAAGACGTCGTGGCACAGTTTTCGAACTTGTGGGAAGAATCCATATTTGCAAACAAGCAGTTGATGAAGGCAAATAGAGATCAGCTTATCAACAGTGCTAACTCTAGAGAAGTTATCAAAGGTTTCAATCAATGGGTAAAGGGTGTACCCCAACAGAGATTCGTTATGTTGGCTCAAAAAGATCTCAAACACAAAATGTAGAGCATTCTGAGCCTCAGAATATACTATGTATACCTAAAGCTTCTTTTCATAGTCTCTTTTTTCCAACATTTATTACTTAGTAGACTTTGTGTACTCGAATGTAATGATTTTGTAATGATTTAAGATTTAATAATTGATTATTTCGTGAATAAATAAGAGACGGAATATCAATTTTTTTCTTTACAAGAAGACATCTATGAGCTTCTACTTACCAAACCCCAGTTTGTTAGGTATACTCTTAATAGTTTCCAGCCATGGAGGACCACAATTGATATTTAACTATCCCGAGATTCTTGGGATAGATCCTATCCATTCGTCTGACGTAGAAGGATTGGACAGTACTGATGAAGAAGAAGATCAAGAAGACGAAGGATTACTCGTCGATGAATTTAAGGACTACAATAGCAGCGTTTGGGATGCAGATAATATGAAGTTTTATACGGGAACAAAAAAGGATCTAATACTGTTCTTAGATGATTTGGAAAAACGACGAGATTTCCATGGTAAGCAAAGAGATCATGAACAGACCAAATCACATAGTAAGCCTCTTGATAGGAGTCACATTTTTGGAATTGAGGCAGATTATCTCTACGAAATGCTTTGTCCGCCAAAACAGATGTGTAATTCAAGATTTGAGGTTACTATTGATGATAAAGTGTTTTTAGGTTTCCCGGTGCATACTCTTGATGATGGGTCTTGGAGGCCATCCTCAAAACGTAAAGGAGAGGCAAAGAAATCTCCTTTCAATATGTTTCACCTAGTCTTTATAATGAATCCTCCAATCATAGAAGAGACTTACAGAGTTGATGAGATGTTTCATTTCGTCATCTCTAGGCTCTCTTTGGTCTTGAGATATGAACAGCTGAAGCATGATTATGTTTCAGATCAGGTAAAGCTTATATTAAATTTGAAAGAGCAGTACAAAGCTGACGGTGATCTCCTACCAAAGTTACTTGAAGAATCTTCACTTTGCAAGGCTATTTACGACTGTTACAATGCCATATCGCAATCTAAAATTGCAAACTTGACTATAAATGGTTGTTTGAGGTCTTTGCAAATTCCAATAAAGAACGAATTCCATTCTCTTCCTGAGTTGACGTCCCCATACTTGCCAGGTTCGTACCTATCTACAACGTTCAATTTTTTGGGAAGTGCTTATTTAAGTGATAATGATTCTTCAAAATCTGATGCTAATAACCAATCCAGTCTGGCAAACGATATAGATGATTCCAATAATTCTCATCAAGATATAATCTACTTTGCATTACTTCTTTTGGATGACCCAGAGAGTATAATTATCGATATTCAAACTGATTCCAATAGTGCCTTAGCGAATTTCATTCGTATGATCAAACCAACCGAATCGTTGCTTAAATTGTCGATGAGGAAATCGGCGTTGAACCAAAATCAGATTACATCCTTTGCATTCCATTTGATTTATTGGAGAAGAGCCCGAATAATTCAGCCACTAAGTACGAGGTCAGTATACATTGTATCGCCTATGGCTCCGATAACGATCAATTTGTTTGATGATATTAAAAAATTCAGAAGTGATTTCCCAACTCTTCCTTCGCTCCCTCACTTCTTGAAGTTACTATCATCAAGTTCAAGAAAGCCGAAACAGTTTGCGACCATCATTCCTTCCAAAGACCATCGGGATATGTATTTGAATGCGCTCGGGTGGCTCATTAGATATGGATACGTAACTCAATTACAAACGTTTATTTGGTTGAAAATATCAAAAAAAATCAAAATCAATGTCGAAGAAGAGCTTGAAAACGAAACTGCTGATAGAAATAGACTGACTACAACTAAGAAAATCATATTAGGTACAGACAATACGTCAAAGAATCAGCAGAAACCTATTGCCAAGACTGACAGTTTGAACGACGAAGAGATAAAGAAATTGGAGCTGTCACTTAAATTCTTATCGGGGGGTCCTAATATAGTCTTGGAAGAAGAAGATGATACTATACTTATAGATCCAGGTCGAGCTACCACTCTTGAGCGTAGATGGATCAACAAGATTATATTTGATGAATGTAAATTATCGAATGAGCTCATTGCAATATTCTATAAGTTGATGAAGTACATGAACGGAAAAAACTCGTTGGAATTACTTTTGCTAAAAGAAAACATTTCCAGGACTGAACTACGGAAATTACTACTTGCCATCGAAGATCATATTGTCTCAGTCAGACATTGGTGATGTCTCGAATTTTTTTTGCATCTAACATACTTTAAGTATAATATAATTAATAGTCTTAATAATATATATTACAATGTATTCCTAATTACTTGATGGAACTAGATTAGCTAAATACGCTTTGCTGATCAGCTTCTTCCGTGTTTGAACCTTCAAGTTCGTTGAAATTAGAGAAATGAATTGGACGATGCAATTCATGGTAAAATGGCAAGGGCAAACCTAATTTCAAATGATATGGCACATTAGAGCTCCAGGTGGAACCAATAAAAGCATAATTCCAAATCTCATCATTAGGAACCAAGCATGAACCAATTATCCTATCAGAGAGTAAGATTTCAACTTTGTCACTAAATCTTGGAGAAAATCCTTTAGGAGTTTGACTAAGAAAATCCTTGTTTTCTTTGCCCCATTTGAACCCTTCTTCATTCAAATGATAACCTGACAAAGTCACCGAACCTGGTGTAAAAGAAACAGTCATAGAAAGGAAATTTATATCAAACGGGAGTCCAAATTGAGACACCTTAGAAACATCGACTGCTGATAAGTAATTGTTATCTTGCGATTGTGTATGAATCCATCCCAACAACTCCAATCCCTCAAGGACTCCATCCTTGTCGGGTAGCTGGTTGGGGAATTGCACTGTATGGATAGATCCAAGTTGGGGAACCAAAGCAAGATGCTGAATCTCTTTCACTTCAGTGGTACCTTCTGGGGACTTTCCGTATATAAAGCCACCAACTTGAACTTTTGTATCAGATATCTGAATGAGCTTCTTCAATATGTTTTTGGGCATCACAAACGTAGGAATACTTTCATCTACTGAATCCGGCGACGAAACATAAATATTTTTGGCTCTCAAATGCAAAGAATTAGCTGCGATTGCTCTATTCCTCCATTCATTCTTCGATGAAAAAGACAGTTGTTCATAATTAGTGGTTGTAACAGTAACTATCTCCTCACCATGGACATTAGTAGTCTTGGTTTTCACAGCAGTGAGTTCCTTGTTTTCATTCTCGTCGACCTTCTTATCAATATCAGTTATTTCTTGTCTCTTGTCTGAGGGAGCTCTTATAGTTTGGCCCAAGATTAAATCTCTAATTTCAGACTGAGTAAGCGATTGAATGTTGACATTATTTTTCTTTGCATAATCATTCAAAATCAAATCCCTTAATTGAGTTTCAACTTCGATCCATTGCTCGGGTGTAAATGATGGCCATATATGATAATCTTGAGTTATAACGCTGGCATCTGGGCGTAAAATTAGATTTGTTCTTTCTTGATTAACACTCAAAGCTCTCAACAAAAGAATAATTCTTGAAAAGGCCGTATAAGGACTAATCGTTTTCAACCAGTCATCATAGAAGTTAAACAATACCATCTGCGGTTCATTTGCCTTCAACACTATGTTTGCTAATTTATCAATCTTCAAAGCTGCTCCGAATGGCAAGTGAAGTTCAGAGGGCCTGATAGAAATGTTTGGAAAATCCAACATGTGAACCTCAAGAGGATCTAATATTCCTCGTCTAGTTGCAATTAATTGCTTTGGTTGCTCCTCTCTAGGTAAAGATCGAACTAGTGCACTTACTTCTTCAGCTGTCTTCCATTTAGCTAATTGACCTAAACGCTTTTGACCTGCCCACACTGAAACGTGAATGATCTTCAAGAATAATTGGCCAGTCTTCGGGTTAAGAATAAAGATCGATCCATTGATAGGTTTTGTTGTCAAGTTTCCTTCAAAAGTCCTATGAACGGTAACTCTGTAAACATTTGTATCATCAATAAATAATTGAGTGTCATTGGTGAACAAATCTGCGTAGTTACTGGAATTTAAGAAAGCCTCTTGAGGCTGTCCCTGGTATAGTTGTAAGCCTTTTCTTATTCTTTCTCTTAAGACATAAAGGGCGGGATTAGACTTCATGATCTCCTTCATTGCATTCTGCATGAGAGGTTTCAAACCAGAAAACCAGTTTCCATAAACATCATACATATTGTACGCTAAATCAATACCAACCATGGCACCAGTTGGACAAGGATATGAACTAGCATTATCAGTACTATAGTCTAAAAATTTTGCTCTGGTATATCTCGAAATGTCATGAGAATCATAATCACCATATCTCAACTGAATATCTAACCAAAATTTGTTCGTTGCTATCTCCATGGAGTCATTTCTGTCATGTAAAAGTGATGGTCTTGATACATTCCATTTATAAGAACTGTTTAAAACAATATCGGCACACGATGAATTCATCTTATAAGATTTACGAGGATGGATAGGTTGCTTCTCGACATTATCAATCTGCAAAACGTCTAACTCCTTATCCAAAACCTGGCAAAGATCTTGGACAACGCTCTCATGAATCTTTTGCCATAAATGAGCTCTGAATATTTGAATCAAAGATATTTTGAGTGTAGGAATCTTTCCATGTAAAAATATTCCAGTTAAATCCAACTGAACAAGGAAACCGACATAGACATTTGCTCTATTGATTGTTGGTGACCACCATAATGTAAAACGACGGTTCGGTATCTGACTTAATCCAGAACGTTGAGCATTCGTTAACTTTTTAAATTTCAATGAGTCTTCAAATCCAGATGCTTTTTCCCAAAATAAGCCTTCCCATGAATCAAAGCCAGTACCTTTGAAAAGAGTATGTTCCAAAATAGTTTCGATACCTCCTAGAGCCTGAATAACATCAATTCTGTAAGAGTTAAGATTCCACAACTTACCGTCGTGACGATTACTTGTCCACCAGAAAGGATTAAATCTTGCTAAGCTGAATTGTTTGAAAACTCTCCTCATTCTATGACCCTTATCATACGCCAAAGTGTGTCTATCTTTTTGAAACAAGGTACTGATTCTTGGAATACCTCTATCCCAACTTCCTTCCATATCTTCAAAAGTCAAGCGACGGTTTTGCTCGGCAGCTTCCTGTCTTTTTATTGCATACTCAGCCCAAACTCTTTGAGAGTCTAAGAATTCATTCTCCCAGGTCGTTATATATCGATAGACCGTCGGAATCATTTTTTCTTCTTGGTGGCTCATACCGGCTCGAAAGTGTGTTATACCAGTATCTGTTTGCTTAGACCATCTTAAGTCTGATGCAGGTATCAAGATATGAGAAGCACTTAACATTCCAAGTCCACCCAATTCTTTAGGTGTGTAGAATACAGCGGGCGGGAAACGAGAGGGCATCTTGGAATTTAATCCCATCTTAACACGGTTTTGTATCTTTGTTTCACATTTGACTAGAATATCTAATAGAGATTCAGTCGATATTGCAGCCTCTCTGAAATACGTAAATAATGCTAGCAATGCCGTGTTCCATTTCGCTGCAACTTTTGTAAATGTTGTTGAGCCTGAAGACATCAAAATTTGACGAATTCTATTGTTAAAATTGTTCACTTCTTGTTGGCTGACTTGAAGGAATGCTTTGGCTGTTCTCTCTTTGGTATTAAAGTCAATAAGATCCCACACACCTTCTTGAGAGGAAGAGTCTTCCTTAGCTCGAATTTTGGGTAATATTCTGACTTCAAATCCACACATGGAAAATAGTAAATTGGGGTTGTCCCTAGAATATACAGATGCAAAAGAATCTTCCCATTCAATGCTAGTTATTGAACTTGGAAGCCTACTGGCAATCTCCCAAAACACAGCTCTTCCTAAATTAACATCATGTCTCATTAATCTCATCCTCGAATCCCGTGGCCAACAACGGTGATTATTGTATCCTACAATATTTTCAAAATTAGGATCAGGGTTTTCAGATAGGAAGTCTTGAATTAAACCGTTTGCCTCTTCATCTTCAAACTTGAAAAATATGTGAATCTTATCCATATATCTCGAGTATAGTCTGATGGGACTTGATGTTTCAGTTTCAATATCTTTGAATTGCAAAAATGAATTCGGATTTTGAGGAGGTCCGGCTATTTGGCTGGCTCTATCTAGTCCTAGTATCAATAAATCGTTAACAAGTCCATAATACTGAAATATGAATGATGAGAATTGTAAACCACGTATTAAACCAAATTGATTCACATGATTCATATCCTTGTAAGTCAAATTGATATTATTTTTGGAAGTCATGTAATCAGCTATATTAGGATCCACAATTAGTCTTAATAGCCTATTAAGTAAGGTGAAGTCGATCTGCTCAGCAAACTTGTTTAAAGATGCTTCTAACATAACACAACATTCTCCCTTAGATGTATCCCAAACATCATCCAAGTTATTAATACCTTGGCACCACTTATAAACGAGCAATGGTGGAATTTCATCATCGCTTGGCTTGATCCAATTAGGAAAGAGCTTTCGTTTATCAGCTTCATACCACAAATATTGGTCAAGATATGCATCTGTTATCTTTTCAAGAGGATCAATTGAATATGTTGGCACAAGATGAGTATAGTAATCCATCATCTCTAGTCCGGCCTCCTTGAAAATTCTTTGAGTCAAAAGAAACTTTTTGATTCTTGCAAGACATTCATGGGGATTATCGTATGCTTGTTCAATAAGTGCTAATTCTTCTCTTTGAGAGGAGTTCAATTTTGAATTTGCATTATAACTCTCCTTGAGATTTTCTAAGGCAAGAACTAGTAACTTTGTATCATGCTTGTAAGATAACGGCGGAAACGGAATTGGACTAAATCTTCTACTTTCAAGCCAATGAACTGTCGTCTGAAAAATAGTTATTGCCTCATCAGGAGATACATATGGCCCATCTTTTGCAAAATTAAGCTGTCTTTGTTGCTCATTCTTTATCCAAAGCCTAGATAAACGTCCCAAATTCTTTCGAGCAACGGTTTTTTCAACTGTAGCTCCTCGACTTATTCTATCTCTGTTATAATGGGCTACTGAGATCCAGTTATCGGCCTTTGCCTTGATATATCTTTCGATAATTTTTTCAACCGGTTCAGGGAGCCCTGGAACTTTCCAAGGAATGTTTGCTTTCCAACATCTCCAAGCTTCACTTAAATGCTGTAAAATTGTTCTTGATTTGCTCTGCTTCAAGCCCTTGGGGATCATATCAAGTATGTCATGCATGACTTGAGCTCTTAATTCAATGTCATAATAAGAATCCACTCTTTGCTTGGTGATCGTTTTTGCTACGTCGTTACTTCTTCTTCCTTCGAATTGTCTTGCTAACAAATTACCAAGCCATCTTTCTAGAAGAGGAATTATACCTCTCATAAATGATATCCAGACTCTCCATGCCGGCTGCCAAAATCCACATCCTGGTCCCTTGCCGATCACTTGATTAAATCTAGAATATACAACATGCTTCAAATCCTTACAGGCTCTTATTTGATGCATAACCTTGTACTTATATCGATAAATACCTGTTAGTTGTCCTAAATGGTTGAAAATATAGTATATTCCGTCCGCTAATTGAAATGCATCGATATTTCCTAATCTGTACTGAACATGGGAGTCCACAAGTATCTTTATTACTCTTAAGATTTCTCTAATCAAATGGAAAGCGTTACCAAACCTCGACTTTTTACGCTCTTTCGTAGTTAAAGTCTTTGTTGGCTTTAAGTTGAAATTATAGTCAAGGTGCAAATAAGTGAGCCCTTTCTTGTGAATCAATAGGTTTAACATATTGAATCCCTGTGTGCATACTTGTAATCCAGCCTCTACCCAGTCAATAGTCGTTTCTTGAAAGTATCTGGTCGATTTTAAGCTTTTTAATAGCTTTATTTTCCTCGTATTATACATCTTGTTGTTAGTCTTGGAGCCCTTGGGATTGTGTAACTCGTTCAATATATGGTTTTTCAAAAGTTTTTGATAAGATATTTTAACTTTAATCGGGTCTTCTTTCGGAGCATGTTGCTTATACCAAGATTTTACAAGTGCAACATCTTCTGCTCGCACCATTCTTCCACTACGCACATTGAATGGATAAGGTGCCCACCATAATTGAATTGCTTCAGAAGTATTTTCAGCTTCTAGGGGAATAATATCATCATCTTCAGAATATGACATAAAAGAAACTGAATTGCAACCACCTAAATCTAATTCTTCTATTTCATCATATTCGATCTTCTTGGTTCTCGCATGAGGAATAATAGGGTTAAGATCAGACCTGAAGTGAAAGGCTGGTAAGTCGTATCCGGCAACCTTGTTAAAGCAATTTAAAGGCTCATGGTATCTACCTACCCTTACCAGCTCAGTAAATGAATTGTATAAATATGGAAACGCAACCTTATATTCTGTTCGAATTGGCACACGAAAGATTATTCGGTCAATCGAATTAAATTCACTAAAATCTTCTGATGCTGGATTATTTATCGTGTCTTTATACAATGGTTCAAACTTTGGTCCTCCAGGCAATGCAAGATTCAAGCTCTTCGCAGTGAAGAATGAATTCAAGTCAAATAAATGAAAATAGTTTGGATCAATCGTGTCGGGTAGCAAAGGTTGAGCAAGTCCATATAGCTGCGCCATTAAAGAGATGTCCAATTTCCATTTCCTATAAGACTCTCCATTCACTGTGTTTAAATCGTCAATTAAGGGCTTTTCATCGTAAAACCAATCTTTAAGTGTTTTATATTTCAGTTCGTTCAAGTCTAAGCGTATGGCGTCTGGTGGAGGAATATCTTCTAAGTTTTCATTCCAGTCTAAAGGAGGTTCTTCGTCATCAAATGGTGGAAATCTCATTCTCTTGAAGTGTTTTCTATCCCTCTTTTCTCTTCTCATCATTAACCATGCAGTTGCCCACTGGGCCGTATAAACTGGTTCAATAACTCTCGGGATTTCATTCACAAACGTTATAGCACCAGTTATATGATAAAGAACTTTGACTTCCTTTGTTTGTTCCCATGGTTGTGGCATGTTCTCAAGTAATTTCAAAAGAGCATGAGGCATATATTTTAAGGAACCCAAGTGTGAACGCTTATCAGAAGCTATTTTCTTTGAAGATAAATCACCATGATCAATCATAATCTTCCTCAAGTGCTCTGGAGGCATTTCAACTTTTTGAGGTTGAACCAATCCATTTTTTGATGATTTTTTGATAGGTCTATATCTCTCTTTCTGAATCTGTAACCACTTCTTTTTCCTTGCAATTAAATCATTAGCTGACAACTTTCCATCTCTTTCTGTGGGAACCCTCCGTCTCCCTGGGGGAGGTGGTGGAACCCTTGGAGGTGGAACATTCCTCGAAGTTTGTCGTGAAGTGTGGGTAGCCGTCGATAGAGATTTCGGAGGAGGAGGAGGCGGCGGTGGCCGTCTCATCGCTGGTTTTCCATTTGTGTTAGATCCCAGTAATCCAGGTGGTGGGGGAGGTGGTGGCAAGTTACGCCTCATTATTTAAATGTTCAGATTGATCTACACAACACGAAACACTAACATTTCACTTCTCTAGGCAGCTCATCTTAGATTTTAAGATTATATTATGTCGTACAGATATTTGCGACATTTGAATTTGGGAGCCTCCAATGTCGTTAGATATATTTCCTTTATTAGAACGGATTCAACCTAGGAAACTACGGTACGTTGATCTGCTATCTTGGGACCTTCAGGTAAGAGCTTCACACATGAACGCAACTACTAAATTGAGCCTAAATTCATCAGGCTTGTTAGATGATGCTTCGAATTTTAATGGAAATTCGCTGCAAGGTCTTGTGATGTCTCTTATAGGAGCCGTTTATGATCAAAAGCAGAGCTATGAATCAAAGAATTATACTAATGCTATATTTCAACTATTCACGTATTGTTCGTCACTGTATGGTCTTTGCTGCTTAATCATGGCAATAATATTGAACAGAACATTGGTTTTTGCTTCCACTAATAACCGATCAAGTGAACACCGTGAAAGGAAAGATGATAAAGTAAGAAATCGGTCAAGAGAGATAATGATCTTTATCTTGAGGTTTTCTGCCATCGTATTGTTACTACAGTGTTTCAACTCAGTTTTGGTTGCATTGAACTTTAATAGTCATGCTGGCTTGAAGAATACTGATATGTCTTGGTTCCATTATTTATTACCAGACAGATTTTTTGCATATGATCCATTAAACCCTCCAAATAAATACATGGTATCTACTGACTCACAGGGTATGGCTGGTCCCACTTCAGACATGTATTGGCCAATTTTTTTAACGATTTGTTATCTGACATTCATTGAAACGTTTATTTCCGTTATTCAAGGCAAAAGACCTTACACTGAAACAGGTTTTACCATCTTTGAACATTCACTTGCCTTCCACGAGGCAAGCTTTGGCGCAACTGGCTTCTTTGCTAGTCAAAAGGTATCCAGAATACCAAATACCGCAATGCTTGTGCTCTCTCTTTATCTGGTATTTAATCATTCCAATATTCAAATTGGTGGGCTCCTCAACGACAATGCTTACAGATTGATTCCACTGACAATAAGCGGATTGAGTTTTATGGTATACTTCATCTATGAGTTATTCAGTTCACAATATTTTCCAATAGTTATCTTTGCAACTTTCTTACCTCAACTACTAATTTTAGCGGTAATTTGCCTAAGTTTATTCATATTCATTTTAGCTGTCGTCACCAATGGATTTAGTTTGAAGGATTTGAATTGTGCTAGCTTTTTGTTCGAAGACAACGAAGACTTAGGTTTAAGAAATTATTTGTCGTTTAATCTAGATGAAGACTTCCAAAAGGCGTTTTTGAATTGTGGAGTATTGGCTATTATACTGGCAGGTAAGTCCAGTTATATTTCAGAATTAAGTCCAATCAATACCTATGCTCAGACTTGGGTTGAAAAATCATTTTGGCAAAAGCTTCAAGAGGGCTTTGGTCCTAATACATCTGATACCACAATTAACAGGAAAAAAGGATATGACATTTTTGTTACAGATCCTGAGAAACTTCTAATGGGGAAGACTATGGGTACCAACAAATTTGAAGGAGGGACGTCAATGGGTACCAGAGTTAGGTACTTAAAAGAAATACTTCTTAATACGTACGAGTTATTATACGGAATTATCATTGATAAAATCATTTGCGGAATATACAGAAGGTACGTTTCAAGGACCCTGCTAAATACACCTCGCTTTGAGGAGACAGAGGAAGAATTTGAGGAGAGAAAGAAGACCATACCTACTTACCTCGTGCCCTTTGCCAGGAGGAAGAGTTCAAAAGATCAGTCTCACGATACTTCTCAACAAGAATACATATGCTTGGATCAGATGACTGACGAACAAATCGAAGAGAAATATATTGATCTAATACAGAGTGCTGAACTTCCAGACGAGGATTATTCCCGTGATTATTCTCCTGATCTGGAACTCGAAGACTCGGACGAAGAATCGATCGATATCGACTTAACGCAAGGACCAAGCTCCAGTCTATCTCCTATAACTGAGCTTTTCACTGGTCAGGGTCTCAATGAGCTAATAAGCGCCTCCACTGCTGTACTCAATGAACATCTTTCCTATGAACGTGGAATATTGACAAGGTCAAAATATAGGTCTCTCAATCACATCCCCAACGAGGATGAATCCTTGAAACTTTTGCAAATTATAGCCTTAAGGAGATCAGATGCTGCTCAATCATCCTCCACTAATGATGATGACGTATACTCAAGATACACTTGTGTTATCTGTCAATGCAATCCACGAGAGATCATCACCTGGCCATGCAAGTGTTTCGCAATATGCGAAACTTGTCGCTTGTCTTTGGTTTCAAAAGGAATCGAAGGTTGTGTATGCTGTCGTAAGGAGGTTCATGGTGTCAGTAAGGTCTTCATTCTGTGATTTGCATTTCTTTGGGTCCAATTTTAACGTTGGTGGTCTTTTATTAGTATAGTCGCGAGCTCATAACCAATTTTTGGTTTAATTCCCTCCAATTATATACTTTTCATGTTAGGTTTGTTTATAGCAAACGACATAAACATCTACACAAATAGTCACTCGACAGAGACTTATGACTTATTATATGAACTCTAACGGACGTAAGATTTAGTTACAATTGAAAAAGATTTTAAATTAGAACGAAATTGATGTCGACCATGACAAACCGAATTCACCAACATAACGCCAATACAATATCACATCTATCACAAGAAACTCCGCTACCTTTCAAGAAATACACAAAGAAGAGGTCATGGGTATGGGACTGGTTTGAGCAAGACCCAGACAACAAGTATAGGGCAGTATGTTTGTTCTGTCATCAGGAAATATTTAGACTAGATGGCGACAGAGGATCACCTAAAAAGCTCATCACACATGTCAACTCAAAGCATGGAATCAATAAAGATAATTATAATGATATGGGACACATAGAACTTAGAAATGACAAGCTACGGAATTATCTCAACAAAGTTGGACCTCTTGTGACGAACAGAGATGATGCTATACAACTAAGGATAATGACGGGTACACTGCAAGGCTCGCCCGATTTAATATCACAGTCACCTCCACTTCTCGCTGGAATGGACCCATCACAGCATACCGTAATAGATACCTCACGGTCTACACCGTCTTATTCCAATCAAGATGCAACCATTATTGCTGGAGAGTCAAGACCCATATCTTTCGCATCCCCACCTACTAGAAATGAACCAAAATACGAACCACGCTACGAGCACAATCATGAACCAATAGATATGAACCAGATAGACCCGTCACTTTCGGAGTATAGACGGACTCGTCAGGATGAGAAAAAGGACGAAATCGTCCGCTACAATGATCTTGTCATGAACCACAACCGTCAAGTCGAGGCATACAACAAGGATGTGATAATAAAAACGAATGGTCATCAAAAACCTTTATTTCCACTTGTAGAACACGGTTTAGATGAAATACAATTGGCTCCGGAGGATAACGAGTCTCAAAAGGCACTTAAATATTTCATTGCCGAAAATTCTCTGAGTTTCGCCAACTTGAATTTTCTTCTGACTCCTAGCTTTGAAAACTTCTTAAATACTATCAGGGACCATCCGGAACAAAAACTATAGTCTTTATAGCATCTATAGCCAATGTATATTACTAGACTTTCACTGGAATCATGTCTTAGAAACATCGTGACTTTTTGAACGACATTTGACTCGTTCCGACCTTTTCTTACTACGCGAACGGACAAAAAAAAAGTCTATTAGGTATTTCTTTAAAGACACTTGTTTTCTTTATTGGAGCGAAACCAGTAATATCAAAGTCATATCTCGCTACGCCCATCGTTATTAGAAGAGAGACTTGTTTCATTATATGCATAGATATTCTTAGAGTTCACAGCGTTTCTTAGTTGAATTTGCCAAAGTAAAATAAAAAATAGGAGTACTAGCATTACTGTGAAGAAAGTTCATAGTTGAAAACATAAACAAGGAGATTGGCAGTATGGGAATTACAGATAAAGCATCTGCTACAATAGTAACTGCGACGAATACGTTGACGATGACGGCGCCACCGAGCTTTGAAATGTTGTCTGCCGCGTTAGCTGACAACTTTCTTTACTACCTTAATAAGCTTGATAAGTTGCCTGGTGGATCTATTGTGTTGAGATACATCAAATCTTCCTATCAGGATGATCCAATAAGGTCACTTTTTGAGTATGCATTAGTTATTGTGGCAATCACATACTTTCTCTCATCAAAGAGGAAGGAAAACAAGTCGGAGTTTGTCAAGTTTTCTAAAGCAGAAATTGACGAGCTTTGTAATGAGTGGGTACCTGATCCGTTAGTGGAGCCTGTCACCCCAAAAGAGGTATGGGACATCGAGGCTATTCCCGAAATCAAGGGCGCTAATGGTGCTCACATAACATTGGGAGAGGAGTCCAATATTTTGAATCTTGCTTCCTTCGACTTTTTGAACTTGAACGAGAGTGAAGAAATTAAAGAGGTGGCTAAGGCAACTATTTCCGATGTGGGAGTGGGAGCTTGTGGGCCTCCAAACTTCTATGGTACCCAAGACGTCCACGTCAGATTGGAAGAGGATTTGGCATCATATTTGGATACGGAAAGCGCTATCATTTACGGTCAAGACTTTCCTACTGCTGGTTCTGTGATTGCTGCATTTTTGAAAAGAGGTGATCTATGTGTTGTCGATAGTGGTGTCAATTTGGCTATTCAAAAGGCTCTTATTGTTAGTCGTTGTGATATTGAATGGTATGACCATAATAGCATGGAACACTTGGAGCAAATATTGAGCGAGTTGAAACCAATTCTTGATAAAACCAAACCGATTAAGAGAAGATTTATTGTGACAGAAGCTTTGTTTGCTAACACTGGTGACTTAGCAAATTTGCCGAGGATAATCGAATTAAAGAATAAATATAAGTACAGATTATTTTTGGATGAGTCTCTCTCTATTGGTGTTCTTGGAGACAAAGGCCGAGGACTTGTCGAGTATTACAACGTACCGAGAAGTGAAATTTCCATTACCATAGGATCAATGGCGCTTTCATTCGCTTCTTCTGGTGGTTTTTGTGTTGGTGTCAAGCCGATGGTTCATCATCAAAGGATTCAATCCTTAGCATATGTTTTCAGTGCATCGTTGCCTCCTTACTCTGCCAAGGTTTCCTCAAAAGTGATCAGTGAAATTAGAAACTCGCTTGATTCCGCAGGGAAGTCGAAGTTGATTTCTGGCTTGCACGAAAAAGTAAGCTATGCTTATGCTCACTTGAAGGAAGCCATACCTAGTGAGTATTTTCTCCTTGCTTCCGTAACTGAATCACCAATCATTCATTTGAAATTGAATCCTGAATACCGTGCCAAACTCAAACTTCCCAAGTTTTATGGTACGACAACTTTCCTCACAACAGGAAAATCATCTAAAAAAATTAATCAGTTTGACATGAACTACAACCTAGAATCGTTCCTTTTGCAGAAGATTATTGACGAACTCTTGATTACCTTTAAAATTTTGATAACAAGATCAAAGCTCATATTATCGCAGGAAAATTTGCCTGTTGCGCCGCCACATATATTGATAATGATCAATAGTGCCGTTCTGTTTGAAGAATTGGACAAACTAGGACGCTCTTTGAGTTCTGCTATGAAGGATGTTTGCTCTAATATTAACAATCGTGCCGAATTTTTGAATTTGGAGAACGAATCGCTAAACTACAAGGCCTTGTTTCCTTAATATTTATTTTTATTTCTAATATTAATAATTTATTCATTTGACTATATTAAATATAGAGACTGAATTTATACATATTTTAATACACAGCAATATAGCAATCTCTGACTACTTCAGCATCCTGTTCCTCGCTTCTCTCGCAATTGACCTGGCCTCTTCAATATCGTGAGCATTACTGTGGTTTAAATCTTTCGCTAACTCGTATGCCTCATTAAATTTCCTTTCTTCTAAAGCATTTCTTGCTAACCAAAGACGTGCTTTCGAAGTTTCGTCACTAATACCCCATTCTAGCTCCTGATCGAAACACAACTTCATATATTTATAGGTATCAGGCAATTGACCTAATTTTTCAGATATCACAGCAAGCCTATAGCAAATATGAGGTTCAACCTCGGTGATATCAGGGCTCTCGTTACTATAGCTATCAATAGTCAATGCCTTCTCAAATGATTTGATCGCTTCCTCTAGCTTATCGATTTTCTCGTAACAATTGCCCGTTGCTTGCCACATCCTTTTATCAAGGGGCTGCAAATTTGTTGCTCTCTGATAATAATATAAAGCATAAAGATGCATATCTAGCACCTCATAGGCCTGACCTAAACCATACCAGGCTCTAAAGTCCTTAGGGTTGGTATCAACTGCCCTTCTATAAGACTCAATGGCCGCATGTGAATTCTTCAACTCGACAAACTCATGACCCATCAAAGTCCAAGCGCTCAAGCAATTCTTATTTAGAATTAAAGCCCGCTTGTAATACATGATGGCTTTCTCGTGCTCACATTTCATTGAATGATAGTTGGCAATTATGCAACATGTCTCTGGTCTAAATTTGTCAACCTGTGAAGCGAATTGTGCCAAAAACGATAATTTTGATTTCTTTTCCATAACATATAGCATATTTGAGTAAGTGTCCAAGTCATCCAACCTCAAGGGGTCATCGAGTAAAATTTGGTCAAATATGTGTTCCGCTTGGAAGTAATCAAGCCCATGGTATGCTACTAAGAATTTTTGAATTTTCAAGAAGCTGAAATCGGGAAATATATCAATTAAATGCGCCAAAGAGTCGGCCAACGAATTTGACTGTTGATAAAACTCCTGCAAAATGACAACTTCAAAAAACTGGAACATTACGTTGGATGTTATCGGATTCTTGGATGATTTAACTTGATTAATAAAGCTAATAGCTTCATCGAAACTATTAAGAGATGCAATTAGCTCTTGCCAGCACGACCAGTTGTAAGGAAACAAAGTTAATGAATTAAATAAATTAGTTTGAGCCAAGGAGTATTTCTTTTTCTTGTTATAGACCATCCCATTTAAGTAATACAAGAAAGCATTCTCAGGATTCTTAGAATGGTAATTTTCGGATTCTTGAATCAATTTTGATAATCTGTTGTTTAACGTCTCCACTACCTCTTTGTGCCTATTGGAAATCTCTGGACTCCCGTTGTTACTTTCAATCAGCTCATTGAGGTCATTATAAGATGTTATATTTATTGAACCATCAGTTTCCTCGGTTGCTCTCTTGTCTATAGATATAAGCATTGAATACAATCGTAAGAACAACGCGTTACCACTCTTGCAGTCCTTCAATGCGTATGCTGCTCTATCAAACTCCTTGCAGTTGAAATAGCTTCTTGCAAGTATAACCTTATCTTGATCATATAACTCATTATCATCTAGTTTTATTGTTGGATATGGTTTATTGGTCTTTGGTTGGGGTAGCCCATTAAGCGCTTCAGCACACCATTTAGCGGCTTGAAATAAGTTCAAATCGGAGAGCCTTTGACAAGCCTGGTGTAATTCAGTTCTAAGATCATTTACTTGATTAGAACTTCCTTCCATCCTGTTCTGTAACCCACTAGCTCTTGAATAACAGCCAGATTCGTTCTTTTAAAGAATATTATAATCTGATCTATAAAGAATGCGACTAGAAATATTTTGCTTTAATTAGCAAAATATAAATAAGATCAACGAACAGTCGAAGTGATGACACAGGAAGAAATTGAAGAAGTCAGAAGAGGTTTAGGTTCTTTGGAGCTGTTGCTTGAGTCTGCTAAGTTATTGAATCAGGCCACAAAAGACATGGTTGAAAAAGGGTCAATTAATAATAGGAATGAATTAAAGATGATGCAGAAGAAGCTAGCAATGGACTCATTCAAAATAAGTCGAATACATAGAAACTATATGACTCATGATAAAGAAGAAGTACTGAGACTTATTAATGAAGATGCAAAAAAGTATAATAGAAAAGTCGGAGAAATGTCTAGGTTAAACTCTGGCATCGAAGAAGACGAAATGGAGTATGAAAAGTTGAGAGACACTGTGAAACTACCCGCTTTTGAATTTTCTATTGAAACTATAGAGTCATATAACAACGGTGAGTTACTAAATAGTATTTCAAAGGACTCTGAAGGAAATTATCCTTCAATAGTGAAAGTAGATCAGATATTTTCATTAGATCCGGCCTCCTCACTAGAGACACCAGATTTTAACGTGTTCTCTGAACTAGTGAATATTGAATATAGGCTTAGGATACAAAGGAGAATTAAATATGAGATCTTGATGGTGGTGAAGAGCCAGATTACAAGTAATAATAGAAAATGGATATCGAGAGACACTTCGCTTAACGATTTCATGTCGAAGAAATTACCTGAGGTTATTGAATCGGTAGAGAATATTAAGAAGAACGAATATGAAGACCTTAAAGATTTCAATTATAGTGAGGGTATAGCTGATGAACTCGACGAGGACATAGAACAAGAGATCGAAGAGGAGGAGGAAGAAGAAGAAGAGGAAGAAGAGGAGGAGGAAGAGGAAGAACAAGAAGAACAAAAAGAAGAACAAGAAGAAGAACAAGAAGAAGAACGCGAAGAAGAACGAGAAGAAGTTCAAGAAGATCAGGATGATCAAATCCCCGATGACATAGACGATGGTGTACCCATTGAGAATAAACATGAGCAAGAATTATCTCATGAATTACAAAATCAGAGTAATATAGAAGAAAACATTGAAGAGGTGGAAGAATCTAACCGTGTCTCTAATGCTGTAGAGGATGAGGCTGACATAAACGATACTGAAATGTTAATAGATTAATAGTACGTATATTGAAAGTAATAATAATATCCTAAGATTTCTTAGGGTCAACTGGTGTAGCATCATCAGAACCCTTGGCAAGATACTTAAATACTTGTGCTGTAGAATCACCACATTTCACTCTCCAGTCGACAATTCTGTAGAGTTGATAGCCTGCAACACCACCTAAGAAGAAGTTGACACTAGCCAATAAAGCATTACGAGGCTTGATAACAAATCCTGCCCATCTGGTCCATATAGCTCCTGTTGCAAACAATGCAACTTGTTGAGTACCACTTAATTTGTCTACTGGTCTTTGGAGATCATTGATGCCCGCTATCACTAAGCACCATTTGAGAACTGGTGCCCAAAAGTGCACTGTCTTTGGTCCAGTTTCAGATTGTAAATACCTCGAAAACTTTGAAGTATGATGAGCTGCTGATGCCATTCTTTCAACGATTAGAACTCAGGACGATCTATTTATTCTTATGATATCTGACAATATACATCTTAAATTGTGACGGATGTAAGAATTCCTTAGTATTTTTCGATCTTATATACCGGATTTTTCATCTCCCCACAGAGATTTTCAAGAAGCTTTAATACGCTTTAACAAGTCCTATTTCAATGATGGCCGCCTATATGTTGTTATTAAAGATCAATCACTAAGCTCGAGACTAGAGAAGCTTTCTTCACTATATTCGTCTGATATGGTGGTCTCTTGTGGTGTCAAAGGCATGACAAGCTCTAGCTTTTGTATATCTTCTGAAGAAGATGAAAGAGAAAAATATTGATGGAGCATAAAATCCTGAAGCCTAATAGGATACTCTGAAAGAGCAATTCTTGCATTAGCACTATGTTGTATGTAGTGTTTGAGTCTTTTAAGTGCTTCTTTTTCTCTGGAATGAGACTGTAAAGGCTCGTTCAAGACATAAGTAATTAAATGAGAATTGAAAGCAAGGTCTAAAAGGCCATATTCTTCCGGAAATATGACTTTAAATATGCTACAAGAGGCATGTAGCCACTCTTTCGATTTCTGAGCCAACTCTATTTTAACATCTTCGCTCAGAATTAGGGTGCCCACACTTTTTTCTGATGAGTTCATGAATGAAACGAACCCGATTAATATCTTATCGATAGACCAGGTAGCATTCCAGAGCTCTTTATGAAAGCTTGAAAGTGTGAGGCATAGGGGGACCCTTGTCTTAAATCGGCCACTAGGTGATATCATCTGTAGTTCGGGGGGAGAATAAGGGAAATCGGATGGAAAGATCATGACTCCAAGATACAACCCCCTAAAGTAAGGTGTTTCTTCAAAACCATTGACCAAGAAATACCACACGCAAATATTTTGCTCGTCAGGTTTGACTGTAATATGATCTAAAGGATTTGAGACTATTTTATAGAATTCTTTCGTCAAGAGATTGATTGTCTCTCTAGTTGGTGGTATTTGTAGGACGTCTCTATTATGTTTGGGGGTTGGTTGCATCAATGTGTCTTTCATCGCAAAGACGTAATGAAATGTGGCACCTTGTACGACTCTTCCCGTTGGTACTCTAAATACAAGCTTGATTTTAGAACTTTTGCGTAATTGCTGCGAAAACTGCTACAAATACAAAATGTACAGAAAACAACTGAAGAAACTATATACTATTAGTGTATGGCACAGGCAACTAAAGAAATTTAACTAAGAGCTCTACACTACGGCTATATTGACTTTCAAACCAAATGAATCTTAAATGGCACACGCTGGCCATCAATTTACACTGCTTACGGATCTGTAATAGGGATCATTCTAGTAGCAACTTCCTGAGTTTACACTTAGTCTAATATAGCAACTCCCCGGACCCCAAACAGAAACTTTGAGCATTCTCTGAGTTAGTACTGAAGTTATGATATCAACGTGATTATTTAAAGAATTGTTGTAGTTCCAAGTCTCTCACATGCTTTCCTTGAGAGATTGGAAGAATACTACCAAACCGCAACTTGCTCTCTAGTGCGTTGCCAGTGTCTCACCCTACTCATTTTACCCAATCCCTTTCAAGCAGTTCTCTTAGATTTGTCCTGCTTATTGAGATCCGTTTCGCCGTTAGCCTTCCACATAGATGTTGCCGACAATCGTCGCAGCACGCCCTTCTAGGTCTTAAAGTCCCACTCAAGCCGTGAGCTTCAGATACTGCGACTCTCGGCTCCGATGCGAACGGAGCCAATCACAAATTGGTCATTATAACTCCCGTAAGTGCACCGAAAATAACCCTCGGATATCTCCACAAAACCCTAAAATGAATCCAATATATGATCTTTTTACATTATAATGCACCCAATATTATCCAGACTACTACTATTGCTCTCGTATATATACTTATGTGAAAGGAGTTAGTCTCCACCCAATTGAATGTTCATTTTTGTAGCTTTTCTTGCGCTCTTCGAGTCCATCATTCCCCTGATTGCGTTCCACTCCCATTCCGGTCTATTAGAAATTTAATTGCTTTTATTGGCTCTTTCCTTGAGACATAATCATGGAACCATATCCGAAAGTAACGAACAAAGCGTTGATATAAAACCAGGCATATCCTTGATTTGAAAAAATTATTCTATTTACGATCTTGCTAGGGACACTTTGTCAAACAAGAAGATTACTTAAATATGTTGTCAGCTTCTAGAACAGTAGTCAACAGTGCACGTACAGCACGTTCCATCCGTGGATTGGCTACCGCTGGGCTCACTAGGGATTCCCAAGTCCACCAAAACAATTTGGAGGACCATTCCTTCATCAATTATAAGAAGAATGTTGAAAACGTTAAGATCGTTAGAGACAGATTGAACAGACCATTGACTTACGCAGAGAAGATTTTGTACGGTCACTTGGACGATCCTCATGGTCAAGAAATTGAAAGAGGTGTTTCTTACTTGAAATTGAGACCTGATCGTGTTGCATGTCAAGATGCAACTGCTCAAATGGCTATTTTGCAATTCATGTCCGCTGGTATGCCACAAGTCGCTACTCCGTCAACTGTCCACTGTGATCACTTGATTCAAGCACAAGTTGGTGGTGCCAAGGATTTGGCCAGAGCAATTGACTTGAACAAGGAGGTTTATGATTTCTTGTCATCTGCTTGTGCTAAATACAACTTAGGTTTCTGGAAACCAGGTTCAGGTATTATTCACCAGATTGTTTTGGAGAATTATGCTTTCCCAGGTGCTTTGTTGATTGGTACCGATTCTCACACACCTAATGCCGGTGGTTTAGGTCAATTGGCTATTGGTGTCGGTGGTGCTGATGCTGTCGATGTTATGGCCAACTTGCCATGGGAATTGAAGGCGCCAAAGGTTCTTGGTGTTAAGTTAACCGGTAAAATGTCCGGTTGGACAGCTCCAAAGGATATTATCTTGAAGTTGGCTGGTATTACTACTGTTAAGGGTGGTACTGGTTACATCGTTGAATACTTTGGTGATGGTGTTGATACATTCTCTTGTACAGGTATGGGTACCATTTGTAATATGGGTGCCGAAATCGGTGCTACCACTTCCGTGTTCCCATTCAACCACTCTATGGTTGACTATTTGAATGCTACTAAGAGATCTCAAATCGCTGAATTCGCTGAATTGTACCATGGCGATTTCTTATCTGCTGATAAGGGTTGTGAATATGATCAAGTTATTGAGATTGATTTGAATACCTTGGAGCCTCATGTTAACGGTCCATTCACACCAGATTTAGCCACTCCAATTTCTGAAATGAAAGAAACCGCAAAGGCTAACGGATGGCCTACTGACATTAGAGTCAACTTGATTGGTTCTTGTACCAACTCTTCATATGAAGATTGTACCAGAGCTGCATCTATCATTAAGGATGCTGCCAAGCACGGCCTTAAGGCTAAGACCACCTTCACTGTCTCTCCAGGTTCAGAACAAGTTAGAGCCACCATTGCCAGAGATGGAATTTTGAAGACTTTCCAAGATTTCGGTGGTATTGTCTTGGCTAATGCATGTGGTCCATGTATCGGTCAATGGGACAGACGTGATATTAAGAAGGGTGAAAAGAACACAATTGTTTCTTCATTCAACAGAAATTTCACTTCAAGAAATGACGGTAACCCTGCAACTCATGCTTTCGTTGCTTCTCCTGATATCGTTACTGCTTACGCTCTTTCTGGTGACTTAGGATTTAACCCTATCACTGATACTTTGAAGGGAGCCGATGGTAAGGAATTCAAGTTGAGCCCACCACAAGGAGTTGGTTTACCACCAGATGGATACGACCCAGGTCAAAACACTTACCAAGCACCACCAAAGGTCAGATCAGAAGTTGAGGTTAAGATCTCTCCAACTTCTGACAGATTGCAGAAGTTGACTCCATTTAAGCCATGGAACGGTAAGGATGCTAAGAACTTACCAATCTTAATCAAAGCTTTAGGTAAGACTACAACCGATCATATTTCAATGGCCGGTCCATGGTTGAAGTACCGTGGTCATTTGGAGAACATTTCTAACAACTATATGATTGGTGCTATTAATGCTGAAAATAAGGAAGCTAACAACGTTAAGAATCACTACACTGGTAAATACGGTGGTGTTCCACAAGTCGCAGCTGAATACAGAGATTCCGGTCACCAATGGGTTGTCATTGGTGATGAGAACTTTGGTGAAGGTTCTTCAAGAGAACACGCTGCCTTGGAACCAAGATTCTTGGGTGGTTTCGCTATCATTGTGAAATCTTTCGCTCGTATTCACGAGACCAACTTGAAGAAACAAGGTTTATTGCCATTAACTTTCAAGAACCCTGCTGACTACAACAAGATTAACCCAGATGATGAAGTTGATTTAATTGGCTTGACTACCCTTGCTCCAGGTAAACCAGTTATATTGAGACTTCATCCAAAGAATGGTGAACCTTGGGACTGTGAGTTACAACACACTTACAACAAAGAACAAATTGAGTGGTTCAAATACGGTTCCGCTTTGAACAAGATGGCCGCTGCTCACAAGCATAGCTAAGCGATGATTTCTTGTGTTTACATCTTTTCATTTTGATTTTTGTTTAACTCATCTATTCAATTACATAGTTAACTATGATTATGCGTACTTTCTAGTAGGACTTCGCGTTGTATAGTAAGTTTATGCTCCTAATTTATTATTTATTGTACTCAGACTTGAAGTTACGAGCGTAGAACTTCTGTAACAGTAAAGGATTTTACTAATCGTTTGCAATTACCATCAAAAACTTCCATTGACTCGTCAATGATTATCCAAGCTTGAGCAAACTAGTCCTTACACTATGATGCAAAGTAATCAGGACTTTTCTTATCAATTCGTAAGCCTTTGTGCAATTTTGAGTTTTAAGATAAATTTTTGAGCTCTATAGAACTCTTCGAAGTTGTCAACGTTGTGGAGCACACAAACTTGATCAACATAATTAAGACCACCACTACAATAGAAGGTACAATCATATTTTCTTACGAGTTGAACTTCCTCTCTAAGGCACGGTTAATGTCAATTCTTCTAATAAAAATCTCCCCACAGTCAACGCATACTACAACATTTCAAAAAAAAAATGATATGTGTTCAAATAATTCTATTTTGTATTGTTTTATAGCAGAAGTTTATCTTGTAAGGTCAAGTCCTTTCATGAACAACGATTTTATAGCTATTTTGAAAAAACTAAAAAGAGATAGAAACTAGCCCGACGCGGGGGTCGAACCCGCAACCTTTTGATCGCTTCTCTATTAAGAGTCAAACGCTCTACCGATTGAGCTAGCCAGGCTCGCTCTTGTTTTTCTTAATCTTCGCAGTTCAACAAGTACCGTAGAACAACTTTGATTCAAGGGACCTTACCGTATAGGATTTAAATTTGCCTGGCTCTTTTAAACAGCTCGGGATCTTGTGTAGAATTCCACCAATCTTGAAACGTGGACCTACGTATGATGTAATAAGACTCCAAGGGACAATTGAATTAGACGATATTATCATGCCTTAGATTGACCAAAAGGTACCATGCAAACTTTCTACGGCAGAGCCTCAGGGTTGATGTTGTTCAGTTTGACTATATCCTGCAACCAAAAAATAGAACAATCTTACAGGATCTCAAGAGAAATTGTGACGTCACTTGCGGATAAAGAAGTTGGCCAGAATCATACAGTTTACCAGGATATAGTAGTATTGTATTGTATTGATAAAAAAGTACCGGCAATTAAAACAAGCCATGAGCCCGTAGAATAGTAGTTATGATTGTTTCTGCTAAACAGAAATACCCCCTACATATCTGTGTTCTTGATCTTACTATATTAATACACAGTACTTTAAAACCCATTACATAATCACCCGAAAGGTAAAGTTCAATTCTGGCGCAAGATCAATTTCAAGATAGCCGAACAGTAGAATAGAAAGCCGATAGATTATGGAGTACAGCTAAAATGACAAGAATAAGAATTGACCCCGAGGCAACCAGAATTAAGCTTGAAAGAAGGAATTCAGCAGAGAGATGTCACTGGTAGTTATGGATAATTGCCTTGCCTATCTAGTAAAATATGCCTTCCAAGATCTAGGAATAACCTTAAATAGTGATCTTAGAAAAGGGTTTAGATAGGAGCACTGCAAAACACACAGCAGTAGCAACCTCGATTGTTGAAACTAGTCATATAACTAGACAAAACAAGCAAAGGATCTATCATGCAGTTGTATTCCAATTGTATGAAATGAGCTATGGGACAGTTCTACTTACATTACAAGGACCAGTCATGTGGGGGCCCCACTAAATTTAGCACCCAAAGTATGCGAGATTGCTTATTCAGTGAAGACTAATTCTATATACAATAAAACCCAACTATGTTAGTGTTTACCTGCCTTCAAGCAGGAAGGGATTATTCATGACTAGCTAAAAATAAAGGACCAATTTAGTAAGATACTCTTAATCGAGGGAGTCTGAAGTAAGGAAGAATACATATGCAAAGTTTTCTTCATACAATAGAGAGCAACTTAGGAGATGAAATGAACAACTTATGCCACCTTAAGAGTTAGTTAAATCGGAATATTTAAGTCTCCATCAATCCCCCTGAGATGCAGTTAAAACGAAGTTAAGTTTTGAAAATAAGTAATATTGAAATGAAATTAAATAGCACTTTCTTTTCGGTCATTTTGGCTTCCTTAATCGGTGTGGTTTATGCAGATACAACCTATCAGATAGTAGCGTACTGCAGAGACTCAGAATCATTTGGATTCGATAGTGATAGCGCTTGGGAAAACGATGATGTTGCTATCACTAGTCAGGATAAAAAAACAGTGTATTGCAACTCCAACGATATTGTTGGCGGTGGTGGTGAGTTTGTGGTTCCATGTGGTAATGCAGATAATCAGTATTATCAATTTACTTACAATTCTTGTAAAAATTTGAATTCACCTAATCAGATAATGGTATGGGCAACGGGAGCAGGAGGAATGAGCTGTGGGGTGAAGCAACTTAAAGTGAGTATAAATGGAGTAGAAAATGAATGCAATGGTAACGGTAAGACTGGCACTGATATTATTCCTATTGGAACTTCTGTGCTGGGCGGTTTGACTTGTCAATTCACGGGACCTGATGACTTATTTTCTGGTAGTAAGAGCTAAGTCTGAAGTATTTATGTTTACATAATTTGAATTGGATCTTAAATCTGTTTTCTACTAAATACGAATTCAAAAAGTATCCTCTGTCTGTGTAAAAGTAAACCAGCTCATTCGATGCCAAATGAAAATACAATATCTGCATTCGAGTGTGCTTGTGCATGATATGAATGTCAACTAAAGTACTCGTGACATCTGAATGACTGTATCGTTTTAAAAATTCCTTTATACACGATCCAGAAGAACCTTCAGGAAAGCCCCTTTAAGTCCTCAGGGGTTAACTGTCTTTGAATAAGCGTCAACAATGGTCTTAAACTCTACGATTAAGATAAAGCATAGATATGGCTGCGGTGGAACAGTAAAAATTTGCATCCGCGAGAATAAGATGATAGCTTCAAACTGCGTGCTCAGCGTCCACGGACTTTACATAGTAAATTAGGGCCCAAGTCATTAATTATATTCAATTATATTCAGTTATCTTTATTTAGCTTACTTTTCTTAGTAATCTCTCTCGATGCTCATCTGGCATGTTCCTCCGTGAACTCCGGAGGACTGTCATTAATAATATGTCATCCAGCACTCGGAGTTCGAAGATGACCCCATCTGCTCTTATACTCGTCAAAGTTAACTTATAACTTCTAAAGAAAGAAGACAGAAATGCCTAAGTGCTTCAATACCCATTACAATCTAAACTACAATCTCCTCTCCGGCTCTTTCAATCTTGCTCAAAGAGTCAATTTTCGAAAATTTCGCAGTTCAATTGCTGGAAGATCTACAGAGTATAATGAGTGAAAAGCGATTTTTAGTCTCAAGAAGTATGACCTACTGTGATTTTAGCTTAACTGTAGAAGCTGCCGTCACTTTTCAGCTGTCCCGGCATGTATCGTAGTATTTGTTGTCTCCGGTTCATTACAGTTTTGTTGTCGTGCAATGACCGTATCGGACTGGACTCATGCCTAATAAATTAAAGTGAATTTTCTGTTGATTTGATTGGCAAGAACCATAGTAACACTTCAATAAAGTACGATATACATTTAATCAATTTACCAAGTTTGTAATTGTAAGCACTTGAATTGAACCTCAATTGTGAATTGGTAAGAATAAATTTTTGTCGTTTTACTACATTAAAGATGTTAAGAAGTTCGTTAAGACCATTAGGGAAGACTTTTACCTTCCAGGCTGTCAGATTTGCCTCATCCAAGCAAAAATATGATCTTGTGGTGATCGGAGGCGGTCCAGGTGGTTATGTCGGTGCAATTAAAGCTGCACAACTAGGTCTTAAAACTGCATGTATTGAAAAAAGAGGTTCTTTGGGAGGTACATGTCTTAATGTTGGCTGTATTCCTTCAAAATCTTTGTTAAACAATTCTCATTTGTATCATCAGGTGAAACATGAGTCTGAAATGAGAGGCATTCAAATTGATGGTGAGGTCTCGGTTAATTTTGGAAATTTAATGGCTGCTAAAGATATAGCTGTTAAAGGTTTGACTGGAGGTGTTGAAATGTTGTTCAAAAAGAACAAGGTTACGTATTTGAAAGGTGAAGGATCATTCGTTGATGAACATACTGTTAATGTCAAGCCAATCGATGGCTCCGAGTCTTACGAGGTTGAAGCAGATAACATTATCGTTGCCACCGGTTCCGAATCTACTCCATTCCCGGGTATTGAAGTTGACGAAGAGAGAATTGTTACATCTACTGGTATTTTGGAATTGAGTGAAATTCCAAAGAGATTATCCATTATTGGAGGTGGTATTATTGGTTTGGAAATGGCATCTGTCTATTCTAGACTTGGTTCTGAAGTCACTGTTATTGAATTTCAAGATGCAATTGGTGCCGGAATGGATGCTGAGGTCGCTAAACAATCCCAAAAGTTATTGGCCAAGCAAGGATTGAAATTCAAATTGGGAACGAAGGTTACCAAGGGTGTTAGAGAAGGTGATGTTGTTAAGATCGAGGTCGAAGATGTTAAGTCAGGTAAAGCTGAATCCTTAGAGGCAGATGTTTTATTGGTTGCAATCGGTAGAAGACCATATACTGCCAACTTGAATTTTGAAGGTCTTGGTTTAGAAGTAGACAACAAGGGAAGACTTGTCATCGATTCTGAATTTAGGTCTAAACACCCTCACATCAGAGTCATCGGTGATGTAACTTTTGGACCTATGTTAGCCCACAAAGCTGAGGAAGAGGGAATTGCAGCTGCTGAATTTATTAAGAAGGGTTATGGACATGTCAACTACGCTAACATTCCTGCAGTCATGTATACTCATCCAGAGGTTGCTTGGGTTGGCTTAAATGAACAGCAATTAAAAGAGCAAGGAATTAAATACAAGGTTGGAAAGTTCCCATTTGTTGCTAACTCTAGAGCTAAGACAAACTTGGACACTGACGGGTTTGTGAAGTTCATTGCTGATGTTGAGACTCACCGTGTCCTTGGTATTCACATCATCGGTCCAAATGCAGGTGAAATGATTGCTGAAGGTGGATTGGCTTTGGAATACGGTGCCTCCACTGAAGACATTGCTCGTACGTGTCATGCTCACCCAACCTTATCTGAAGCTTTCAAAGAGGGTGCTTTGGCTACTTTCGATAAGCCAATCAATGCTTGAAATATATCTTGCCTTGATTAGACTTCTCTTTTCTTTTTTTGTAAGAAAAGTGTCTTTATTACACTATATTTAGCTTGTCATACGGTTATTTTTTTAAATCTATAGACCTAAGTTCAAGTTATAGTCTAGTTATTCAATTGTAAAAGCATGTCGCGTGCGACATTTAAAATAATCTAAAATTTTTCAAGGAATTGGCTTGAAAGAAATATATATCAACACCACGAATTTTTGTATATCATTAAAAGCTTCTTGGATATGCCTTCCTTACAGAAGTTCCATGCAAACGTGGCTCGCCACGTCAAACTGATGAACAAAAATTTGTGTGCTAACCTTATACGTCATGAATATATTGTAACAGGAAGAACTAAGGCTAAAAGAGCACAAGCTCAAATAGAGCTGTTTTTGGCCAAAGCTATCAGGATGAATAAAGAGATGGCGGGAAAAGATTCAGAATACATACTTGAAAATAATAAAGCATTGAGGTACTTACAGCCCCCTGATAAAAGGGAAATTGGCTTAAAGGTGATCAATGAATTAACAACAAGGTATCCAGATAGGGAACACGGTTTTACTCGTATTATTAAACTCGAGCCTAGGCTTGGAGAAGACAAGGCTCCAATGTCTGTATTGGAGCTTGTTGACTCTGATTTTGAAATTAAGTATTGGTACACAGCTAAGATTGTAGCAAGATTAGAACTTCAAGGCTTGGAACTAGACGACTTGACAAAGCATAATGTGAAAAAGCTAACTAGTTTTCGACCAGATAGTGAGTCAAAGTTCAGAGAAGCAGTCGAAACTGCGAAAGTAGAATTCTTCAAGTATGATACAGAGAAAGGAGAAGTGACAGACTCTGACATGAAAACAAACTTGAAGAACCTTCCAGACAACTTAGACTACTTTGGGGGCTCCTTATCAAACAAACTACTCCAGTCCAAGAAATTCAAAACAACTTCACGTCCAAAGGGACCAGAGGTGGAATTACCTAAGTCACCTTTCCTTTCTAAATAGATCTGTAAATAGTTAAATAATGAACATTTGAACGGAAAATACTTATTCAAATTGGCATGAAAGATACGGCTTTAGCTAATCTCTAGCTAATCTCTAGCTCATATCTACAAATCAGAGGCTTTCGTCACTGCTTCACTTCATCTATATAGAATGTGAACTTCGCGATTTATCGTCTCTTCTCTTCACTATCATAATATTTATTCTATCCTTTACTCCATCGATAGGAATGTGGTTCTCCAAGTCTCATTTTCAATCTGAACGTAAAACAGCATTAATCATCGGAGCTTCTCAGGGTGTCGGAGCTTCCTTAGCGCTCAAATTATACAAAGAAAAATGTAACGTTATTTTAGTCGCCAGGACGGAATCTAAGTTAATACCACAAGTAGAGAAAATTAAAAGAGAAGTGGGAGAGGGACCACAGAATGCTACTTACATAACTTGCGATGTTTCTGATTACACTCAATGCTGCAATATGTGGAACGAACTTATAAATGTTAGGGAAAAGGATCCAGATTTTATATTTTGTTGTGCTGGGTCTGCAACCCCAAAGTTATTTAATGATCTTACGGAAGATGAATTGTCGAGTGGCATCAGTACAAACTATAATACTGCAGTTTATGTTGTACATACTGGCTTTAAGAAAATTTTGGAGAAATATTCTCTGGTAAAGGCGAGTCATTTCAAGAAGAGACATATAATATTCTTTTCTTCAGTCGTCAGCTTTTTTCCTTTCATAGGATATGGCCAATATGCTCCTATGAAAGCTGCCATAGAGTCTTTATCCATAATATTACGCCAAGAATTGGGACCATACAACTACAGAGTCTCTTGTGTTTTCCCAGGAAACTTCCAAAGCGAGGGATATGAAGAGGAACAAAGGACAAAGCCAGAAATCACGAAGAAAATAGAGGGATCGAGTCACCCAATTTCGGCCGATGATTGTGCTTGTCTTATAATAGACAAACTAAGCAAGGGATATGATACTATTACTACAGATTTTATTGGTTGGTTTTTGGGATGTTCAGTTTTGGGTGTTTTGCCTAGAGAATGGTCATTCTTTCAAGTTTTCGTAGGACTTCTATTTCTGATCATTTATCCCATTGTGAACTATTCAATCTCTCATGACATTAGCAGTTACTTTAAATCAAGAGACAAAGAAGAAGAGGAATTCGAACTCATCGATAAAAAAGATAGCTAGATGTGTATGCGTTTGATTCTCAGTTTGATATATATAATAGAAAAACCTATTTCTTTTCGCTAATGGAATGGGCTACTTTATCAACCCATTCGTGTACTTTTTCATCAGTGTACATTCCCCATTGGTACCAGTTAATAGAATACAACCAATTGACCATACCGATTACTTCAGCATTCCAAATATCTTTACTTGTTTCCAACACGCTGACTCGACTAGTAACATTTATAGATTTATCCAATGGCTCATTCTCTTTCAAAATATCCTTATCCGATAAAATTCTATTCTTTATGATACGATTGGACGCTCTCAATTGGCCAGAGACAAATCTTTGATTCTTTGTTATATATTCTCCTGTCTGGTATGTTAATGCTGAGGCTAAGAGTATACCACCAAGCAAGCCGTAGATACCTCCTCCCATATTTTCTTTTCAAATAAACAATCTATGTATATTGTAATAGTACCGGTGTATATATGATATTCGAGATTTAAAAATTGAAATATCGGGAGATTCAAAAATGTCGTGCTAGTCTTTATTAGATACATACTTTAATGATATATACAAGGAGCGAAGGGAAGACGAAATTCTATGACAGACCTTCTTCTGAATGATGATATTCATCTATCACAGTCTTAAGTGCTTCCTTCAAAAATGGAAATACGTCTATTTTATCGAGTTTGATAGAGTTTCCGGTTTCTCTCAAAGATTTAACCTCTTCAATAGCCACATCCACATCACGAACTAAAAATGGAAGTTCCTCCATAATTCCATTTAACGGCAATGTGAGATCCAGATCCGGATGCTTGGAAATATATCTCTTTATCTTTGTATTTGCAATATATGAAATTCCTTCCACAAATTTTTCGTTAATGTCCTCATCCAAATCATAATCCATAAGTTGAGGTTGAATTCCGAACATAGCATACTGCAATCTTATAAGCTTTTCATTCATCAGTTCAATTTCGCTAGCATCAGCATTTACATACCTGGCTTCAAAATCGCGTAGATATTCTTTCTGTTCCTGGTTGAAAAGTTGTACTCTTTCGTAAGCAACTTGTCTTTCAAGAAGAACTTGTTTGATTCTCTTTTGGCTCATTTTCAATTTATCATCTATTTCACTATGTGCTTGAGTATAGGCATAGCTCATTGATTCGGCCAATCGGACCTCTCTAGCCAAAATGTTTCTCTCCTTCAATATGATGTACCACAACTTGTGTAAGTCATCAAATGACTTCCGACGCAACTCAGGAAAAGTCCATGCCCTAGAACCTGTATCTAATTCGCCGAGTTCTCTGAAACTGCTCTCAGATTTATTTCCATCAGGAAAAAAGGCCCATAATGGATGATCTGGTGATAAATCAAAGTTTTTATGAGTAGGAACAATTGGTTCCCTTAACTTTATCGCTTTTAAATCCGAAAATACCAAGGGCTTGCTTCTAGCAAGACACACCGTACTATTCAGGAAGTATCTAAATGTCAATTTGTTCATGACGATGTCGCCAAGGGCTAATATTATCAAATACTTCCTTTCAAAGGTTTTCAACTATTAATCACAAAGTATGGACTTGAAAAATTTTTGGAGTACGACATCCTTTAAAGTCGCGAAGTAAAGCGACATTTACGTTCATTAGCCAATATCCATAATAATACTCGATACATCTTAAACATAACCGAAAGAATTTTAAAACTCTTGTCCATCACGTATTGCAATGTCTATCTCTGAACAAGAAGTGAAACAGCAGGAGCCCTTAGATTTGGTGCGGTTTCAATTGGACGAGACTGTGTTAGTAAAGTTGAGAGGTGCTCGTGAGATGAAAGGAAAATTGCAAGGATACGATTCACACTGTAATATGGTTTTAAGTGATGCCGAAGAAATGATATATACAGATGGTGATGTATCACCGGTGATAAATAAAACTGGAATGGTATTTGTTAGAGGGGACTCTGTTATTTTAATCAGTCCTATCGTCGAGTAAAATGAGTAGAGATCCCAAGTTCAAAAATGAGTATTATAGAAGTAGCTCAGAAGAAACAAATAACAAAAGAGATTCTTATTGTACAGTATGTATTGTCTATAATTAAGCAAGTTCCAGAAATGAATAAGTTTGAGGTATAATAGTTGGCTGACAACTTAAATCCATCATATATTATTTTTTTAACAATGTAGGTACCATGCACTGTTTTAGTCTTTCATTTCTTGGTCTATGGTCCCTTCATCTCCCGCTTGAATGTCTTCCAATGTCTGGGATATAGCAGCCAATTTTCGTGAATTTTCGCTCCATCTCTCCTTTGCAACTGAACCCTGATTGATTAGGTCTTTTATATTGCTCGTGAGGTCTTCGATCATGTTGTCAAACTCTGCTATGTTAGGACCAGAATCCGTACCATGCAAAATAGACTTGGATACGTCGTACAAATATCTGTCGTCATCCAATTCTGTGAGTGTTCTTCCATTCTGCATTTGATTACGTACATAACGGAGGACGTCTATACTTGTCAAATCGACGTCTGTGAATAAACTGTCTATCTGCTCTTTAGAAAAAACTAGGTTATTTGTATCAATTTGTTTCGATTTCTCTCTTGCTCCGGTGTTTGAATTCAAGAATTTCTGAATTGAAGTCTTATTGAATCTTTTCGCTCGCTTGCTTGATAAGTGAACATCAAAGCTTTTAGCAAGCGCTGACATGTCATTTAACGTTGGTTTTTGGACTTCCTTTATTCTGTTAATGTCCTTCTCTAAAGTTTCTTTTCTTAACTTCAATTCATCAAACTTCTCTTGCAATTGTTCATAATATGGTGGTGAAAATTTTTCTCTGACATCCAATGACTTTGACCAAGATGACATATGCAACTTGAATATTTCTTCTTGCTTATCAAGCTCATACTCAAGTTTTAAAGCTTTGATTTGATTTTCAGATGGTATAGGTTCCTTCGCCACAAGCTGTTTTTCTATCTTCAAGTTCAATTCGAACACCTCTGTTCTTAAATTCAAGTACTGAAGTGATATTTTGTCATAAGCGGTGATATAGGAAGCGATTGCCAGATCAATCAAAGCCTGTTGTTTGTTAGTTATTAGTGACATATTTTCATCAATACATTTACCTGAACTATATTTCTTGAATCAAATTGAATTATGAGTTCGCACTAAATACATAAATATATATCATGAGAATTACTTTTGATTAGCACCAATCGCCCAACCCAATCCAGAGACAAATAGATTAGAGAGCTTTTCATTAGCTTGGTTTGTCGTTGTAGTCACATCATCAATGATACTACTAGCAGATGCTCCAAACTTCTCGGAAACATCCGACATCAGATACGATTCCTTCGAGCTAGACCCTAGATGATTTGATTGCAACTGAGTATACCAAAGTTCGATTTGATTGTTAATGTGGTTCCATTGCTTAATTATGAGCTTGCTATTGTCTATGGTAGTCTCTGAAGGAATTGGCAACCTTAAAGTCATTGATAAAATCTCTCTTTGTTTAATCAACGTTTCAATTCTATCGTTAGTGATATCTGCATCATCCATCCAATTCGGAGAAACAAATTTTCCAACCTGGTAGAATGTCAACCAAAGAGAAATTAACATATTGTGGTCGTCATTCGAATAATATTCGAACAATTCGATTGATTTTTTGTATGCAAATTCAAAATTGTTGTCAACGAGAGCAGATTCAATGCAGGCTGCCAAAAGTTTACCAAAGTAAGCCGAGCTTAAAGCTTCAATGGATTCGCTGGTACTGCTGTAAATCGTCAAGTCACTCAATATTTTGTAGAGTTTTTCATATGCCAAGTACGATTTGGGGTTCTGTTCTAGAATCAAAGTGATTAATGTTAGCGGTGACTGCACTATTCCGTCACCAGAAGCATCAACTATGCTTCCAAATTTGGCAGTGATTTGAGAAGGTGAATAAGTATTCTTTCTATCATAAAAGATTCTAAAATTCTTCATATTTGATAAGGCCTTTAAAAGATGTTTGATTCTAATTATATCCTCTTTTTGCAAACCATCTACCTTACCCTTCGAAGAAATTTTGTCGAGTAAGTCCATACTTTGTGTTGCCTCTAGTAACTTTCCGCTTTTGTCATTGAGGCTGGTTGCATGATTGAAAGAATCCCAAAATTTCTTCAAAATGAGATTTAGTATAACATTTTGATGTATAGGAACCTCCTGCTTTGAGTAAAAATCATCAACTACCTCGAAAAGATTTGCGTACAAGAATCTTTCGTATATAATTCGGTTTACTTCCTCGCCAATATCGTCGTTTGCCAGTACAAACGCCCCTAAAAATAATTTTACCGAAGAGAAAAGCTGTTGCCAGTTTGAGCTTGTTATATTACTTAATATTCTCAACACTTCTTTTTCTTTTGACATATTAGCAGTTGATCCCAAAGAGTGTAACCTTAAGGACTCTGATAATGTAAGTTTGTTGATGGGGAAAAGTTTCTCGCAAGTTTGGACCAATGCTTTTAAAGAAGCTATAGAGGACTCTGTTGGTTCTATTAATGATTGCAAAGGATTCGAAGGTGAATCAATAAACTCTGCAAATGTGTGGATATTCGTTAAATCGTTAAGCTGTACTTGAGGCAATGCTGTGCTACTCACCCCTTCCACATTGAATATAGAGAGAGTTTCGTTGATCAAATCATAAATTTTTGTTATTTCAAGAGACGATACCTTGTCAGCTGTCTCATGAAATATGGCAAAAAAATAGCACGCCGCTAAATAGCGTTTAATCATGGGCCTGTATTGCTTGATGTCTACCAGATTACCATCAACTAAAGAAGACATTGCATCGCGCCAAAGTTCATATTTTTCAGAAGGTGCTGAGAAGGAAAGTAATCGTTCCTCAGAGAAAAGATATTGTATCAAAGGATCAAAATCATCATTATGATAATGTATCAAAGGTAGTAATACATTTTGCATCCAGTTTTTAGTAGACAATTTCTCACTATAACTTCTTTTATTCCAAGGATTCAGCATTACAAGAAATCTGTCCTCGAACGAATCTAAACTTAAAAAGTAGTTCAAATCTGCAACTAGGTCATCTTGCAATGAGCCATAATTATCCCAATAGTACTTAAAAGGGATAAAAATTCCTCTTATCCATTCAATAAGCTGTTTCCCGCCTAAATCAAAACTCAAAAGAGGCAAGATTTGTCCAAGATCATCAATATACGTAGATAACTGCCAAACCTTTGATGTAATAAACTTGAATGCCATGTCATCCAACGAATCTGTATTTTCTAAGATAAACTGAAACCTCTTATTTTGCTCATCACAGTCTTTTATAACTTCATTGGCTGTTTCGATAATATTGTTCTGCTTGCTTTCCGATAGTCTCGCAATTTCTTCAATATCCATAGAATCTTCAGGACTTTCTGCTTCCGTCTCGAGTATTTCTGTTGCAAACTTCTTTACCAATTGAATTGAGAGTGTCAATGGGCTACCGAAGTTCAATAGTAAACTTAAAACATTGCCTCTATTTGTATACCTCAATCTATCATCACTTAAAATCACCTGCCTTACTTCTTCTATTAATTGTAAATGATTGCGGGTTTCCACGAAAGTGAGTGACTCAACAACACGAAGGTATATTGCGGCATCTGCTAACTCTCTTATATTGTTTTCTGACATCGGGTTACTCAAATTATATTATATAATCTTTCTCTGATATCAGGTAAAGAAGTTTTAATTATTTTGTCGCGTCTACAGTCAAAAACTAAAGGAACAGTATCTATCATATTAGTCATTTTAATCATTTATACGTTGGAATAGTTAAGAATTATATAAAGAAAGGGGGAGACTGAGTGAATAGAGCTCTACACTATTTAGTTATTTATTTAAAGGTGTTAATTGTATGATTCGAAAGGATTTTTATTCGTTCATCCGCAGACATAGGATTTTTAGCCTTCACTCAAAACTCATCACCTACCGTGCCCCAATACGAAACAATCATTCAGCAATGTCACAAAGAGTCAATGAAAAAATAGAGAGAGACCCACAGAATTTAATCGCTCTTGAATCTATTGATTTCAGATCATCATTTGATTCACTGTCTATTGAACCAGCTATCGACAACCAAAATCATGCTGAAGTGAATCTAGAAGATATAAGTTTTGAATCGTTTAATTCTGATACGAACAGCAGCCCTCCTCAGATGAGTATCTCATCAGCGAATAGAATACAGCATATGAGTGGAGATGTACTTAGTCTGAGTCAAGCTTTGAATAAAAGAGCTGCTGTATCTCCTTTAAAGAGTCAATCCTCCCGAAGGACTAAAAAAGTCAGAGATATGGCGGAGGATATGGTAAGCAATGATCAAGAGAAAGAAAATATAGCTCCGCCTACTCTGACACCCAATTTAATATCCCATTCACCAATCTTTTCTAAAATGCATAGTACACTTAGTTCTGGAAATAATCAAATTACACAGCAACGAAAATTGTCGAAAACAACCACAAGATCAAAGAAGAAGGACTCTTATCACTCTATTCAGCTTTCAACTCAGAAGCCTCTCCAGTTAGAGAATGGGCAGACCAGTCTAGGACAAATTAAAAGCGTGAAGCCCATCATATTATCGAAAGAACAAGAAAATATTTTGCAACTAGTTTTAAAGGGTGTATCGCTTTTCTATACGGGGTCTGCGGGCACTGGGAAATCTATATTGTTGAGAACTATCATTAAAACACTTAGAGATAGAAATAAACCTGGGCAAATTGCTGTAACTGCATCTACAGGATTGGCAGCTTGTAACATAGGAGGTACTACTCTTCACGGCTTTGCGGGGGTCGGTCTAGGGGTAGGAAGTGCCTCCATGCTTTTAAAAAGAGTAAAAAGAAACAAAAAAGCTCTTCAGAGGTGGAACGAGGTCAAGGTACTAATAATAGACGAAGTTTCAATGATAGATGGTTTATTCCTCGATAAAATTAACGAGCTTTGTAAAAGCATAAGAAAAAACAATAAACCTTTTGGGGGAATCCAATTAGTTGTATGTGGTGATTTTTACCAATTACCACCTGTTGTGAGGAAAACAGCGCCTGACGGCACTGAGCTATTGAATCCTGAAGAACCTACCTTTTCGTTCGAAAGTTCAGCCTGGAAAGAAGCGATAAAGTGTACCATAGTCCTTAAAGAAGTTTTTAGACAAAAAGGAGATCAAAAGTTCATCGATATGTTGAACGAAATGAGGGATGGAAACGTGTCTGATCAGACTTCTCTTGAATTCAGGAAATTGTCAAGAGAATTGGATTGCTCTGAAGGTATAGTTCCTGCTGAACTCTTTGCAACCAGAAAAGAAGTAGATAGATCAAATAACACCAAACTTAGTAAAATTGAGGGTGATGCACAAGTTTATAAAGCAGTGGATGCTGGTACTTTAGAAAATCCTCAGAGACAAAACTTGCTTAATAATTTTTTGGCACCACAAAATTTATACTTGAAGAAACATGCACAAGTGATGTGTATTAAAAATTTCGATGATAATTTAGTCAATGGATCTTTGGGTCAAGTAATTGACTTCATGGATAGAAATACATATATGAAGGCATACCTGAAACAAGAAGTTGACAACAGTGGCAGCTCTGAGAAAGTGAATGAAGATGGTAAAGAATCTGATTTTATTTTTGACTTCAAGGATAGGAAAGAAGCCACTGACGAAGAGAAACTGAACAATAAAAGAAAAAAAGCATTAGTACGTGATCTAGAGAGTGATTCCAGTGGAAAGCTATATCCCTTGGTTAAATTTTTACTTCCTGATGGAATTAATACTAGAACTATTTTGGTTGAACCAGAGCAATGGACAGTTGAAGACGAGCATCAAAAAATTCTTTTGTCTCGAGTACAGCTACCTATTATTTTAGCATGGTCTCTTTCGATTCACAAATCACAGGGGCAGACTCTACCAAAAGTGAAGGTTGACTTGAGAAATGTATTTGAAAATGGTCAATCCTATGTGGCTCTTTCCAGAGCAGTTTCTAGAAGTGGGTTGCAGGTTTTGAACTTTGACAAGTATAAGGTGAGGGCTCATGCTAAGGTAATTAAGTTTTACAGGAGTTTATCTTCAGCGAGTGATAACGGTAGTCATTATAAAGGTCAGCTTAACATTGACTCATTATACGAAAAAGGACATCAAGACTCTGCGTGACTTCATAATCTTATGTAAGTGGATTTTTAATATATTGGAAAGCTGCATCAGCTATGGATCACTATTTACAATTTTTCGTGAAATATTTCACACTGTTACTATAGACATTGTAGTGTTTTCTCATTTTAAATAGAGTTTCTTCTATAAAGTCGTTTCTCCGAGTCGCCAATTTTGACTTTTGACTTATCTACCAAACCAGCAATGGGTGGTAGTTTACCATATGTCTTGAATTCCGTTAAAATAGTATCTGCATAAGCAAAACCAACATGGAATATCTCTTCAAATTTAGCAAAATCAAGTGTTGCATAGTCATCAATTGGAGGCCTCATGTATATCACTCCAGGCGTCTTTTTTGCTAGCTCCAATGCATTAACACTAGCAACATACGCTAAGCGCATCTGAATATCCATCATATTAGGAACATTCGGGTGTTTAGAAAAAGGATTCCATCTATTTAAGAGAACCCAAAAGCCAGAAAGCGTATCACCGTAATCCATAGGGGTTCGATCATCGACTGAACCAACATCCACTGCTATGATATACTTCGCACCTTTTTTTTTCATCTCCATCACCGGTAAATTGTCCAAATACCCACCATCTAAGAGCATACTTCCATTGAATGCTATCGGTGGAAGAAGCCCAGCTAACGACATTGAAGCTCTGATGAACCTCCACAGGTAACCAGTCTCATGAATTTCCATCGTCGAGTTTGTAATATTTGTAGAATTACAAAAATACTTGATCCAAAAATCTTCAATTTCACTAAACCCGAATACTTTCCAAATTCCTCTATTAAATTCATACCCTGTTAGGTATGATGTCACTGGATAAGTTAAATCAAACACCAACCTCCACCAAGAAGAAATTCTATGGGAGAACTTTTTCACCTTACCATATATCGATACAAGGTTATATTCTTTGGCGTACAAGCCACCAACGAATGATCCAATCGACGTTCCACCTATAATGTCGATTGGAATGCCATGTTTCTCCAAAGCCATTACAACTCCCACATGAGATATACCACGAGACCCACCGCCACCAAGAACAAGGCCCACTGCTTCATTAGATAGAATCCTCGCAAGTCTTAAAAAGTCATTCTTGTGAAGTTGGCCCGCTTTGAAATGTTGTTCCCTTCTATGTAGCCTCAGGTTAAGTTTGTTGAGTGAATCCACAGCCTTTGACTTGACATTTTCAAGCTTCATTTTAATATTCGGATTCGTCTTGTTGCTGATTTTCGCAGCAATATCACTTATTATGCTAGCAACCTTTTTATGCTCTTCATGTTTGCTCTTTTTAATTTCCATCTGAATATGATGATGCCAATGTACCCAAAGTCTATTTCTAAGCCATATCCTTGTCGACTTAGGTTGCACGTATTTGTCAGAATGTATTAAGCAAAGATCAGCTCTTGCGGTAGTCTTTAGTTTTAGGAGCAATCTTTCGTAATCCCCTACGTTTGCAGCAGTCTCTTCATCATCGGCATCCGCAAGAAGTAATATACAATCACCCTGTGATATGCATGTTGCGGTCCAGTTAGATTTAATAGGTGTGTCACAAACGTACACAATAGTTTCATATTCTTCTTCTAAGTAAGCAAAATAGCCCGACAATTTCAAATGAGCGAGACGATCATCAAAGGCATGGCGTCCCAAATGTATCAACGTTGAAGCTTGGTCAAGTGCTATTACTTTACGTCCAATTTCCTTCATTGCAGACATTAATCTGTCTGCGAATGCTCTGACAGGTAAACCATCAACGGTAGGTAGAATGGTGATAGTTTTGAAATCTGTCGATGTTTCTGATTGACTAGTAGTTGGTTGACTCGATGCCATCCTAGAACGTTCATCATAAGAATTTTCCTTCGACAAAACTTTGCTTGCCACAATTCTCGAAACTTTAACCATGATAGACGAATTATGCAAAGATAAAAGCTCAAAAAGTGTCCTAGGGATTCTTGCAGTTTCCGAATCCCTTACTGCGACCAATGAATTAGTCCTTCTAGAAGCAGTTAATACCTCAAGTTCACCGATAGACTCTCCATGCCCATATTCTCCAAGTACCTCGTAATTATCTTTGGCTTTGCCATGAAGATGTTTTTTATTAGAGGACTCATCAATTAAATTATTATTGTAGTCATGAAAATGAGCCCCATCCTCTGTATCATCTGGTTTATTGTACCTTATAACTCTGAATCTTCCACTTAGCACAATATGAAAACCGTTCGCAAGGTCACCTTGGGAACATAGAACCTGCCCAGCAGGAATGTGACACCATTCTAATGCATAGTCAATAGTTAAAATCTGCTTCGAGAGTAAAGATTTCAACTTGGAAGCTACCGGAAGTTGCAAGAAGTAAAATTTATCCATCAATTTTGAATAATTTGACTTCGAGATGTGTGCAGCGATCACTCCCTTTTCTTGGCTAGTTCTTATCAGCACAAGTGATCTAAACCCTACGATTGATGTCAAGTATCCTGCTAACCCTCCTGATTTTACTGTATAGAGTTTTTTGGATTTGGAATCATCATTAACTAGACGATACAGAACGTCCAAAGATCCATCAATTACATAATATAAGCCGGAATTAAAAGAATTTTGCTCCACCAAAGTCGTATTTGGTGGTATGTACTTGATATCCAACGCTTTGGAGAATTCACTTTTAATATTTCTATAAATATCCTCCAGACTAAGCATTCCAGGACCATTTGAACGAATTCTATCCTGATTTAGTATTCTTTGTATTTGATCAGCATTTGAGCCTCGAGAATTTATAGTGCTTAATTGTGACAGGTTAAGGGTCTTGTAGAACTTAGGATTGTTCGAGGCACTTCCTTTTCCAAGAGAAGAGGCAAGACTATTAATAGAATCCGACCTTAGAAATGATGCAGTTGGATCATAATGTCCATAACCCAACTTACCACCGGACAGTAGGCTTGATAAGCCCACCATAGAAGAACTTGGGGAAGAATGATCAGATGTTGCTTTTCTGAAATCATCAAGAATGTCAAAAATGTCATAGATGCCTAAAAGCTTAAACACATTTTCAACGATTGCAATTCTCAATGATGTTTCTTCTGTTTCTTCTCTTTCATCTGAGAATGTTCTATCTTTTATGCTCTTCAATCTATCACTGGGTGAATCATTTCTTTTCGTGTCAGTTGGAGTTGTCAATTTAATATTAGTGAAGGATCTTGTTCTTGGACGTGAAGCAGGCGAACTTTCCAGATCAGCAGTAGGTGATTGGTAAATTTCAGGCCTTCTCGACAATGGCACAGATGACAAAAGATCTCCAGGGTGTGTAGATTTTGATCTCGAGTCCAAAGCAACATACCTTGACTTTCCCTTATCTAATATACCAATACTACTACTCGTTTTCTTTAACTCCGGAATTTGGTAACTTCCCAGGCGTTTCATGACACTAGTACCTTGATTCCCGTAAAAACGCTTCATGACACCTTCATATAAATAGCTGGGCAACGTATTTTCATTTTCATCGATATCGTTTAATCTGATTTCACTTTCGATGATCTCGCGAGTCAATCCCAAGTAATTGTGAATAGTGCTCATAGTTACCTTATATAATCGGGTTAAAACAATGGTCACAATATGTGATGTAGCTTTTGGATGCATCGCTTGAACCGCTTGAAAAGCCAGCGCTGGTATAATTGCAATAGTTGCTCCATCATTTCCATCACCAGATTTGGGACGTGCCACAATATCGGGCAAACTATCTAGGGCCAGCTTGAACATTATCAGTGGATCCAGACGCAAATTATCGAATGGAGACACACCAGTTGTGTCCGGGCTTAGATAACTTCTCGAAGGACTCGCGGGGCCTGAAAAGCTGTAATTTGAATTTAATGCAGAATTCGATCTCCAAAACTTGGGCTTAAAGAGATCTAATGTGTTAATCAAGTTTCCTAATGGTGACCCACTGATAACCTCATTTAATAAATGATATCTCTCATCACCGATCACTAAAATACCGTCTTTCTCGTAATCATCGTCACCACCATTAAGATATTGAGGCTTCGTACCCTCTTCCAATTTTGTAAAGATTTGGAGTGTACCATCTACTACCATCAGAAAGCCCAAGTTTTCATCAAGACATATAATTTCATCTTTTGATATCTTTTGAGTGGTCATATTCTTCGTTAATTCATGAAAAACTGGTCTTTCCAAATATCCAAAAACTTTAATAGCACTTAAAAACTCTTTCAAATAATTTGAAGATTTCGACTTCGGATTCTTTCTTTTCGTAACGGATCCCACCAAGTCCAAGTTTTTCTTGGGCTTCTCGCCTTCAGGAGTTGTATTCTTTGAAAATCCAGTCAAATACTTGTACCTTAAAAGAACGTAGCAAAACATCATTAGAACTAGAAAAATTCCCATAAGGGAAGCCATAGATAACTTTATATCAAAGTTTATGGAAAATAAGTTCAAAACTATAGTCGGAAGACAAAGTATAAACCAATCTAAAAGCTTGAATCCGATCCACAGTGCAAACCATAATATGGCGCTAGCGAATGATATATTCGATATTGACTCTCTCGCCGACGGTAACATCGACTCTGAGAAAGTTGTCGAATTTCTCACTGCCATTGCTTCAACTAAATATCGAACTCTTCGATATTGATTTGTTTTGAGATCTTTGAATTCTATTAGTGATATATATATATTTTGCGATTTGATTTTCATATGATATAATACTAACGTTTTTATGGTTTATACAGGCTCTATAGAAGAGTAATTTTAAACGGCTTATATATCGTATGGAAGACAGTTGAACCTTTTCAATATTCGCTCGATACCGTCCATCCCTTTGACAAGCTGTTGGATTTCGGGCCCATAGCTTATCCTTACGTAGTGATAGTTTATGACATCTTCCAATCTTGATAAATTCTGAGGATTGATCAAGAAGAAAAAGCCAGGAACTACGATCACCTTCTCATGCAAGCACTCATGAAAAAAACCTAAGCAGTTTGCAAGCTTTCCAGGTAAATGAGAAAGATTCAACCACAAATAAAAGGTCGAATTTGGAATATTGCTATCATCAAACTTGAACCCCATCTTCAGCAACCTCTTAATTATATAGTCTCTTTTCATCTTGAAATGAACTTGTAAGGCTCTCATTTCTTCTTTTACCTTTAATGGGCGCAAAAAATCCACTGCTGCATACTGGAAGGGTGCATTCGAGCCACCATCAATGTAAGACCCTGCACTGCTTAAGGCGTTCACATAATCCTCAGGACCCAAAATCCAACACACACGCCATCCTGGCAATCTGAATGCCTTTGTTAACCCGTTCAAGATCAAAACGGGATCTCGATTCACATCTTCGATAAACTCGGCCGAGGATATTGAACTTCCAGAACAATTATCATCATAATAATAGTGGGAATAAAATTCATCCATTATCAATAAACATTTATCACGGCAGAGTGTATGCAAGGTTTTCAATTGCTCTCTAGTCATACATTTCCCAGTCGGATTTCTTGGATTGGAGGTCAAAAGTGCACTTACACCTCTTTTCAACTCATTGGTAATCATTTCTAAATGAACAGAATAATTGTCAGCCTCATTCAACGGCACTGGAATAGGAGAAAAATTCTTAAAGAGCGACAACATTTCTGCATACGCAGTGTAATCAGGCAAGAAAAATGACAAGTAGCAGTCACTTATAATAGACGCAATTCTCGTTAAACCAGCCCTTCCCCCTGGGACTATACAAACATTCTTGTAAGTGTATTTGGATTCTTTATTTACTCTGTATGTTTCGTTATAGTAGTTTGCAACTGCTTCTCTTAATTCACGAATACCAGCCGTTGGGGCATATTCTTTAGAGTAATCTGGTACTGGAACCAGAGTTGGCCGTTTAAAAGAACCTGGAATGGTGTCGCCATGCTCTGGAGCACCCTGTCCCAAATTCGCCCAAGAATCCTGTCCGTTAAAACCATACTCACCAGCTCTCTCAGTTACCCAAAGGACACCAGTAGATGACTGTTTGGTATTCATTGCCGGCTTGTTGATGTCATCATCAAATCTGGGCTGCGGTACAGGAACTGGAGATGATTCTCTAGCATTCTCAAGCTTTGAGATCTTATTCACTGGGTGGTTTTTACCATTTCCATTATATGGGTTTGTCACAGATGGTGGTCTAGATGGCACTTTTCCGATATTCCAATTGGAACTGAATCTATTGTCCCTGGACAGTTGCAGACTCAAGCTTGTAGCCTGAAAAGTCTCCAATAAAGACGACGACGAGCGCTTTAAATGATCTGGTAATGTAGATTCCAACCTCTCGATCTCTATAGCCGATTCCTCATCAGAATCACGAATACTACTGGTCGACATCTTGCTTAAGGTCTATGAAGATAATTTTTCAAATTCTTCCGTACATCCATTTTATACGAATTGATATACTTGAACCCCAACTTGACATTATATGCACGACGTAACGAGAGCATCGCAAGTCCTATTAACAGGTGGGAATAGATAATCAAGGACGAACAGTAGCTAGCTTCACTGATCGAGGAAGTTGTGGGCTAAGTACATGTGATCTTAAACAAGCTCTCTGTAGATACCGGTTACGAATAGCGCTGTGGCACTTTCTCTCTTGTGGAAAGATTCTTCATTAGAGTAAGACTATCATTCTTCTTTTATGAGCCCCTCAATGAAGCCAAAGTAAGTTGTTCTAGGGCACCTACTTAGTTAGCTACCCAGTATAGATCCCTAGTGTAGTTAGATAACGAATGTGCACGCCTGGCACCGTTCTGCCGTTCTTCTCCGTAGTCGGAGTTTTAAGAACAATAACTATAAAAAAAAAAAATACTACATTGAAAGAGTGCTAATTCGCTATTTGAAGACTTAGTTTTAGGGCTTATATCCATGAATTGGTGTTAAATATCTTTTCGTCTTTCCCTCTTAATCTCTTATTTATTATTTTGCAACTTTCAGTCTTTAACTGTATATGATTAATTCTTTAGATGCAAACTTATTGTTCCCTCAGATTTCTCTTGAAGGGCTGCCGCTTGAGAATTCTTATGAGAACATAGAGTATGCTATGGGACAAATATATCTGAAGCAATCACAAACATGGGGACAGCACGGCACAAGGGAAAGGGAGAACACATCATCATCCTTCTTTTTATCGCCCATTACGTCGATAGATTCGACCTATCAGAACACCATTACTCCACTGATCGATGAGCAGTTAGAAATTAAAGAACATTTTTCACCACTTTTGTCATTACCAATTGAGATATTATACCAGATTATTGAGACTGTTTATTACGACGATAATACTAACTCCATCAACTCTAATTTGGACAGTTTCTCAAACACTTTGCCCTTGTTATCGAAAACTTTAAATCAGTTGTCATTACGTTTTTTATACAAGTATGCCATCTTCAATCGGCCACAGGCGTTTGACAAGTTCTTGAGAGTATTACTTGATTCGCATGGATTAGGAGATTATGTGGAGTTTATCGATTTCCAAACTTTTACGTCTATAGGTTTGGGGAGAACAGGGAGAATGAACCAGGAGATTCAAATGGTCACTTCAAAAACAATCAGGCAAACATTAGAACTCACCCCCAATTTAATCGAATTTTTAGCCAGTGAAAACATCCAGGATGATTTAGATTGCAGTGTTTTAGATGCTTTGTTTAACGGTCTACCCAAGATTCAAGCACTTGATTTCTGTGGAGCTAGCAGTGTTAGTTTCGCAGAAGCTTTCCAACAATTAGTCATATATGATCCACATGAAGAAATAGCTGAGGATGGGACCATAATTTACAAACACAGTTTAGACAACTTATTTAAAGTCTCGTTTCACGATTGTTCTAATTTAGCACCAGAAGTATTCATCAAGATGTTTCCTCATTTTGTTCGCTTGAGAAGGTTAGATTTGAATCATACTTCGGTGACCTCGTCTCTTTTGAACTCGTATATCCCGGTAACAGCAAGATTTACTCACTTGTCTCTTGCGAGATGCTCGAAGCTTACAACCAAAGATTTGATTCATTTTTTAGTCAACCACCCAGCCGTTTCGAATGATACGCTTGAATGGTTGAATCTCCAAATTGATCTAAATGTGGTAAGTCCTCTCAACGATGTATATTTGCTATATACCTTGAGACATATGAAGGCATCTAATCTAAAATACTTGAACATAGGTGGTATGCCTATTGACAACCGCATCCTTAAAGTCATAAAACAGAAATTCACTAAACTCGAAAGTCTTTCGATTGGGCATGCGTCAATAGATGTAAATGACATTAATGCGTTCTTGGAAAATAATTCAACTATCAAATTTATTGACATAAGCGGTATCAAAAGTTTTTCAAGATGGTCATTAAGTAACCTTCTCAAGGCAAATTTTGATTCATCTTTGGAAGCGGTCGAATTTGACTATAAAACTGTATGGGAGCTCACTGGTGGAGAATCCATTAAGGTTTTACCGCTTCAACAATCATTTACAGAACCGGTTGTTGAACCTCAAGTTTGGAAATTTTACGATAACGAAGGCAGGAGAGCGTGGCTTTATAAGTTGTCTCTGTTTGATCCAGAGTATAAGGCGATCGTTAATTCAGTTAGGGGTCTGAGGATAGTCAACACCAATTTGACTTACTATGATTTAGAAACTGGAAGGAAAATTCAAACTAAAGTTACTCAGCCCAAATTTCTCAAGTACGCTTCTAAAAAGATTAACTGCTCGATAGGTTACTTCAATTTAAACCAGTGCAAAAAGAAGCGATATTTAAAGAATGAACTCAAAGAGGATACCTGGCCGGTTGCATTTAGTCAGAGAGGAATCTACAATTACTATTCGTTGAATGTGAGATAGCTTACGATGTATATTTTTACAATGTATATAGGAAATTTTCATTATCTTTTGCATCTATACTAATACACAGGCTTTCTTCGGTTCTCAAATCTTAATACCGAGCTTATTCAAATTGCGGGGTGGTATATGGTTCCTTTTCAATATTCTTTGACAAACTACAATAGTTGGACTACAGCATAGAGTAATCAAAACCTATATCTATCCAGTAGAAAAATGCCATCGCCTGATGTGTCTGAAGTCAGAAATCCAATTGACTTGGAGAAGTTAGAGAAATTCTTCATGGATCCGAAGTCATATGAAAATGTCACCTTTGGTACTAGTTATAGAAAGTTCCAGGCACCATTTGCTATTAAGCAATTTACCTTTGGCCAGTCTAATCCAACTTACTACCTCACTGATGCAGCTGGGAAGTCTTTTGTGTTAAGAAGAAAGCCGCTGCCGAACAATAAGCTTGTATCAAGGTCTGCTCATGCCATCGAGAGGGAGTTTTTTGTTCTTAATTCTATTAGCATCTCAAACAAAGAGTCTGAAAGAACAGTACCTGTTCCGGATCTTTATCTTCTTTGTGAAAATGAGTCAGTTATCGGATATGTGTTTTATGTTATGGAGTTTATTGACGGAAGACAAATTAAGAACCCTAGTATGCCTGGATGCTCTGAAGCCGAGAAAAAAATGCTTTGGCAGTCTATCATAGAAACCATTGCGGCTATCCATGCAATAGATCCAAAAGTCTTATTAGATAATTTGCCACTTTTTCATTTTCCACAATTTGCACCAGAAAAAATTGAAAAATTGAGATCGTCTTCGTACTTTAAACGTCAAGTGAAGACGTTGAGCGGTGTAGAAACTCAACAATCCCGCGTTGTTCCAGCTATTCCTCATTTCAGTGACATATGTGAATGGCTTTTATCAACAGCTCCAAGAGATCCATCCAAATTAAGCTTGATTCATGGTGACTGTAAAATTGATAATTTCTTATTCCATCCTACAGAACCGAAAGTAATAGCAGTATTGGACTGGGAGTTGTGTACATTTGGGCACCCCTTGTTTGATTTGTCTAACTTTCTTCAGCCGTTCTGCTTGCCTAATAAGTTAAATCTTTTACTATTTAAACCGCAAAAGACTGACATGGGTAGAGAGAACAAAAATTCTAAAGAATTGGTGTATGATAAGTTACATCTCTACGAAGAAAAATTAGGATACCCATGGGATGCCGCTGATAAATTAAACAACCCCGTCGATTTGTGGTTGGTTGGGTGCGTTTTTGGTCTTTTGAGATTGTGTGTAATTAGTCAAGGTATTGCGATGAGAGTAAAGAAAGGTAATGCTAGTTCTGGGGAAGCTAGTGGATATGCTGCTTTATATCCTTATTTGTCTAGCATAGCTGTAGAATTTATTCAAGAGTTTAAGGATAATAAACCGTCCAGTAAATATTAAAACAGTCTTACTTAATCTCATGAAATTTATAAATTTCAATAAAATTTAACTATCAAAATCTTTGAAAAATTACTTGGAATAAATATTGCGCATGTAATCTACTTGAATTTATTATAGTATAATGACTTTGAAAGAGCTCTGGGCAGTGAGAGATGGCAACGAGTTTAAAGAAAATATAGGAGTAATAAGATGTCCTTTTCAGGGTTGTAATGCCAGAGTGATACTGCTTTCGAATACTTTAATTTCTCAACAGTTTACAGTTGATAACGGTCCAGAAATGGTTATATTGTCAAGGGATGACGATTCCAACTGCTTCTTTAAACTTGAAGATATGTGGGATTTCGATAACATTGGGGTTACACGATCATCCGAGGACTTGCCTGAACCTTTGATACAGAGAAACGATGAAATATTAGACTTCAAGGTTGACAGGTTGCTTGTTTGCAGTGAATGCGACAAGGGGCCGATAGGGTTCGCTGGATATCAGAATGGGGAGAGAGATGTCAAGAATTTAAAGGCATTCTTGTCTTGTAAAAGTGTTTTATATGACGTATGAGTGATAAATGTAAAAGACATGTACATCATTCTTTTAAAAATATTTAAGCTTATCATCCTATATAAGGTTTCATAAAGGAATATAGAGATAAAGAAAATAAAGCTTCTAAATTTTTGCCGATGGCTGCAAGTCTCTCACAATTCCCAATGCAATTAACCTTGCAAGCGCCATCGTTGTAATCATAGGATTCACCCCACTGGCCGTTGGCATCGCACTTGCATCTGCAACGTAAACATTTTTACAGTCATACAACCTGCCTCTGGTATCTATGGCACCGTGAGAAGGCCCCTTTCCTGACATACGACAGGAGCTCATTTGATGTGCCGATCCATAAGGACACGATTGTCCCCATGGATACACATTTTCGATGATTTTTCTCCACTGTTGATAGTCTTTATCATTGATAGAACGTTCATGCTTTGGCTTATTGGATTTGAATGAAGGTACGCCACTCTGAGGGTGAATAATTTCCTTAGCACCTTCGATATAAAGAATGTCGGACCCAATTACAATCGCTTTTAAAATAGCACGTCTGTCGAACTTGTTGACGTTGTAATCAATAATTAAACTATCCGGCCTTTTGGCATCGGCAGAAACTTTTCCACTAGAAGTATCCCTATCTATAATCAAAATGGCTGAAAGACTATTATATTTCAAAAGATCCCTCCTCAATTTATCACTTCCATTCCAGGGAAGAAACGCTGATTCAAGGAAAGGTGTATGCAAGATAGATTCAATCCTTGCACCATGTTCTTTTCCATCTAGATCTGCCACTTGACAAGAAACGGTTGTCAATATAGGACTATTAAACGGTTTTTGTCTTTGTTCTTTGCCAAAATCTCCAAATACGACACAAGCTGGGTGGAGCTTCAAGTTAGAACCAATATGCTTATTCTTGAATCCAGAATTTTGTAAAACAATTGGTGTGTTTAAAGAACCCCCACAAACAACAATCTTTTTGGGTCCAGTAATCGTAAATTTTACACCCGTAGTAATATCACGGCAAAGGACTCCAGTAGCTTTACCTTGCTTTTGAATTATCTTGACAACTTTGACTTGGTCCATAAATTCCGTACCCTTAGATGCAGCATCCCTGAACCAACAAGCAAGAGAGCCCTGCTTAATACCAAACTTGCATCCTAAATGACAAAGGCCACAGTCGTGATTGGGGTGGTTGCCAGTATTCTGTGCAACAGTCTTAACATGATAACCAAGCTTATGAGCACCATCTAAAATAACTTGGTTGGTGAAAGAGTGATTTATGTGCTCAGAAGAAGCACCCATTTGCTTCCACACATATTCCATACACTCCTCATATTGCTCACCAGCAGCCCACTCCACGCCAAACTCATCGTACCACTCCTTCCTTACTTTAAATGGAGTTTTCAAGCAGGCAGACCAATTAACTGTTGATCCTCCTCCCATAGTAGACCCTGCTAATACGAAAAGCTCTTGATCATCAGAGGGAAGAGTCCCGTTTTTCTCATAGAGAGCCTTGCTTCCCTCATTATCATCAAAAGCAAACTCTGAGTTAGCGAAATATTTACCTTTTTCTAACACCAAAGTGGTGTAACCAGACTCAGCCAATGTATGTGCGACTACCCCTGCCCCTGAGCCTGATCCCACAATTAAAACATCTATGTTTGGTAAATGTAGCGTGTGCCCCTCAGCCTTCGGTTTTTTCATGAACGTGTACCTGAAATCATCAATCTTTTGACCTTCATAAAGCTCCTGTCTCATTTCTCGAGCTGGAAAGCCGATAGCTTTATTATGCAAATCGCTAGCAGACCTGACAAAAATAGCCACAGTAAGAGAATATAGAGATTTGAATAGCCTTCTCTTTGCTAAAATTGGAGAATCTCTCCAAGACTTTAACAAAGCTTCTCTCCGTTCAATCGGCATATCTCGAATCAACGTCAAAGATCCTGTTAATGAGGGCGCTAAAATTCTTGAATCTAGTACTGACATCAATACCACAAATAGCTTACTGGCTTTAACTGGACCTCCATTCAAGCAATCTTTAATAGATTCTTTGAACCCAGGTATTTCTGAAGGCTTTGTGAAAGTTGAAACGTATTCTTCTAACTTATCTTTTGGAAAGTCGGGGTCCACAAGATCTTCGATGTTCCCTATGCTAGTATCGTGGACAATAGTATCAGCCAACAAGAGAAAAGTATCAACATGTTTATCATCAATTACCTCTGGAATCATTATGCGATATGGATCTCTACTCAATACAGAAGTTAAATCAGATATTTTGAAATCAATTCCATCGTTTGCAATCAATACATTTTATATATGGTTTTCCCCGCTTAACAGGATTTCCGAGAAATGGATTAATTCCTGTGATGAACATGTCACATGCATTGGGCTAAGTCTACAGCGGCACATCGGCAGATAAAGTTACCCATCTTCCGGAAGTGATATTATCAAGAAGCATCAGATATCCACCACTGAAGTCTTTAACGGAGTTCACAAATAAGCTTCTGTATTACAACATAACTTGAGAGGTATCTTCAAATTCTATTGGAATATCTAGTTCACCTCTAAGGCTCTTTTCATCAACTGGACATGCTGCTACTTTAGTAAAATAATAAATCATCTCTTCAATAGTCTCTGTAAAAAAGTCAATACCGTCCTTCAATTTCAAGTTATGTTTGTATATTTTTTCTAGCTTTTCAGGATCATTTTCATCAATTGCTTGCATCTGTGGTTCCAAGTCCTTTTTTCGTAACTGTAATCTTTTTAATTTACCTAGGAGCTTATCTCTATCTCCAAACTCGCTTTTCTTCTTTCTCAAAAGTTTGGCTGCCTGAATCTGTTCAATAAGTGATATTTTATCTTTTAGTCGAACCTCTATCTTCTTCTCTACGTTTTCTTGATCTTTGATTAGGTTTTTCACCCTATCGTACTTGAAACACCAATATAGATTAGTAGTACCACACTTCTCCATATTGACAAGCCCGTCGTCTATAAGCTCAGTTAATAAATCCTTAATGAGCATTGGTGATACTTTCGTATATTTTGCTGCGTCCTTCTCGAGCTCTTTCAAAGTATAAAAGTTATGGCTTGAGTTGAAAAAAGCTAACAATTTAGTTTTTTTTTCTTCCTGGGAAATTCCTCTCTTAGGTGGCTGTAATAATTAGTATATAGGTTTCAAGGGTACTCACTATTGATACTTACCATTGTTCTCTATATAGTTTTGCTGCAAAAAAAAACTATTTCGAGATCGCGAAAAACCATGTTTATATAGATATATTATGCTCAGGTATATATGTATGTATATGTTTTGTGAATGTATCTGAATGAATTCTAAGAATTTAAGTGTATTTACAGGATTATCTACTTGAAACTTCACCATTATCGGTATCCTTGACACCAGTGTCTAGAGCTAGCTTGGCCAGATCGTCTAATGCAGATGCATTGTTGTTGACTACCTCAACTGAGGGTGATCTTTCTATGGAATCATCGAAGTATCCAAGCTCATATTCTACCTCAAACTTCTCCATCGCGTGATCCCTAGCTCTCCAGGCAGGAACTTCAAAAAGATAATCAACAGCCTCTAATGGAACGCCTTTTGTCTCAGGATAAAGCAAAAAGACAACACCTGCAAATACAAGAATCACAGTTGCAAATATGAAATATAATTTGTAGCCAATCGCATCTAGAGCTTGTCCTGTCCATCTTCCCATAACAAAAGCCCAGAACCAGTTTGACGATGAGTTTATAGCCTGAGTTGCGGTTCTGATTTCCTGAGAAAAGATCTCTGAATTAATGACCCATGGGGTTCCATTCCACGAGCATCCGTAAGTAAATGACCATATGTACAACAAAGCTTGGGCAGCTTTCGCCCCTGCATCCTGCCTTGTATCGCCCTCAGCTAATCTTTTGCTAGGATTTGAAATCTTGATATATGCTCCAATATACCACATGCAAATTGAACAGGGGAATGCAAACCAAATCAATGCTTTGCGTCGACCCATATTTTCAACAATAAAAAACAACCAGAATAAAGAAGCTGCACCTTTTATGATACCGAAGATGCCAGTTGAGAGCAAACCCGCATTCGAACCACTAATTCCGAATGATTTAAATACAGTAGGTGAATAGTACGTTACAGCATTGATACCAAAACCGTTTTGCATTGGAAACAACGATGTCGATAAAAAAAGTCTGTAGACCAATTTCTTATTGCTGAATAATTTTCGTATAGGTGCCAAAAACCCTCTTCCTAACTTAGAAGTCTTGATTTCGTGATCCTTAAGTATATTATCAAGCTCATGTATCAAATAGGGATGGTTATCCGGTAAGTTCCTTAAATATGCTAAATTTTTCGAAGCTGCTTCAATTTTGCCTTTGTTTACGAAAAATCTGGGAGACTCAGGTATAAAAAAGGTACCAATAAAAAAAAGCCCTGACGGTATTAATTGAGTCGCGAAAGGTATTAACCATTGTTTCCGAGAGCTTGGGATGTTTTGCAACACTCCATAGTTTATCCAGTAGCCAATTATTCCTCCGACCTGCCAGCTTGCTTCAAATGTACCCGTCAACATTCCTCTCACAGCTGCTGGGCTTATCTCGGACACATAAATCGGAGAAATTCCAGAACATCCGCCTATACCAAGACCCGTGATAACCCTGCTTGCGTATATTGGTCCCAATCCAGTACTTTCTTTAGCAGCCAACGATATTCCTGCTCCAACTGTTAATAAAATTCCTGAAAGGATTAGGACAATTTTTCTTCCAAGAGTCTCTGCGACTGGATAAAATATAAGAGAACCAAAAAATGCACCTGCTTGGAATAGGGATACGACATTGGAGCTTACTTCTGCACTGGCAGCTTCAGTCATCTTGTCAAGCCCAAATTCGGATGAGAAAGATTCTAATGAAACTGTTCCACCTATAAATCCAGCATCGTACCCAATGATTACTGCTGCTGCTGATGCAGTTATTGCGATAACAGTGAGCTTTAAATTGTAAATCTCCTTTGGTGTAGGTATAGTCTCGTCATATTCGTCCTTTTCCGTTTCATGGTCAGACTTTTGATTACCAATCTGTTTTTCTTTCAATGACGATTTGGATGGCATGTCAATTTTCAACAGTCTCCGCAATCGATTCAACATTGACATAGCTTACTGGATCCAAAAGAGAAGAGTATAGCTTAACGTCTTAGTTAGTAAAAATTCAAGAAACAAGCTCAGCGCTTTGATTTTAGATTGTCGAACTGAAAAAATTTTCTACTTCTTTTTCTTTTTTATTCAAATCGCTAAATCCCTTGATTTCATATATTTGACTTGAGAATATATTCGACTCAATTTATAACTTTTTGTCAAGTGCTAGCTAGTAGATCACTGAAGTGACTTGCACAGTTGTATTCCCGTGAGTCATAGGGTACCAGCAACGAATAGTGGGGAAAATTTGTTCTCATCGAAGTTAAATTACATGCAGGATACATCTATTTTGACAGAGACTCAAGATCGCTTCATCTCAATAAAACTTGTTTTAGTTTCATTGGCCTTCCGTCTTACATAGATGGATTCTTTGTGTGGATATCTTTCAGACGAAGAATACGAAGAAGAAGAGTTAACCAAGGAAGCGAATCTTACTGAGAAACTGCAACCGAAAGATAGTGCGCAAAGTGAAGAACGTGAAATAACTGAAGTTCGAAGATCATCAGACATTCCTTACAAGAAACAACTAAGTGAAACTCGAGCAAATAGCTTTCTGGATCCTGATAGTTACACTTTAGAAAGGCTTAACATATATCTGCAGAACTATCTGAATCAAATGAGTATGTCTAGTTGTTTTTTGTATTTACCATGGTTTCCTTCCATGCAAACTTTAAAAAAGCTTGATTCAGCCGCTACGAAAGCGATTTCACAATTAAACAAAGCAAATATATCTAATCTTAAGCATTTCAATTGGGGAGGTATAAAAAATGGTGACATGAAACATCATATTAGCATATATCCAAATATTGTGGGTAAAAGTCATCAAATTGACCAGCTTACGGAGAACTTATCGCAAGGCATTTCGAATATGGCGATCAATAGTAGATTAACTAAGGTAACACAAGAAGAAGCTCGTAGAGTTCAAAGGCTTAATCAGTTGCTTCATAGAAATAACGCTGATGGAGTGCTAAAACCTAAAAAGTTCATTAATTTGGGTGTTACTTCGCACCTTCTGTTATTCAAGAGTAATACATCAAATAAGTTGTTTTTGGCTTTAACTTTGGACCAAAAGTCTACTTATTCCAAGAGATTTTTCTCTGACCTTACTTCTCTCGTGCAAGAGAATGTTGAACTACTTGACCTCACCCGATGCTCGTCGTTGGAGCCTAACTTCCACATTTCGATCAAAGTCGCAGAGTCCCCCTTCGTCAAATTGACTAATTCGGAGTTTCTGCAACTCGTGGATTCCCTCAAACACTTGACCTTGGACCTCAGAGATGTTAGAGTCACTGTCAATGAATTAATAGTATATCATTTGAACCATAAAAAGATGTTCACGTCAATTCCATTCAAGATATAGTATATATCAAACTATAGAGCACTACTAGACCAATATATCACCTAATTGCATACCATAAGTTATTTCTTACGTATAAGCTATTCTTTCTATTCTTGCTAGTGAAGTGCATAGAGAAGATTTTACATTTGTCAGGAACCCTTAGCACGAAGGTCGTACCCCAAGTGAAATCGCGCTAGTCCCACTTAAGCCGGTAATTTAGATACTCTTTCAAGTTATCTTTTTTTTCATTAAACACCTTGGCAACGCAATATGGCAATCAGAAAGCAACAAAAGGACTTTGAGAGGCAGCTCATTGACCTAGTTAATAGCAGAGTCAATGACAACAAGTGTGGCGAATGTGGATCGCCTTATCCGACATGGGCATCCTATAACCTTGGCATCTTTCTCTGTGGAAGATGTGCATCCATTCACAGAAGAATCTTGGGCCCTTCCAAGATTTCTAAAGTGAAGTCTTTAACGCTAGATCCCTGGAATGAGGAAGAGATAGAAAATTTGAGAAGGATCGGTAATAAGAGGGCTAGAAGAAAATGGAACGCTAAAAAGGTACCGTGCCCACAGGATGATGACGACGACGGACCTCTAGAGGATTATTTCAGAGAGAAATACATTTTAAGAAAATTCAGAAACGATGATGATCATGATGATAACTATAGCAGGTATTCTAATGACAGTGACGGACATGTTGCCTCTAGATCTAGATCTAACTCAAATAGAAGCGGGCCACGGCTGAGGCTGGCTTCAGTACTAAGCAAAACAGCTCCGAGACTATCCCACAGGAAGCTCACTACTTTTGAGAATACTCAGTACCAGCCTCAGTTAGCTAAAATTATGAATTTTGGATATTCAAATCGTGATGCAGTGTTGGAAAGCTTGCTTTTAAGTAATGGTAACATTGACTTTGCTCTTGATATCTTAGAACAAGACTCGAAGATAAATCCACAGGAGCAGGAAATTCCTCCTGATTTACCAAGACGTCCACCTCTCTCTCAAACGCAAAGCTCGAATTCTTCATTTCAACCCACTACTCAAGCTGATGATTGGTGGGCCAACGGAAGCGCTTCTACAAGCAGTCAACCTACTGGTCAAAGTGCGGCCCAACCACAAATTTACCAGTACACTGACCCGGTTACTGGTCAGATTTCCTACATTGATTCGAACGGTCAGCAGTATTTGGATCCAAATAACCCCCAACATCAACAACTTTTATATCAGCAAACGAACCCTCAATTGATAGCCCAACAGACAAACAAGCAAAATATACTATCATTATACAACCAACCCACTGGATTTAGCTCCCAACAGCCACAGCAGACCCCACAGCAGACGGGATTCCAGCAAATGGGATTTGCCCAGCAGCAGCAGCAGCAACAACAACAACAACAACAACAACAGCCAACAGCGTTCCAACCTCAGCAGACAGGAATTCTGACCCAGCAGACCGGTTTTCAACAACCATTTCAACAGAATCAATTTACGGGTTTTGGGCAGCCTCAATTCTCTCAGCCACTGTATCAACCGCAACAGAATTATCAACAGCGCTACGGTTAACCAATCATATAATTAACTCTATGTATAAGGTAGAATTATAAAAGTCACTCTCCCCTGCTATCGGATCTTGTAGTTCCCCAGTCTAAATCACTCGGACGGTTATGTGCAGGCGTCTTCCGTAGTCGCCGTGATGGAAGCTTACACGTCCGAAAACATCACCCTGTTCCCTCCAGGGCCACTTATTGGTCAGGATATCTGAATCCCCTAGTTCCGTCTTTCTCACTTGCTTATCCTTTACTTCCTCATTTAATCTTTTGTAATTAAATGACTTTCCGGACTTGGATCTGATGATATGACTACCATAAATCTTTCTTATTACAGCTATCTTTCTCTTTTCATCATGGTTGCCAGCCAGTCAAATTAAATCTATGCCTCAAGTGCTCATCACATTCCTAAGTCTGCTCTTAGCCAAGCTTACTTTCGCCTCGTTTCCTCTGCATTGATCCTTTCCTTAGTGGCCGGAAATTTCGCAGCAAAATTATCCTTAATGCGGGAAGGGTCTCGGTCATTCTAGATTATTCGAGATATTCAAAGAAGCCAAAATGGTATAAAATAGGAAATTGCATGGCCTTTGGGAGCACATATATTAACGCAGTAAACGGCTAGTTAGATTTTCATTCAAAGCAACATTTAATAATCCTAATTAAAAGATAATAGTCAAGATGGATGAAACACAATTCACGGACAATGCATTGAAGATTATATCCAATGCTACACAATTAGCAAAGGACAATGCACACTCTCAAATCTTACCATTGCACTTTTTGGCAGCGATGGTACCTACGGATGATGAGGAAAGTTCAATACCTTACTTGAAGACATTGATCGAGAAAGGAAGATTTGAATGGCCCGCTTTTGAAAGGATAGTGAATAAGCATTTGGTCAGGTTACCATCACAAACACCTGCCCCTGACGAGATCAGACCTAGTTATGCAGCCGGTCAAGTTTTGACAAGAGCAAACAAGATCAAGGCCCAGCAAAAGGATAATTATGTGGCACAAGATCATATCTTGTTGGCTTTGCTTGAAGATTCATCTATAAAGGATATCTTCAAGGAGGCTGGTATCAATGTTGATGCCATAAAGACTCAAGCCATTGAACTAAGAGGAAGCCAAAGAATTGACTCAAGGCAAGCGGACTCGTCATCTTCGTATGAATTCTTGAACAAGTATTGCGAGGATTTGACTGAGAAGGCGAGAGAGGGTAGAATTGATCCTGTTATCGGTAGGGAGGAAGAAATCAGAAGAGTCATTAGAGTCTTGGCCAGAAGAACAAAATCAAATTCGGTTTTAATTGGTGAAGCTGGTGTCGGTAAAACATCTATTGTTGAAGGAGTTGCCCAAAGAATTATCGATGGAGATGTTCCTAATGTTTTAGCTAACTCTAGATTATTTGCTTTGGATTTGGGTGCTTTAACAGCAGGTGCAAAATACAAGGGTGAATTTGAAGAAAGAATAAAAGGCGTCTTGAATGAAATTGAGAAATCACACGAGATGATAATTTTGTTTATCGATGAAATTCACATGTTAATGGGTGACGGTAAAAGTGATGCTGCCAATTTGTTGAAACCAATGCTTGCAAGAGGAACTTTGCATTGTATAGGGGCTACCACCTTTTCTGAATACCGTAAATTTATTGCAAAAGATGGTGCCTTTGAAAGGAGATTCCAGAAGATTGATGTTCCCGCAGCTACAGAGTCAGAAACTGTTGCAATCTTGAGAGGTTTGCAGCCGAGGTATGAGATTCATCATGGAGTCCGTATTTTAGACAGTGCCTTGGTTACGGCAGCTCATTTAGCCTCAAGATACCTTACCTATAGAAGCTTACCTGATTCGGCTGTTGATTTGATTGATGAGACCGCTGCCACTGTTGCTGTTGCAAGAGACTCTAAACCAGAAGAATTGGATAATTTAGAAAGGCTGTTGCATTTGGTTGAAGTTGAGATAAATGCATTGGAGAGAGATGTGGAGGCCGATGCTGATTCTAAAGGGCGTTTGGAGTTAGCAAAGAAAAAGCAGGCTGAATTAGAAGAACTGCTTGGTCCTTTGAGAGAAAGATTCAACCAAGAGAGGGCAGGCCATGACGAGTTAATTGCCGCAAAGCGTAAATTAGATGAATTAGAAATAAAGGCGCAGGATGCTGAGAGAAGACATGACACTGCTACAGCAGCAGATTTGAGATATTTTGCAATTCCAAATGTTGCTAAGCAGATTGAAGAATTGGAAGTAAAGGTCGCTGAAGAAGAAAGGCAAGCAGGACCAACGGCTATGCTTAGAAATGTTGTTAGCTCCGAACAAGTTGCCGAAACGGCTGCAAGGTTGACTGGTATTCCAGTGAATAAATTAACCCAAGCCGAAAATGCTAAATTGATCACTATGGAGAAGGAATTGTCTTCAGCAGTCGTTGGACAAAGTGAAGCTGTTAAAGCTGTTGCTAATGCCGTCAGATTGAATAGATCAGGTTTAGCCAATCCAAACCAACCAGCTTCATTCTTATTCTTAGGTTTGTCTGGTTCAGGAAAAACTGAATTGGCCAAAAAAGTTGCTGGATTCCTTTTCGCTGATGAAAGGGCTATGATCAGAATTGATTGTTCAGAACTTACCGATAAATGGTCTGCTTCAAAGTTGTTAGGTGCTGCTCCAGGTTATGTTGGTTACGAAGAGGGTGGTATATTGACTGAAGCTTTATTAAGACGTCCATATTCCGTCATTTTGTTCGACGAAGTCGAGAAAGCAGCACCAGAAGTGTTAACAATTTTATTGCAGATTTTGGACGATGGTAGAGTCACCTCTTCGCAAGGTAAGTTAGTCAATTGTTCCAACTGTATCATCATCATGACTTCAAACTTGGGTGCCGAGTATATCAATGCGTCAAAGAATAACAAGATTGACAATGAAGTCAAAGATCTTGTCATGACTTCAGTCAAGGCTCATTTTAGACCGGAATTCTTGAACAGAATATCAAGTATTGTTGTTTTCAACAGGTTGTCAAAGAAGGCAATTGCTAAGATTGTTAAAATCAGGTTACAAGAAATACAAAAGCGGTTTGCAGCTAATGGTAAGAGTCTCAAATTGGATGTCGATGACGCTGCTCTTGACTACTTGTGTAAAAACGGTTACTCCAGCGATTTGGGTGCAAGGCCTTTGAACCGTCTTATTCAAAATGAATTGTTGAACCGTTTGGCAGTGCTTTTGTTGAAAGGAAAAGTAAGAGATAAAGAGACGGCAAGAGTAACGATTGGACCTAAGGGATTAGAAGTAATTCCAAACCACGAATCAGATGATGTTGATATGGCAGATGTGGACGTTGAAGATTGGAAGGATAGTGAAGAGGATGATGATAGTCTTGACGCTGATCCAGTGGATTGAGCAGATCCCATCTATCACTTCTCTGTATATAGTTCTTCATGTATCACTTTAAATAATCAATTTCGAATATGTTTAATGGATTTATCTTTCCCAATATAACATGAACAGAATACTGTAGAGCTTCTTTTAATCACGAATCGAAAGGAGTGTTATGGTTCTCAGCACTTCCTATAAATTGATTCACGAACTTAGGGTGAGAGTTTGCAACTAATATCATCTATCACGTGATGCGCTCATCACTGAAAACTTTTTGACTCATCTCAGGTTTTGCCCTCTCATTAAACATATACACAATTGATTTTGAGAACCTAAAAGGAAAAATCAGAAATGGCTAGTAGAACTCAGTTTGAAAACTCTAATGAAGTTGGAGTCTTCTCCAAACTAACAAACTCATATTGTTTAGTTGCGGTTGGTGGCTCGGAGAATTTTTACTCAGCATTTGAAGCAGAACTCGGTGATGTTATACCTATTGTTCATACGACTATTGCTGGTACTCGTATTGTTGGACGGATGTGTGCTGGTAATAGACGAGGCTTGTTGGTTCCAACACAGACAACGGACCAAGAGTTGATGCATTTGAGAAACTCCTTACCAGATACTGTCAAAATCCAAAGAGTTGAGGAGAGATTATCTGCTCTTGGAAATGTGATTTGTTGTAATGACTACGTTGCTTTGGTTCATCCAGATATTGAGAGAGAAACAGAGGAATTAATCGCGGACGTATTGGGCGTTGAAGTTTTTCGTCAAACCATTGCTAGCAACGTCTTAGTTGGTTCCTACTGCTCCTTATCAAATCAGGGTGGATTGGTCCATCCTCAAACATCAATCCAGGACCAAGAAGAATTATCCTCATTGCTTCAGGTCCCGTTAGTTGCGGGAACTGTTAATAGAGGTTCTTCGGTAGTAGGTGCTGGCATGGTGGTAAATGATTGGGTGGCCGTCACAGGATTAGACACAACTGCACCTGAATTATCTGTTGTTGAATCGATATTCAGATTACAAGATGCTCAACCAGATTCAATTTCTGGAAATTTGAGAGATACCTTAATTGAGACCTATACTTAAACTTTTACTGAGGGTTTATTTGCATATACTAGAGCATCTCTTAATTTTTCAAAGCACTTAGAGGTACCTTTCCTAATGGTGAAAGTATAAGTGTAGCTGGCTTTCGATTAGCCAATCCTTGAAGACTTTTTAACTATCAGGTCTGGATCTTTTTACTTGTTTTCAACTGAAGCGAAGAAATATTCGAAATACCGAAATCTTCATTGAAGTTGATTTTTATCTGTATATTAGCTTTAATATTAATAATTTAGGCATCTTTTTGTAGCTCGGTAGAAGTTTCTCTCTTGGTGGAGAATATTCGTTTAATGCATGTGCAGGTTATGTTTTCTCGAAATCACAATTTAGCCGTGTTTCTTGACGGAAACCAGCAATAAATTCAATTAGAAACAAGTTACTACTATTAAGGTAATTGTAAGATAAATTAACAGAAGTAGTCATGGACTTCTTTGGTATTAGTCGAGGTACCATTAGAGCAGAAGCTCTAAGTAGGTTAGCTGGATTGTCTGTACAGAACACCCCCACAAAACTACTGGAGGAAGATGGGCATGAACTTATATCCTCTTTCTCTTCTTTAATGTCCATCGCGTCGAAATCAGGTACAAGTGGTGGAAAGACTTCATCGGTTATGGAATCTAAAGAATTTGAAACAGTAATAGCGTTATGTGAATCTACTAATAACGAATTGAAGTTTGCAAGCCAAAGCAAAGATATTCTTGAAAAATTAAAATTCTACTTCTTGGACCTACCAAATCAAAAAATATCTGAAGGTATTACAAAAAGGCTCATTAATTCTTCCCCATGGTTTGTCTTAGCCGAGAAAATATCGACTGCTATTATTAAAATAGGGATGAGCTTTGATAGTTTGTTCCTCAATGATACGCTAGAAATTTTTCGTTGCTTTAATAGAAACTTTTTTCAAGGTAAGACGAGTTATTCTCATTCACATTACTTAACGCTCTTGGGCTTTTTAGAAGGCTTGAACAAGGTACCAAACTTTTTGACTGTTTCATTTGAGACTTTCAAAGTATTCACAGGCTTGGACTCTTGCATCGATAATTTTGAATTTTATAATGATCTTGAAGATTATTCAAACACTTTTTTCAAGCATAACGAGTATCATCACTTCATTGAGTCGGGACTGGAAGTTGAGCTTTCTCCAATACTCTTTATTGAAACGTTAAGCAAACTAATATGCTCAATTATGAATTCAATTCTTGATAATTATGATGAGCCTTTATTAGAATTTCTTTTGAAGACAGTTTCTAAAAGATATGACGATGAGTCCTCTAAGGGCTTAGACATCTCTCTTAATAACATGGAATTGATAAAACAGTTATCAAGCTTGGCAATACAGAAGATGTTGTTTTTGGATAGAGGTGAATCTTACATAATTTATTCCAATTTGCATAGACTTAAACTTGGGTACTTGGCAAAACATTACAACTTACAAGCAATAACTTGTGGGACATTCACTGACAATATTGATATCAAAACGTCACAGAGGATATTCAAGAACTGCCTCGAAATCAGGGAGGTGATGCTTGATCCCGATTTAGGCTTAAGCGCACTTCAAATGGGTTGCCTTCTTGTTTACAAAGATGAGCTGCTTGGCGCCCCATTAACGAGAGCATATACTTCATTGACGGCCAATCCAAAGTTCAGTTATGCTTTAGAAGCTTCAAAAAGTGTGGGCTTAGCGAGTAAAGTGCTATCCCAGGACGCTGTGATTACGACAATCTACTCACTTACAAATTTATTATTTGTTAGTAATGATGGGATTGAGCTACACTCTAGAAACACGCATAAGAGAAACAATTGCGTCAAAAGACTTGATTCATTATCCTGGAAGCAGCACGTTAACGGCTCTAGAAACGTTTCTTCTCAATCAGCTAGGTCCGGAGCTCCTAGTGCGCAGAAACTGATCGATTATGACGATCTTGACTATAAGTCTGTTTGTGAGAATGCTATCACAGGTATAATCGAAATATCGCAGGCATGTTCTGATGAAACAGTAACTACATTGTCAGTAACTATCTTATCTCAGAAAGCTGTTAGATTGGATACGGCAATTGGTAAGCTTCTTTTAAGAGGTTTAACTTCGTGCGCACCATTCCTTCCGGAAAGGGAATTCATTATTCTTCTGAAGTTGTTGAATAGGTTATCACTCGATGCTCTAGCAGCAAAAAAGAAATCACTTGTAGAGAGTCTTATAAATGCAAGAGCGGATCTTTCAAAAAAATTGACGAAAGATAACCCATTATATTTTGCCTACCTTCGTGAAATTTTGCAATCAATTATAAGCAAGGGAGATGTTGAAGAACTTGAACATCATAGGTCCCATGATGAGATCAGCGAGGTTGCCACAAAAATTGCAATATATATTAAACCATTAGCAGAGTTACTTCCTGACGTTCAAAAAGGAGATGAGCCATTAGAAATTAAAGACACTACGACCATCAATTTGTTTAGAAATATTTGGTTTAATATGGTTGTTCATGGATACTCTAATGATTCTAAAATTGCTCAACCATATATTAAAGAGCTTGAAAGAATTGCGTATAATAGTCCTCCTTTGGCGAGCGAATTGTCATGGGATCGAACAGAAACCTCCTTAGAATTGAATACTGTTTTGAGAAGAGGTTCGTCTAATCATAATGTAAAGCATCATAGAAACATAATCGGTAGTATCTTTGAAATTCACAGAACGATGTCTTATCCAAAATTAATGTTCTTGTCGGCAACTGTTTTTGTTGAGTCGTTAAGAGTAAAGTCCGGAGACTGTTCTAAGATACTTTATTATTATTCAGATCCTTCTGTTAAGACAACGGGAGTGGAAAAGTACATTGCTTATATCGCATTCAAGATTGTCAAGGACTACATTTATTTAATTAGTTGCGGTGCTAATAAACAATTCAGTGCCGACAGAATTGCTGAACAGCTTACAAACATGTTGGCGCTTTGTTGTCATAGGTTAGAAGACCTTCAAGATACTGCATTACAATGTTGCGATCTTTTGATCAACAAGATTCCCTCTTCCCTTTGTCACCATAAAAGTTTATTTGCCCTTTTTGATTTATTGACTTTATTGTTTGATAGTATCATTGACGCCGATGAAAATCAATATGAGCCGACGACTTCTTACCGTGCTAACAAAACAGGCATTCATCTTCTTTTATCTGATTCTTATACATGGAGGACGGAAACTTTCAATAGATTTTATGAGAAGTGTAAGAATTGGGTTACGCTAGTGTTGTTAAAGTGTAATGTTGATATCAAAAGTTTGATCCTGTCGTATGTGTCTGATATGGATCGCTTTCAGAGCAATAATAAAATTCAGTTCGGTGTTTCTTTTGCAATTGAAATGTCAGGAAGCGTTTTGGCTAATGATAGAGAGTTGTCATCCATTCCCAAGATGCCGAACAAAGAAGTCAACACATTGCCTGTTTTTGTTTCTCAATTAAGCTGGAGGACAAATTTTGTTAACGACTTGATGGATCGGATTCCATTGCGTTCTATTGACGATGTTGATAAAGCTTTCAGTGAAATAAAGAAAAAGATACTTCGATTGAAGAAGGATAACAAAGAAAATAAGTCAGCTGATACTGAACGAATCACTGATCTTTTGACTGAAATTGCCAGCTTAACATTATTATCTGATGACAACACGGCCTCATTAATAAGATATCTTGTTGACATACCTTTTGTGATTTTTGAATCTCCAATTATGAATGCGGCAGTCGATATTTGGTTTGCGGTAATGAAAGATAGGCCCGACCTTTCGGTACTTTTACTTTCGGAAATTGCTAAAAAATGGGAATCCTCAATAGAAACAAGGGTGGGTTTGTTTTCTGACGAGTATGATAATGAATATCCAGAATTTTCTAAAATGGAATATGCTCCAAGTGATCACAAGAGAATTATAATGCTTTCACATGTGGCAAGTTCGGCATTCGATCCACATTTGCAAATCATTAAGTTATTTGCATCCAATTTTGAGGCTTCGTTAAATCAATCTGATCACCTTTTGAAACTTTTTACACGGTTTGTCGAAATTGGGTTGGCGAATTTACCTAATGCCAGCTTACACCCTTTTTCGAGGTCAGGGAGGTTTGAATTAATTAGATTTGCATTCGATGTTTTGAATTATCATACAAAGCTCGGGTCAAGAAGTGTAACTAGCCTCACCTCCCTAATTCTTGATGGAACTTTAAGTTGGTTTAGGCTCAGAGCAAGTTACCCTTATGGTTCAAATGTTCTTAAAATGAGAGCTGACTTAGGTTTATTAAAGGAGGTTGCGAGATTAATGACTCATATTTCTAGTGGTAAGTCAACCGAACTCGAAGGGAAGAAGAGCATTATATTACTTTTCCTTGACGACGAAATTTCAAAGATTTCAGTTTGGCTAGATTCATTGAATCCACAAGATACCAGAGGAACTTTTGCGAAAGGTGGTGTCAGTGGCAGTCACATAAAAAATGCATATTCCTATGACCCTATATTAGCTATCAACTTAGCTTCAAGATATAAAATCAAGAATTTAGATGAGTTATTACAATCTCTCATAGCTGCAAATCCACTTCCAGCAATTTTTTACCCTGATGCTGTCCAATATTTCATAGGTATCAATGCTGGCACACGCATGCCTTCTTATCATTTACTATTCTGGGCACTGTTGTCTCCAATCGATTGCATCACATTATTTTTACCTCCATTTGAAAGTAACCCATACGTTTTGCAGTATACGATGAGATCATTGGAGAGCCACGATGTGAACTTGGTGTTTTTTTACGTTCCCCAAATCGTTCAAAGCTTGAGATTTGACGTCAAAGGTAATGTGGAAAGGTTTATTATCGAAACTGCTAAAGTTTCACAATTATTTGCACACCAGATTATATGGAATATGATGGCAAATAGCTATAAAGATGAAGACTCAACCGAACCTGATTCTTTGAAGCCAACCTTAGACAGAATACAAGCCAAGATGATAAAATCATTCAGTCGAGAGGATTATGACTTTTATGAAAAGGAGTTTGGTTTTTTCAACGAAGTCACTAGTATTTCAGGAAAGTTGAAACCTTATATCAAGAAAACGAAAGCTGAAAAGAAAATAAAAATTGATCAAGAAATGGCAGACATTCAAGTTCTTCCGGATGTCTACTTGCCAAGTAATCCAGACGGGGTCGTCATAGATATAAACAGAAAGTCAGGAAAGCCATTGCAGTCCCATGCAAAGGCCCCCTTTATGGCTACGTTTAAGATAAAGAAAGAAGTACAGGAAATAGATGATCACGGGAAAACTAGCACTACTTCGATTGAGAAGTGGCAAAGTGCGATATTTAAAGTTGGCGATGATTGTCGTCAAGACGTGTTGGCGTTGCAATTAATATCCGTATTCAGAACTATTTGGACATCTGCTGGTCTCGACTTGTATGTGTTCCCTTATCGGGTCACTGCAACTGCCCCTGGTTGTGGTGTTATAGACGTTTTGCCTAATTCCATTAGTCGTGATATGCTAGGTAGGGAAGCAGTCAATGGTTTATATGAATATTTTACAACGAAATTTGGTCCCGAGAACTCTATAGAGTTTCAAAGAGCAAGAAATAACTTGATCAAATCTTTAGCTGCATACTCAATTATTTCATATCTTTTACAGTTCAAGGACCGTCATAATGGTAACATAATGTACGATGACCAGGGTCACATTTTACATATCGATTTTGGATTTTGTTTTGATATCGTTCCTGGTGGTGTGAAGTTTGAGGTTGCGCCGTTTAAGCTAACTCATGAAATGATCATGGTGTTAGGAGGTTCAAACAACACCCAAGCTTTCAGGTGGTTCGAGGAGCTTTGCGTCAAGGGTTATTTGGCATGTAGACCCTACATGGAAACTATTGTCAGATGCGTGACTCCAATGTTGGAAAGTGGGTTGCCGTGCTTCAAAGAGTCCACAATCAAGAAATTAAGGTCCAGATTTGTCCCATCAAAGTCAGACAAAGAGGCCTCTCATTTCATGAGGGGCCTAATTAGGAAGTCCATGGAAAGTGTCTATACAAAGGGGTACGATGAATTCCAAAAATTGACAAATGGTATTCCCTGTTGAAAACGTCTTAATCTTTTGCAATATGCAGATAGTGTATATGTAAGTCTGTCTATACTGTATATAATGACAATTAACCAAATTTTATTAATAGATCACTCGGAGAGGCGCAAGATTAATCGTACAGCCCAGCTGATGCCAATACGCGAATATTCGTTACCTTTAGGGCTGATGAGTCGTCGATTTAAGAGAGAACGTATTTCACTCACATGAGATGCCCAATTCAGTTTGTAAGTTCTAGTATGCCAAGGACCACTCTCTTGGCCGCGAAAAGCTAACTAACTAAACCTGATTAAACTCCTCTAATCACTTGATACCAGATATACAGCCCTAAGTTAACTCTGCGGCATTACGAAGTTACAAGGTACAAGGTAAAGACTTCTCATTTTTGATTTTGAAAGCATCTTACCGAGCTTGCCCCTGCTTTAGTTTGTATTGTGCCTCTGCTTGGAACCCGGATTCAGTAGAATAATTCTGGAGTGTATATAAAATGTGACACAAAAGTTTGTTGGTCGTCACGTTTGAAGTAAGTGCTGTAAAAAGGCTTGGTTTTATTTAGAAAAACTACTTCTATAAATTGATTGAAACAGGTCAACTTTTGTGTTTTCAAGAAAAAGCTTTGAAAAAGATAACCTGGGAGCATCTGCAGCAAGTACACGATCTTTTGAACTAGAAGCTGTTCAAGGGAATTAAAATCAGTCGAAGCTGGACAAAAAGAGGAGTGAGCAAGCGGATTAACATTCTAGTTATTGTCTGTTAGGTGCCAGCATTGATCTACTTTAAAATTGATCTCACGACTTTTGTAAACATTTAAAAGTGACGTTCACTAATCAGGAAAGTTGGGCGTAAACAAGATTCATCCGATCTGTTTATAATTACACCCTTAGTATTCAATATTGTTGAAGGATTAACCAACTCAGGATCACAATGAATTTTTCGGCAATTTGGTTTTTTACCTTCTTTTTTTTCTACAATGGAATTTACGCAACGAAACACATCCTGTCAACTTCTTTGTTGACATGTATGGAAAACTCACAGTTTACTGCATCACAATTCGATGTGATATTTTATCCTGGTAACTCGTCAGTCACTTACGATATATCGGCCATTTCAAACATCAACGCCAAAGTGAGTGCTGATATTCAGTTGATTGCATATGGTATAAATGCCATTACCAAGAAGTTTGATTTCTGCTCGATGAACTATCAACCAGTATGTCCTTTGACTACGGGTCATTTGGACTTGAGCTCAGATTATAAACTTGAGAAAAGTATAACTAAACAAATACCTTCCATTGCTTATACTATTCCTGACCTTGATGCCAGGGTTCGAGTCGTGATTTACGACGATGATGGGACACAATTAGCATGCGTGGAGGCTGTTTTGTCTAACGGTAAGACTGTTCAAACTAAGTACGCATCTTGGCCGATTGCTGCCATATCCGGCTTGGGTCTTATTACATCTGGTATTGTCTCAGTTATTGGGCATTCTAACACAGCAGCTCACATTGCATCAAATTCGATGTCTTTGTTCATTTATTTCCAATCTTTGGCCATAACGTCGATGATGGCTGTGGCCTTTGTTCCACCAATTGCTGCAGCTTGGGCTCAAAATTTTCAGTGGTCTTTGGGTATCGTGAAGGTTGGTTTTGTTCAAAATATTGCCAATTGGTATGTTCAGTCCACTGGTGGTACTGCTACTGATGTTTTGAAATCAGAGTACTTATCCATTTCAGTGCAAAAGAAGATGAAAAGATCCATGGAGTTTTTAAATACCATCGAAAACTTGTATCAAAGACAAAAGCGCAATGCTCATTTAACTTTGTTTAAAAGAGCATCTATTGATCTTGATTCTGATGATTTTGGTTATTCTGACAAATTGGATCTGAAAATTTACACCACAAATGAAAAAAATTCAGATTTATCCTCGAAGATTCTTGTTTTAAGAGGTATGCAGAGAGTTGCCTACTTGGCAGGGATAGAAATCACTACGTTGTTTATGACATCTATTATTTTCTTGTTATTCTTTGCTTTTGTGATGGTTGTTTGTTTGACATTGTTCAAAGCTTTGGTGGAAATCTTGATAAGATCAAACGTCATGAATGAGGGTAAATTCAATGAATATAGACAGCAATGGCCTCAAATTATCAAGGGAGCTTTATACAGGTTAATGATGGTCGCATTCCCACAATTGACTGTAATGTGTGTGTGGGAGTTATGCTCCAGAGACTCAACTGGAACGGTAGTTGTTGCTGTGTTTTTACTTGTCATTTCTATTGTGTTGCTTTGTCAAGCCGCGATAAGAGTTGTTTTGATTGGAAGAAGATCTGTCAGACAATTCAAGAATCCTGCTTATTTATTATTTGGTGATTCGACTTTCTTAAATAAGTTTGGTTTCATTTATGTGCAATTCAGAGCCGATCGTTATTTTTTCATTTGTTTCAGTATTTTTTACATTTTCCTCAAATCTTTGTTCGTTGCTGTCTTGCAAGATCACGGAAAAGTTCAGTCGGTCATTGTTTTCGCTATAGAATTAATATTTTGTGTTATTGTATGTTGGATAAGGCCATTCATGGATAAAAGGACTAATGCTTTTAACATCACAATTTCAATCATTAATACTATTAATGCCCTTTTCTTCATGTTTTTCTCCTACGTGTTTAAACAACCTCACATTGTGGGTTCTGTCATGGCAATTGTTTATTTCATTCTCAATGCTGTGTTTGCTTTGTTCTTGTTATTATTCACAATCATCACATGTGTCTTGGCTTTGATATACAAGAACCCAGATACCAGATATCAACCCATGAAAGATGACAGAGTTTCCTTCTTGCCAAGGTTCGATAATCCAAAGAAGGGTCCTAATGATCCTGATGGAGCTGAAGAAATGGAGTTAATGGCACTAGGTGCTACTGCAATGAGAGGTCATGAAAACGGGGGAAAGCCTCCAGTGATATATGATGACGATTCATCTTTCTACGACGCTGATTCTGCGACAAACAACACTAAAGATGATGAATTGAGGTTTGGTTCAAGTTCAAGGAGGTCTCCCACTGAAAATAGTTATAGTGGAAATGACTCCAAGCGAGACTCATTATACATGGAAAATTTCGAACCTACTCAACCAACTTCAACCATTGTAGGTAACCAGAATACTACAAATACTGCTTACAATAGCAGTGCTTATAACAATGCTTCATTTAGGGGACAGAACGGCCAACGACAACAGTCAGGTAACCGCGTGAACTTTATTTGATGTATTAAAGTCACGATTTACGAATGTATGTCAAGGTCTCTCTTTTATTTTTCTTTTTTCACTGTCCCTAAAATATGGAGCCTTAAATCTTAACAAGTGTATCTTATATTATCTATACAATTTCTTGTCGATAAACAATATGTGCTGAATGTAGTGTATAGCATTCTCCTTTTGAGCTTCTTTCAAGTCATCGTATGATGTTTGCAGAAGTGAGGTTTTCCAAATATACTATGGTGAAATATATTGTACCAAGTTATTTCCTGGCAATCTTCGTCATTACTGAACACTGAGAATCTCCTGTTTCTTCTTTCTAGTTTAGAGCCATTGGAGTTGTCAGAATTTTTTGAACCGTCTCGACTACTTTTTGAAGATAAATTAAACTTATCAATAAATTCTTCAGTTTGTAGAAATTTGACAGTTTCTAAATCTTTTGAATCTAATAGTATTCTTGGGCTCTTAACTTGGGGTTCCACAGTACCGACAGAGTGCTGGCGGTTTAACATTGGTTCTTTTTTTGGCAATCGATCAAAAATGACTTGACGATAAGACTTGCTTCTAGGAGATTTTATGAAGTTATCGGATGGTGCAATGGATGATAAAGGAAAACGTAGACTATTCATACCAAATTGGCCCCCACCGAAATCTCTCTTCCTGTTTTTAAATTCACCACGAATGTATTGTTGTGCGTTAGCAGGTCGATGATCCCAACCCTTTTTTTCCTGCTTTCTGGTAAATTTCGTGAAAAGGCGTTGGGCAAAAAATAACTTGAGTCTTTTTGGCTTCGATAAAGCATTTTTTCCTACTTTGCTTGATACTTTATTCCTCTCCTTTGATTCCGGAATAGTTGCTTTTGCAACTGGGTTTTCCGAATTGAAGTAACCAGTGCCATGTCCGTCATTTCTGGATTTGGCGAAACTAGTATCATTGGTTTTTTGTTCCAGAAGAGATACCAAGTGAATGTATTTACCACCAGGTATTTTTAAACAGTAATCCAGTGATTTTGCATTGGTTGTACAAAATATAGAGTGTATCAAACTTTCATATCCAACGCTTTTTATCCAATTGGCTGCGAATATGTCAAAAAAACTAGAAAATGCATTTGTTCCATTTCGGTTAGGCAAATAATTTTTAATATTCATTATTGGATTTTGAGACTTTTCAAGCTCATCTAAAGAATTTTCTTTAAACAAGAAGACCATCAAAGGACTGTTTTTGCTCATCTCATTTTGGAAAGACGATGTTTGTAATGTTCGGTATATATGTTGATAGTCTGTTGAGTTATTTTTAAAGAGTGACAAACTTCTCAAATTTTCTTCAAAATACACCCTAGGTATAAGTAGATAATAATCAGCTAAATTCATGTATCGTGGAAGATCAAACGGCGGCGAATGTGTGATAAATTCTTTATACTTATCACTTTCACCGGGCACTTTCACTTTCTCAGTTGTGTTGAATATGAACAAAGCTCGAACGTCCTTGAAGAAGGGACTTCCTTCAAAATATCTCTCAGTTCCTCTATGTTCAAAGGTGTTATTTTTAATGATCAAGTCTTTGAGCCCTAACCTCAGAAGAGTAGATTGTGTCAACATATTTCTAGGAAAGATCAAAATTTCATCATTTCTTTCTCTTTCGCTAGAATCTAAGGCTGAATATGGAGAAAGGAATGCAGAGGGTAAAATAGCATGTAAATTAAGTTCAATTTGCTTTCCAACATCTCTTATATATTGCAAGCTCTTGCTAGACTCCGGTCCTAACTCTGGAGTATTTATCACCAAGCACTGACAAGATTGCACCAACAGAAGTGTTAACGCACAAACCAAACCCAACGTATACATTATAAGCAATTAGATAGCACTAGCTTGAGGCTTTAATATCTATTAAAAGTACAAGAAAGTATATAATGTACAGAAGGAGAAATAAGATCTTGTGGCCAATATCTAACCACAAACAAGCAAAAAAAAATTTTTTTGGTACAATTATAATTAAGAAGTGTAGACAATGATTTTGTTTCTGTTCTTCAAATCCATAGAATCATTTATTTCATACATCTCTCCATGTTCGTTCAAAAAGTATCTTTTAAGATCATTGTCTTGAAGGTTTCCAGAACCAGCAGCTAAGTGATTATACTCTTTGTCGAGGCCCTCATCACTATAATCAAAGTTAATATCATGTAGCAAATTTAACCTGGATATGTACAAAGTGGTAAGGAATATAACTAGGTTTCCAACCCATAAAAACGTTGATAGAATAATGAAAGCCCCAACCGCTTTCCGCATTGAACAAATCGTCCCATTTGAGCACTTCATTGGGAGTAATACTGCAGTAACCAATATAAAAGCAGTTGTCATAAGTAAAGCGGCTGCCAAACAGTAAAAGCTGCCATTTCGTTTTTCGAAATTAATTATTGTCGAAATAAATAAAAAAGATACTATTAAAGAGACCGTTCCTGAGGCAACGAAGTATCTATACATTGCTTTCGAAACAGAGCCGTCTTTTTTTAATAAAGCACTTGATAATGATATCACAATAACCTCGAATATAACCTCAATTAGATACAATATAATATGATAAGATATTACAATCTCTTTCTCATCTAGTTTATCTGCCCAAACAAAATTCTTAGTTTGTATCTTAAACAAGGGCTTGTTCATAACCTGTCTTATCAAATCTTGCTCGAGCTGTTTCTTCCTTGTAGATACACTCAGTGTGTCAGAATTAGCTAGCTGCAGGGTGTATTCCATATAGTAATCCTTTGGCTGCTTTAGACTGGGCAAGTCATTTTTTTCTATTGCATCATTTTTCTGAAGAGTGGTAGAAACCATGTCGGCAGAGATTCTGGGGATATTTAAAGGGTGGGAATTATTATATGGCAAATCTACTACATTCTCTCGTCGATCTGAAATCGATTCTGGGAATGGTTCATCAATACTCCCTTCACTTATCTTGCTTGTTATTGTCCTCGACCCTTTATAATAACTATAGATATCTTCAAAATCTATTGGCTTTGGTGGTAATTGTTTGTCTTTTATTCCTCTCCCATCAAAAGCAGCGTCTTGGTCTCTATATCGGGAAGAGACATTTCTATTTCTTGATTCTGTAGGTAAAATTGAGCCAAAAGTTATTTGACTAGAATGGTCATCCTGTGAGTTAGGTGAAACGTTACGTGAGGTCGCTTTACGTTTTCCCAATTCATACCTAAATCTTGATGTGTCACTTATCACTCTCACTTCTTCGCTACCATAAGGGCGAAAGCTCATGGTTGTCACACCTCTATCGTTTTGGAGATTCTTCAACTTGTTCTTCTCAGTTTCTTATCCTTTCTCCAGCCTTGTCATTTCAAAAATGCTAAATTTGCATCTTTCAATTACATTTCCTATTTAGGATATACATAAACAATAGTTGCATATAGGTATTACTAAAGCCGTTGGCCATAAAAATCTGTGAGGCAAAATCCTGAATAATACGTTAGGCTGTGGATTACACACAATGAATGAGATAGAGTTGGAGACATTACATATTTCATTCAGATTATATGTCTCCGTTCTTTCGCTTTTATAATTAAATTATCATACTAATATAAATTAATTTAAACAATAAAAATAATGGAAACTTGAAATTTTAATGGAAGATTAGGCCCAAACTTGAAGCAACTCGAAGAACTCTACACGATATTTACATTTGTCCAAGTTCTGAATGACTGCATATCTCAAATCATCAACCATTACTGGATGGCCACAAGTAACAAAGGCAATAGAACCATCGGCCTCTGTAACTTCGTCTTCCACTATTTTATCAATAGAGGGCCTTCCTTCCATAAACGTCACATGAGACAAGTCAGCTTTAATGGCTTCAATATATGCCAAATTTGTCGAAGGGTCTGAAGAAGATAAATCGTACTCCTTTTCATTTTCACATTTCAAATCTTTTTCTTTATCTTCTAGTTCATTTGAAGACTGGTCGCTAATAATAGCCTTGAAGTATTCTAAGGCACCGACTTGTGCAGGTCTTGTGACATAAATGGTAATTTGAACTTTTGTATCCTTCAAATGCTTCAATTCATCGTAAAACCAAGAAAGTGACTTCCATTCTCTTATAACCCATATCAATTTCAATGATTGCTTCATATCTCTCTTAGCCAAATCACAAACTTCAGAATAAATACCTGGAATTCCATTTCCACCGGCCATAAATACAGCATTCTTGTATACTCTGGCACTTGACGCTTCGCCATATGGCCCTTCAACACAAACTCTCATATTGGTCGTTCTTTCAGGGCATTTCAAAAGGTGCTGATACAAGCCATGCGTGACACCTCCTTTTAGTTTCATGTAGAGAACAATATCACGAGAGTCGGAATCTACTTCAGTGAATGTGAATGGATGTGATTGCCAGAAGCAGCTTAGTTTTCCAAAGTGAACAAATGCATGAGAACCAGGAGAAGACTTCCAATATCTAGGCTTTGGTATAATAACTTTTAAGGTTTCTTCAGCTAGCAAAGAGATCTTAGCCACAGGTGCGCCAAATGCAATAAGTCTTGCGAACCTGGCGGTTCTGTCGAATGCCCAAACTGCAACAGCTGCCCAAAACATTGCACCAAATCCCATGATATCAACATGATAGTATCCTCCGACGATGAAAAATAAAGCCAACAAGATATGAATAAGAAGGAAGACCTCATAACACTTTCTTCTAAAATAAAACATTCCTTGAAGCAAAATAAGCCCCCCACAAACAGTCGCAACAGTGCCCCATCGTAAGAAATCCTCCTGCATTTCCATTGTATAATAACCTTCTAAGCAAAATGCGATGGTGAATGCAATTGAGTGGATTATCACTAATAATATCGCAATTCTCGATATCCATCTATGGTAAGTAATAAAGGTTGCAAAATTCCATCGTGTAAGCCATTGTAAAAAGTTATTACGACCCGCAAACAAAACTAAGAGAGGAATATGGAAACAAACGATATCACCAGTCCTATCAGCAATCAAAGTACACACTTGAGCGTTCACATTTGTGAAAACTGGATTTGGCTCAACTCGAGTTAAGAAAAGAGCACAGAAAAAAATGTTCAAGAAAACGAAAATACCAATAATAATAGTTTCCATTCTTGAAGGGACTAAATGATCGAAAAAGCTCAACCATTTCCCTTCACTGGTCTTTTTCCTTTTAAATGTGGCACTTAACGTAATATGGCGCCTGTATATATTGCTAACCCTACCCGTGAAAAAGTTGACAAATCCTGGACACAATCTAATTGTCCAGTTGACAAGTGCCGCAATTAAAAGCACAACAGCCCAGTAAACTAAGCAGCCGATCCCGAAATAGTATCCATAATTAAAATTCTTCAAAAAGACCCTGTAAGATCTTTTAAAAGATCTGAACATATCATTTCCATATTTGAGGAGGACTGGATGATCATAGGGAATTGTCATGTTAAAACCTGTAATGGTCGTAACATTTTTCATATCTTTCAACGCAGTTGAGTAGTTGGTATAAAATGAGTCCAATGACAACGTGACAGACACATTGTTGGAGTTGCAGTTATCAATATATTCTTGAACTACTCTTGAATCATTTTTATAACCCTTTACTATACAGTCAGCCAATGTCCCGAAGCCGTAATTTGTATTACACCAGCATTCATAGTTTCTCGAATAGTCAGCAAGAGGCAGACATAAAGTAGCTGTTTCTGATATATACGCATTACAAGCATAGAATGCAACATCAAATCCAGAATATACAGATGGATACAACATCGCATAAGAAGCAGGTATGAAAAGCTGCAAACAGCAAGCGATCACAATGTCAATTCTCATTTAAACAAGTTGTAGTAGATCTTTTGAAACCGTGGAAAAACTTGTTTAAGATGAACAAGATGAACAAGATGAATCGATGAGGTTTATATAACATCCGGATGAGCTATATCAAAATCATCATTTACAAGTGTCGAAACATATAATAAAGGTTTGGATCACTGTACGCCTTCGATCAAGTGCTTCTAGGCTGCAACGTATATAAAAATAAACATAATGATTGGTTACTTATATAAAGTTTTCGAAGTGAGACAATAGGGAACCAAAAATACTCCTACTACTCTTATTTCATGCGAACTGAACAATAAGAATCTCGAGTTCCAACGAAAAAAAAATCGTCTTTTTTTATCAGATTAATCTTTGTGCAGATCTTTAATGCGAATTCCGCCAATGAAATAAAAATGCTGAACCTAACTGCAATTAAAAGCAGTTACGCTTTAAAACTAGGGGCATAGTCTCACTTTTACGCATATTATAGAACGAAAATTACGGGATACCTTTGTTCTAATACATTGAATTCAGTTCCTTGTAACCGAATAGGCTTTATAACCATTTTCGTAATTGCGCTTTATCCAGCTAGCATATCATTGGCACGGAGACAGGAATCAGGGGAGTGAAAAAACATGCCGTAGCAAATGGAAGTCCTAGAGCGGTAAAGACGGTAAGGTGAAGGACGAATTCAAGCGAATGAATCCAATGATCTATGCCAACAATCTTTCCCAACAGTCATAAGCATATGGAAGCAAAAGAAATCCTATTCCATAGTGATATCCTAGATTTTTACCAAATAGCTTTTAAGGCGAAACCGGTAGATACAAAAATCTTGAGGCGTATATTATTCAACTATACTACCGAAAAGAAGCGAGATGCAGGGTGATATAAGAAAACAAGACGGGCTCAGAAGGTTCATTTTTTTTTTTTTTGTGCCACAATGCATCTTTGGAAATAAGATCTTCCAGAGAATCGAAGAATCTCTTTTTAAGTGTTTGCATTACAGGACAATGTAATATTGCTTTCTAAAATTAATGATGCTTCTTCAAAGGCTCGACAACTAATTTATCAAATGTATACATCTGGGAAATAGTTGTCTGCCTATGTAACACTGCCAAATTATTGATTCCTTCGTTGTAGAGCAGAGTTATTTTCTCTGGGTCACTGACCGATTTATTAGCTTTGAAGCTGTCAACAACTCTACGCTTCGCAAACTCCCTAAAGTTATAGTTGTCGAATTTGAGAGCCTTTTCTAAGAGTCCCTTGTACAATGATAAAACTTCCTTTGATTTAGTCATTATGAAGCTGAGTAATTGTTAAAGATGAGTAATTTTATATCTTATCCTTTAGACAAATTCATGATGGCCACTGACAAAAGTTCATTAGTATATACAGTATCGGGACGTACACGAACATTTAAATAGTATATACACAAAGAGGCATATAGAAGCAAGAGCCAACGACATTCGAAAGTCTCTTATTTATCTAAGTTTCATCTTCCTCGGCACATTTGCGCATGTACTCTTCGATGTCTTCATTTCTTACAGCTGTTCTCTTATCCTTAGACTTTTTGGCAGATGCATCGGCCATCATTTCTTCAAAGATTCTGGCATCTTCATCCTCTTCTGGAGACCTCTTAACATTAAGCATTTCCTTTCCTATGAACGAAACCGCATCTGCTCTTGCAATACGTTCCTTCTTAGAAAGCGATTTATCATTCAACACCCTATGAAGAACTTTATTCAATATCCCAGTGACTTCGTATTTAGTTGAGGCCCAGCCAGTTGCTACAAGCTTACCAGTAATAAACCTCTCAATTTCCTTTTGGCGGTACTGCTGTTCTAACGTTAATTCAGTACCTGCTTCCTGCTGATGCTGGAGCGCCTCTTGCTCCTTTACCATTTCCATAACAGAGGTCTGTGCATCAACTGCAGTCTTCAAGATTTCAAAACCATTCTTGAAGCTATTTGTTTTTGATTTTACAGTTGTGTAGATCTTAGAAACTCCGAATGTCTTACATGCGTGCGTAGTTGCATTGGCTTGATTAATGTAAATTTTTCCAATTAAATGCAATAATTGAATTCCAAAGCTTTCAATTTTCATATCTTCTAATTCTTGATCAAGCTTGGCCTTGAACTGAGTGAGAGCAAAGTTATCTGCTTTGACTGATTTGTATTTCTCAATTCTTAGTAACAAATTCTCACTCAATGTCTTCACTCTTTCAGCCTTTTCTTTCTGGGCTTCTTCATGAAGTCTAAGCATCTCTTCTCTTTGTTTCTTGGTGATCTTTTGCTTGGATTTCTTTTTAATCGCTTCCGAACTTAAGTTATTGTCCCCTTCATTAGTTACTCCAACATGTTGTTGGTCAGCGCCTTCTCTTCTCTCAGTCAAAGATAATTCTCCAACCTTACCGTTGAGCGTGCTAGCATTTTGAGAAGAGAGATGACTAGTTTCACTTTCATCATCCTCTTCCAATATTTCAGCAGTCTTGGACATATCTTTCATCATACTAAGCTCTCCAAACCAATCCTTGAAACTATCTCCACCGAATATCATGGCAAATAATTCAGCAGGATCGACTTCGGCAGCTTGGGCAACTTGATCATTCTTCATTCCTTCAGCTCCCAACTCATCATAAAGCTGTCTTGCATCCTTGTTCAGCAATACTCCATAAGCTTCACCTAGTTCTTGAAATTTCTCCGAAGCCTTAGGGTCATTGCCATTCTTATCGGGATGAAGTTTAATTGCCTGTTTTCTATAGGCTTTCTTAAGCTCCTGATCAGTCGCTGTAACTTCGACACCCAAGATGTCATAATATTTAGTATCCTTGACCATTCTTGTAGTTGATACAGGAGTATTATTATTATTATAGATATCTATGGACTTCTGTATACCTGGCTTAATATTAAATATATTTTTAGAGTTTCTTGCGCGGGCTTGGCTGGAACTAGCAGTCCTATTTCATTAGCTAATATACAATCAAAAGGAGAACGTAAGTGAGTTGAGTTCAGGAACTACTAGCAAGGTCTCAGATCCATTAACGAAAAGATAATCTATTGATCGTCCCTTAACCGCATCAGAAGATTTTATAGTAATTTTTGGTAGAGTCAATTTTCCAACACTTAATGGAATTAATATGAGGTCAAATTCATGGAAATTGCCCTCTGTTACTGAGAGCTCAAAAGTTTGCTTCCTAAATCCAGATATTAACCAACTGTCGTCGGTCTGAATTATAATTTGAAAAGACTGTTTCACTGAATCAAGGTTAGGTGATAATCTTTTAGGAGATGATTCCGCAAGTATAGAGACATCCTCCACTTGAAACGAAGACTCTGATTCTTCCTTTGGTCCCCATTTAGTCACCGTCTCTACTGTAAGTTTCATTGGTATGGGCTCACCTACCAAATACTGACCCTTTCGTTCATACTTGAACTCAGTGACCTGCAAGTAATTAAGGATTGGAATTGGTACCGTGATAAATAATTTTCTCTTACCACGATATGAATTTTCAACTTTCATGCTAGTGAATAGTATGTCCTTCATAATGTCTAGCAATTTTTTATGGTCATCTTTCTTCCACACATTTTCAGATACCATTTTTTCAATAAAAAGTTCAATCTCATGATTGTTAACTATTTCTATGGTGTCATATATGGCATACTTGTTCAAATCAAACTTGAGCAAGTCCTTTAAAAAGTTCATCAACAAAAACCAATAAGACTTCAAATTCGACGTAACTAGCCGCTCCAAAAGCAATTCTCTCAAATGCTTAGTACACTCATCCTGTAAATTTGAATACTCAAGAATAAGCTTAAAAGCATCATTTGAACTAATGGAGTACCCTCTCTCTGGAATAATCATATAAAAAAGGGAGACAGGTTGATCTCCAAAAGCCACAGCTGAATGCAAATCATTTTTGGGAACTTTTATAAAGTAATTCGAGTTGTTGGACTTTAAATCATTGGAAATTACTCTAATTGGGAACTTTGGATTAGAAGAGCCAACCTGAAACTTGGAATAAATGAAATTAGGTTTGAAAATGTCTTGAACTACAACAGATATTCTCAATGTGGTATCAACCTCCGCAATGAACACATGAGTATATTCTTCATCGTTTGCTTTATATGATATCTCAGCTCTCATGTTGATTATCTTGTTATCGCTGGAGGAGCTATACGGTACCTTAATGTCGAAAACTTCTTTTGGCTCAAGTTTTTCAACTTCCGCTTTCAACTTTTCTTTGAGTATCACAACTTCTTGTGACAAAGAAGAAAATTCAATTTTCAAATCTTGTGAAGAAACAGATCCATTATGAATCCTAAACAAGCATTCCGTTTTTCCTAATTCGATCTCATTTGGAACTAAATACTCGCACCAGAATTTATCTAAATTTTGATAGTATGTCAAGCTTTTTGACTCAAATTGATCATCAGCTTCCAAAGTCTCATTCACGGACGCGTCAGAATAATCGATGCTTTTATTATGTAGCACAGAATCAATGTGATATGCAGCTTTAATAATAGCCATGGGATCCAAGAAGCCCAGACTAAATATCAAGTTTTCGTCAACTTGCATGATAAGTTTGAATGGCCAGAAAATGCCTAGTACAAAGTCATTCGAGTACAATTTTATGATACTATGTTCGTCTCCCAGAATCTGAAAGTCTCTAGAAGTAAATTTAAGCATTTCTCCTTCTTTATTTGATACTTCCAAAGTGAAATCTTTATAGTTGATTGGAATGTTATATGGATTAGTTAATGCAATGCGTAGGTAGTACCTATCCACCGGAGAAGTGTCCTCAAAGATTTGGGGCTCAATCAAAATTCCAAATAAACTTTTCAAAGAATATTCTATTTTTTCATTTAGGGATTCTGAATGCTTTCGAAGCTTTTCGACCAATTTTAAAAGATGAGGTCTCTTTCTAAGAGAATTGTAATTGTTGATTCCAAGCTTACCGTGTGAAGTAAGCACATTTGACATCAAGTCCAATATTGTTATAAGTATGAGCTTGTCATTACCAGGCTGTGTCTTCTCCACGCAAACTAGGAAAACTTCTAATAGGACACCACCCATATAATGCCAACCATTAGAAATAAAAAACTTATGAGAATTTTGCAAGATATTTAAAGCCTTTTCGTATTCTTTCATTTGAAAATGTAAAAGGGCTAAGTCGATGCTTAAGACATCAATAGTCTTTGATCTACCAGATGTAAGAAAATCATGAATTGCTGATTCCGTAATTCTCTCAAAGGCTTTCAAGTAATCTTTTTCACTCGATAAGTCCTTTAACAAGGGTTTGTAAGTCAAGATAGTATCATTTTTAGCTTTCTTGACCCCATGCAACGGGACATCCTCTAAAACATCGGTTATACCATTGATGTAATAACCTTTTGTTTGGGCTATCCCTACCATCTTTGACCGCTGAAATAGCTTTAGTTCGCCATGAAATTCGAGTATTTCGTTCAACTGATAAACAGGGTCATCGCTACCTTCATTATATTGCTTATAAGTTTTCATTAATTTATTGCACATTGGCAAATTTAAATAGTTATCCAACACAACATAAATGAACTCATCTATATTCTTTGATACTAAATCTGACAAATCATTCAAAAAGCAAATTAGGTTCTGATATAGCCTAGATAAAAATATAGAGGATATCGAGACAGTACTAGCAAGATTAGCTAAAGATTGCAACAAAATTGATTGTTTAATGAACAAGTAGCATTTAAAATCGAATAAGTTGATCTTCTCATCTCCCGTCGCAAAAATACCCTTCTCAACTCTTTCCAAATCGAAGCACGATTCAAAATTATAGTCGCTTAGGTCTTCGGGTAATGCTGCATTTGTCAGGAATGAATGTGGAAACTTGTTATAAAATTGATTAAGCATGTTTGAAAGTTCATCAAAGACTTCCAAGGATTCGAGTAGGAGTCTCATATCATTGAGACAGTTCGCAAGTCTAAGTTTGACAAGCATGCTTTCCAAATTCACCAGACTACTAGTGTTACTCAAAAAATTATACTTATTGTCAAATGTCGAAATCAAAATTTGCTTTAATTGTACAGTCAATAAATTATAGGATTCTAACTTGTCCAAATTGGTCTCATATTTCTCCTTTAATTTAAAGATCCTTTCCCGACCATCCTGCTGAATACCTAAAGCTGTCAATTCTTTGCCATGAATACCGAAATCGACTTTTAATTTATCAAAGGCCGATGTTTTGATCAAAGTAGACAGTTTATCTTTTGAGTCCAGCAGAACGTAGAAAATTATCATCCATTCCACATTATTTTTCAAGCAGTTTTTTAACCATTCTTTGATTAATGGTCTCACCTGTGCCCTGTACGTGTCCAAATTGTCGAACTTAGCAAACATGATCTTGGCGTAAACATTTTGAAGTTCTCCTTTCTCTGAAATGAGAGCAATAGGTAAAACGGGAATTGACTTTAAAGGTTTAGATGGACTGTACTTCCAATGCAAGTTTGTCAACGGAAATTTCTCTTCAATTTCATTCTTTATATGTGAGAAAACATTGAACGGATCATAATATCCTATACCGACAGGATTTTTGAAATTAAGATCCTCTACTTCCATTTATTTCGGAATGAATTGACTTCACTTCATGTTATCTATCAAGAGAAACAAATGTCTGTATGTCAACATGGAGAAAATCAACAAAAAAAAAATTGCGCAAACCCGGAATCGAACCGGGGGCCCAACGATGGCAACGTTGGATTTTACCACTAAACCATTTGCGCTGTGAAAGAGCTCCGAGACGGGGAATTGAACCCCGGTCTACCATGCGACAAACGGTAATTCTAGCCACTAAACTATCTCGGA